ATTCACCAAATTATCTTTAATTCAGCAATTAAGATATACTTTATTAGTTAAAACTACAATCCATTTCTAAATACATATCCATTAAACCCACATATGTAAATATTTGTTTAGCTGTGTTAGAGGACAGTAGCTGAGCAAGTATTTAGATCTTAAGCCCAGTTCAGACCAATGATTTACGACAAGACAAAACCGTTGTTGAATGTTAGAGAGAAAAGTTGCAGCAGTGTGAACTGGCTGGTGTGAGCTCGACTCAAGCCGGCTGATGGTGTCACCTGCAAAACAGCTGGTCAAATCGCCGGCAGCTGGTTTTAGAACATAAAGCACATCACCTGTTTCAACAGCCAATCAGCTTATAGTAAAGTCTGCTGGTCAAGTCAAAATGACTGCATTCTGTCCTCGCTGAGCCCTCTGTTTCCTTCCTCACAGTGTGCCAGTGTTGGATGATGGGTTGCTGCTGCTGCTTGCTGTATGTGCTTAGCCCCCTCAACACACACATTCTCATTGACCGATTAATTGGCGCTGCTCACTCATATTATTGTGGCGTATTTATTATGACTACTGACGCTTGTTTTGTTTGTTTTTCACCATGTCATCTCTACTACAAATGCAACTGTAGCCAGTATCTCACTATCGCTATCCTCATTCACATTTTAAGAAGCTACAAATTATATTCAGCCACAAAAAAAGCCTGAAATCGAAACAGAAGTACAGAGAGTTGCATAGAGATGATACACTGTCTCATAGTTGCATTGGTGTGAACCGGCAGGTTTTTAGAACGTTGCAGAACGGCACGTTGCAAGTAGTTGCCTGTTTCAACTCGCCTGTCTCTTTGCGAATTCTTGGTCTTAACTGGGCTTTATACCTAAACTTCCTCCTGCAGCTCTCTCCTCTGACCAGATGAGCAGGAGCATATGCACCCGCTTCATACAGTAACCTAGTCATTAATTTCAATCATCCTGATGCTGTTATATAGCAGCAGCAGCAGCAGCAGCAGCAGCAGCAGCAAATTGTTGGTCAGAAAAGCCCTTTGAGATGACACACTGTGACTGTGACTTTTTTTTCTTTCTGATAAGTTTGTCTCCCTTTTTTGGGTTGTTTTGCAATGTAAGTAGCTGTTGTCAATGCCGCAAGAGTAACTGCATTTGTCAAACATGGGAGTTTTGCCAAAATGATGCCAAAATTTAATTGCCTACGCAAGCTTTAAGTAAAAGTAGCAATACCATAGGGGGAGAAATACTGAAGTACAGGTCAGGCATTCAAAGTTTACTCAAGTAAAAGTACAAGACGTAAAAGTACTTATGCAGAATGACCCATTTCAGGATTGTTTGTATTATATCATTGAATCATAATTATTGATGTATTAATGTGTGCATTACTTACTACTAATGTTTTTTACTGCTGGGAAGCTTGTGAATTTCAACGAGGGATCAATAAAGTCTCATCTTCATTAATAATGATACATCGTAATTTATTTGTTGATTGTAATTTATATTATTTAATTATTTATTTATAAATCTGCAAAGTAACTGACAGTATTGAATAAATCTAGTGGCATGAAACACAATCTTTTCTTCTGAATGGCGTAGAAGTATAAAGTAGTATAGAATGGAAATACTCAAGCAAAGTACCTTAAACTGTACTTAAGATAAGTACGAGTTAATGTACTTATTTTCCACCACTGATACAGGTTCACTGTAACACACTGCAATGTGATAGGCACAACGTCTCAGCAGCATATCTGTAAAGGAAGAACATTATAGTTGTCAACCAGAATACATGCTGAGAAAACTCAGCAGTGAGACAGTATTAAAGTCTGAAGCTCAGAGGTGTTGGAGATTGATCAATGACTGCATTGATCCATCTTCATGCAGCAAAGCCCACACTGCTGCGTGGAAACGGTTAACTGAGTGATTACATGTCATTTTTGTAATGTTAAAACCATCCACTTCCTCTGAGCGCTTTCATTCAGAGCCAGCTGATCGTGTGCAGCCCAGATGTTTCATTTAAAACATATTGTACATCTCACTCTCTTATCGGCCCCTTTATGTCACTTAAATAAACAAATAGGGTAATTCCCAGTCTGGTTGTAGGTCGAGTCTTTGTCACAGAGATGGTGATTACTCCCACGTGGTGCTTTCCTCTTTATCTACTATAATGCGCGTATGTGTGTGGGGGGGAGAGATGAGGTGAACCATCTGGGAACCTTCCACATAATTTGGGATGTCATTTCTTCTTTGGTTTGGACATAAAAGGATGTTGTAATCAGAAATGATTGAGAGGATAATTCAAAAATAACAGCTCATTGGAAAATCATTTTTATTTGCCAAAAATTCCACATTTGCAGGACATGCCTATGTTGAGGCGGGGTAAAAAAAAACACTCCCTGTTGTGCCGTCATTACTAAACTGTGGGGTAGCAGTGCCATCTAGAGTGATGTTAGCAACCTGCCAGTGAGGCTGCTCACAAAAATATCACATCTTTCACTAGAGTTGAACAAGAAGCATTAAACTATGATGCTTTTATCATTATTATCAGTATTATTTTTGATATTTTTTGTTAAAAAAAAAAAAAGAAGAAAAAAAAAAGTGTTCAAATCTGTACTTATTTTATTGTGTTGTAGTGGAATGCATGATAAGACCTCTTTTCTCCATTATTAGTGTTGTTTTGTTTGTTTGTTTGCATGTGGGTGTACACCTCCATATTTAATATGCTTTACTTTCCTGTGAAGCACACTGTTACGTCCTTTGAAATTACATGTGCAATAGAAACAAATGATTGCTGGCGTATTATGTTTTACACTGTACATCACTTATTTTGGGTGAAGGGAATTCATATTTTTACTCTTACCTGTAGTGCTATTTATCAGTCTAGATATGTTGTGTGTTGGAGATATCAGCCATACAGATGTCTGCCTCCTCTCTAATATAATAAAACTAGATGACACTCAGCTTGTGGTGCTCAAAGCTCCAAAAATATATATTTGAAAAACTCACACAGAATCCGCAGAAGTTGTTGTGAGCAGTTTCATGCAGGAACTATTTTCTTTCTACCAAACTACACCTGCCAACCAAATCACCAAGCAAAAGGAAGCGTGCATCTACTCTTGGATGAGAGGGTCGTGCTTGCAACAGTGCAACATTAAGCTGAGCTCTAACGTTATCTAGCTCAGTGGTGCTAGGTGAGCTAGCAATCAATGCATGCTTCCTTCTGCGTAGTGATATGGTTGACAAGTGTAGTTTGGGAGAAAGAAAATAGTAGGGCTGCCCAGTGAAAGAAAATTTGATCAGTTGGAGACCACTCAGTCAACTGAGATTCGAGCAGTTTTGTTTTTGTCAGTCAGTGTGCAGTGTACTTTGTTTCAGTCCCCAGATTTAACTGCAGAGTGAGCACTCCTTGTTCTCACACTGCTTTCTGATACAGGCAGCTGCAGACCCAGACTCAGGTCGAGTCTGAGTGAGACGGAGGCAGCTGCCCGGAGGAAGAGAGGCTTTGCCTGGTCAGGCTCTGAGACAATGTTATCTTCTGTCTTCTCCTTAGAAGTGGTGAATTTACAGGGGGTCATCCCTATATTCCCCGGGTTCTATGTTCCCCGATTGGGGAACATAGGACCCTTTAAAAAAAAAGGGTCCTATGTTCCCCGCTTTCCCCAAAAGGAAATATGTTCCCTGCTTTGTATGGGACTGGGGAACATAGGACCCTTTTGAGAAAAAGGGGTTAGGGTTAGGGGGTTAGGGTTAGGGTTAGGGGTTAGGGGGGTTAGGGTTAGGGGGTTAGGGCCCTTTTTTTAAAAAAAAGGGCCTATGTTCCCCGAGTCCTTCTGGGGAAAAGCGGGGAACATAGAACCCTTATTATTAAAAAGGGTTCTATGTTCCCCAGTCCCATACAAAGCGGGGAACATAGGACCCTTTTGGGGTCCCATACAAAGCGGGGAACATAGGACCAGGGGAACATAGAACCCGGGGAACATAGGTACGCTCCCAATTTACAGCCCACAGCAACTTCATACGATACACTCTCGAGCTTTTGTTTAATATCTGGTGTCAGCAAAAAATGTTGCACTTTGCCGATCCATCGTTACCATAGTTAGCATAAATTAGCTTGGAGAGCTAACTTGGCATGTTAAATATATTAATTAAACATCACTGTCACCCTGAACACCTCACCAAACCCTGTTCAAACTCTCAAACTCTATAAGGAAAAAAGTAACGAATAGTTGAATATTCGTATTCAGCAGCCAAATTCAATTCAACCAACATAATTCAGAGTCAGGTACAGCCCTAGAGAAGAGAGTGCTTACATGAAACTGCTCAGAACAAGGTCTGTGGATTGTCTTGAGTAACCAGGTCATGATTTCTACAGAGACACATTGCTGTTGAGTTTTTCAAACATATTTTTGGCTCTTTGAGCACCACAAGCTGAGTGACATCTAGTTCCATTATACTGGAGCGAAGGCAGACATCTCTACAGCCGATATTTCCAACACTTGGCAACTCACACAAAGCAATCTAACCTGATAAACAGCACTACAGGTAAGAAGAAAAACATGTATATTTAATTTCGATGTAAAGTATCCCTTTAAGGTAATATTTCCTTTAAAAAAACAAATTAAAGTTTAACATTGTAAACTTTTTTGCTTTTATCAGTCCAGTTTGGACACAGAATCTACAAACCCTGCTTGTATAGACAGTTCTTACCATCCCTCTGTATGCTGATGTGCTGCTCCATGTTTAGCATCAATTTATAGTTTAGAGGTCAGAAAAAGATGATATAAACATGCCCAGTGCTGTACTGGCACCGCTGATACATCCTTACCTTGTAGTGCTGTAAAAGTGCCACTTTTCATGTCCCACTTTGTTCAAGGACTTACTCACCCATTTATGTAACAAATAAATCTCCTCTGCTCATGTAACACCATGCTTTTGGCTCTCAGTATGACGCACTTTGAAAATGTTACTGTATGTCTGAGAAAATAAAAAAGAAACAATGAAAGAAGATTCCGATAATGTTTGTTTTGACAATATTTATTTCTATTTTCCCAATAGTAACATATAGTTCAGGACAAATGAATGTTTGAGAGAAGCTAGCACAGCAGTTTGCAGAGTATATGATTCAAAATTGTACCATATTTAATGAAAGTGAACTGCACTCTGAGTACTAGGGGTTTTAATTGTTCTCCTAAACAAACAATATTTCCTGTAATCAAGAAACCAGGGTGTATTTTTTATATACTTCTGTGTTAAAGGCTAACAACACTTGCATTTGACAAGTTTTTGGACAATCAAGTCTAAATCCTATTGATCTGTTTGTCATACATCCCATAGAGTCAAGGGCCTTGGTAAAATAAAAGAAAATCATAAACTGTGATGTTATGGCACCATGACACGAGTCAACACACCGCCTCAGACACGCAGAATAGAACGACAGCGGGCAGCCAAGAAACGTTAGAGGAAAGCGCGAGGATACGTCGTCACTGCTACCAGAGGGCGAAGCGGAAGAGAAAGAGAGAAAAAGGTCGTACAGGTGCAGAGCAGAGAAGAGCTTTCAGAGAGACATGCTGAGGGACTACACATATAGATATAATACTCTACATTCTGAGCGGCGACAGTCTTCAAGCAAGAAGTAGAAAGACAGAGGATAGAGATAGTCAGATCAAGCGCGGAGAGGAGTACAATGCTAGGCGAGTTTAGCATGCTTGCGGCACGGAGAAACTTTACAGGAAGCCCAAGACACAGAGAATCACATGTAAAGGCTAGAGCGACAGTGCACTAATCTACAGGCTAAAGCTATACATTGGACACTAAAGCTAATTACAGGAGCTACACTTACTGTATATATGTATATATATATATATATATAGAAATAGATATATAAGAGATATCAAACAAGCTGGATAGGCAAGGCATCGCATGCACGTGCAAAGGAAGCAAGTCTAGCAGCAGCAGCAGCAGCAAGAGAAGAAAATGTCTGGCTTTCCAAGACCAGCCTGTTCTAACAGAAATATGTGAAATGACCCTGACCTGTTAGCACTGCGTTATGCGATGACGGTGGTACAGAATGTGTAGAAATTACATGCTGTCAACAAGGAAACAATGCCAATAAAAAGTCAATTAGGATCCTTTGTCATGGTGGACAAATGAATTCCCTGGTTTGCCAACGTCACACAATGAGGGGTACTTAATGTTGAGATCCCATAGGTAGTATAACAAGTTACAAAGTCCTCACAGGGAGGAAGGTTGGGGAGGCCGACGGGTCAAACAAATATAGGACTTTCACCCAAGAGACCAGTGTTTAATGTTACGACCCCACTGGGTGTATAAAGAGCAACAAAGTTCCCGCAGGTAGCAGGTTGGGGCGGTGGAGGGGTCAAACAAACACAGGACTTTCACCCAAGAGACCACTGTTTGTCTCCTGTGTGAAACCAAAAGTCAGCATTGACTTATTTTTAATTTTCCTTACTTAGGTAACCACATAGGTAAAAGCATGCTTATTGTAACCGACAGCACGATGTTTTCTTAAACCTGACCAAGTAGTTTTGGTTTGACCAAATGTGACCGTTTCACAACGCTGACCACGTGCTTCAAACTGTGACAGTTTGCCGTGTAACACTGAAATTTGTGACCCGTCAGATTCTGTGACCCAGCACCTTACAAAATCATTGTATTTAGTGAGTTGTTGAGTGGTTTGGGTTAAGGCTCGGACATACTTTCCACATTGAACGTACGCAGACAGCTGTGGTCACACAGAAGGCATAGGATGGATCCAGAGTGAATGTCTATCAAAAATATAACTTAAAACTACCTCACTGTGGTGCAGCTGCTGGTTTGACTGCAATGTTTTGGACTGGGCTGGAGTGTGGAACAAGAGATTGGAGCATGTGCACTTACTGTAGTGGATCCACACTGACATGAGTGGATGATGACATTTACATCACATAGACCAAAGTGGACCCTTGCGAACATGCAGATGCTGAAACTATAAATAGCTTTTAGTGTTTAGGGGGTGGATCTGGGTCAGATTCTGTTGGGTTACAGTACTCGGTGTAATACCGGCACATAATGAAACACAGTGCGTGCCATCACGTAATGCAGTGCTGAGGGAACATGGTCATTTCACAGATTTCTGTGAGATCAGGTTGCCCAAGACCACCACAGTGAGATTCCTGTGTCGCTGTATTAAACCTGATGTTGTCTGTGTCACAGTGTGTACGCCAATTTTATCTGTAAACAGAAATAATAAATCTAAAAAGTATATCAATTTTAGGGTAATCTGTGTGGGGATGTGAAACAGTAAAACTTTATCTCTAAATATCTGTAAACTCAAAAAAAAAAGAAGAACTGCTTTAACTTCCAACAGACCCTTGATTCATGTCACATTCAGACCAAAGAGCTTAAGTTACATTTTTGAGTAATTTTTTTTCAACATCAACTTATGAACAACCATTGGACATTGCACGTTATTAGGTCATGTGTATACTCTAAAGTGCACAACCTCCTCTTCGGAGGAAAACTAGACAATACTGGCAAATTTATACTAAGGCAACACAGTTACAAACACACTAAGGTACACATTGGCACATACCGTCAAGTATTCACTTGTGCACAGAAAAAAACACACAGGGCTTCAGAGTCAAAATGGCTTTGCATATTCGTTTAAAATCCAAACACCAGAGTCTCTGAGCAAGACTCGAATATATTTCAAGGTGAAATCTGTCAGTTTCTTTAAAGCCAGTTCCTGAAACATGTTTTTCTTTGAAATAGCAAGAAGAGTCACAAACCAAGTCAAGTATCTAACATACATACATACATACATACACACACACAGGAAAAAAGCCTTTTGGACAAACAGGATGAAAATACAGGTAATCTATATTGGAGATAGAGAAAATATGAATAACTTTACCTCACAAATAGTCTCTGGTTATATGTCTTATATACACTCATGTATACACAAATATATGTACTTAGGACATCTTGAAATACTATTTACAATCTATGATCAAAAGTGATTGTACACTGAGCGACCGTGTTGAGCAAATTGTGCTTTTCTAACTTGTTCTAATGAAAATGCTACAGAACCTCTGCTCGTTAAATCAGGGTTCACGTTTCCATCGACTAACCTGCCTACAGTAAGCGTGGTTTTAGTTTATGTTTTTGCTAACTAGTAGCAAACTTGATTATCGTTAACTACTGTACACTTGAATTCACCTTTTCTTTTGATATTTTGCAGGGTATACAGATTTGACCCACACCCAAATATTGCTTGTGAATGAATAAAGAAGAAATCTCATTTGCAATGCTAAGGGATGCTTCCTCCTCCCCCGATGATTTAGTGCAAGTGATGTCAGATATGCAGTAGCTGCAAGTCTGGTGAAGTTCCTATAACACCGTTATTGCCCTGTTCCCAGATTTCTTAAGATCCTCTATCTTTCTTTAAGTGTTCGTCCAAAAACACCACTGACAAATATGCTCTCTCGTTATGGTACTGTAGATGAGAGGTTTCACATCTCTAAAGTTACAAACCTTGAAATTTTAGTCCTGGTTGATTTAGAAACACCTGTGGTTACTGGTGATAGCAGCAAGTGCAAGACCATGCTGCCTAGAACACTCACTGGCCACAAGTTCCCATAAAGTCCAGTGCTAACTTGAGATCATGAGCTAAGTATTTCATTATCTTATCATCGTTATGGACTTTGTTTTCTCGAGATAAAGAGATAATCAACCTGATAGCAAACAAAAGGAGTGGAGGATCAAGAGTGCCGTGCCAGCATCCATAGATGGCATCTTGACAACTGTAGAAAGTGATTTAAGATGAAAATGTTGCTGAAAATGACACATCATTGCTGTACTTCAATTAAGGTCCAACAGGCAGAAATTGCAGTGTGTCCTTGTGATCTTGAAGGCTGAAATCAGGTGTGATTAAATAAACAAGACACTCATCTTTGAGCTCTCCATAATTATCCCATGATTTCGAGAAAACTAATGCAAAATAGAGATAACAAAACACTTAGTTTGTGATCTCGAAATAACAGCATTAAAAAAATAATTGCAGGCACTGCCATTCTTGGTTTCCGTACATGGGATACCGTTGCAAGACATAGCATGGATCAGCTAACAATGCAGGGCCTGTTGATATTGTTGTTAACTGTGGCAATTTGCATTTAATCAAGTTACCAGAGCCAGCTGACATGCAGTGAATTCAGGGCTTTGGTCTGGGGCCCCTCGCAGTTGCTTATTTTGCTTTTTAAGACATAATCATTCCCCAAAAAATAAGACAATGACTGATTTTTTCTGAATGTCACAGACACTCTGAGATGAAACTTTTAAGTTTGAATTTGATCTATTAGCTCATAGGTGCACGGGTATGCAACTTGAATTCCAAGTGGTGGCGGACTCCGCCACTAACATTTAAAACTAATGTAAGGAGAGGCAATTAAAAACTAATTTAAATGGCTAAATAAGCCATTGAACGTAGGAAAAATTGAGTTTGAAATACCTAATAAATTTAAGGATTTTAACTTTACGTGACCTCTTAATGTTGATTATTCTCATTTTGGATCATCATTACAACATGTAAAGCACACTCAGGACAACTAAACATACAGCCTGGTTGGAAATGGTACCCATTCTGATATGTGCATGGAGCTGGTTACGTCAAACAAAACAATTTAACAAGCCTTATTCACCTTAAATACACTAGAAAGAAGTGTGTGTAAAAAGAGTAGAAAGTGTTAGAACTAATAAGCAGCAACATTAAATTAGCATCATAAGCTGCGGACCAAACTGTCAGAGGCTGATGTGATGCACGATGAACTGACATGGCTTTATAAATGCTTTGAATTGACTTTGCCGTTGTGTAATTTTGATGAAAATGCCTTCTTTTATACATATTTCCAAATCCCAGTGACTGCCTGTTCTGGTTGGGATACTTATTTAACATGTGTTGGTGCTGCTGTACATCACCAGTCAAGAGTGTATTGTCCAAAGATCACCGCTTGGAGTACTATGTGCAGATGCAAAGGCAGTTGATTAAGCTGAGGTAAGGTGAAGTGCTTTTTTTTGTTTTAAACCAGAAGTTTAAAATGTAAAGTTACAATAGAACACAACCACGTTTGGCACTTAACAACATACTCTGCAAATGACAAATGATTAAAAAATAAATTCTTCTTCATCGACCTATTGCACAAGCATTTCATATCACAAAAAGGACATATAAAGTTACATCACTTACACTACTCTGGGATCTACCACACTATAGGAAAGGCAGACAGAAGCACTTTTACATAGCTTTGGACCAAGTCAGTCCACGGCAAAGCTACAATACATAATATATGGATATATCTGTAGATCTTTTTTTCTCAAATATACTCTTAAATATGCGACTTTGGAGGAAAGAGAGAGAGAAAAGAAAAAGTTTACCAGTACATTCACGACAAACAATTCATCCGTCAAGGGGGAAAAGTACAGGAGGATTTGGTGCGATGAGTCTTATAGATCCTGGCCCAGTCGTTCAATCTCCTCAATAAGAAAGTCGATGTCCTCGAAGGTTGCGGCAGGATTTGAGATCACCATGCGGAAAAAGTTGACCTTGTCTCCTTGTGGTTGGTAGCTGACCATAGTTGTCCCGTACTCCATCATTCTGGCTTTTATCACTGGAGCCACCTTAAAAAAATCCAGTAAAGACAGCATGAATTCAGAGGGTACGGAAGAGAAAATCACTTGTTATATTTAAAGAGTTTGGTATTGGAAGCATTCTGGGTTCACTTTTTTAGTCAGAGTAGTATTGACCAATCATGTATGAGAGGGCTTTGAAGGCCTGTAAGTTAACAGTGCATCCAGGGTAAGAGAGGTGGAATGAATTGGCTGAAATGCAATCACGGAACCCATCACCTATCATCTGATAACAATTTAGCTTTTTATCTACATACATATGCAGGTATTTGTTTATGGGGATTGGCTGAATTGTTGTTTGGACCTGTCTGAAGTTGCTAATTTAAAGTAAACAACAACCAGCGCATGGTAGAGGAAATCTTGGCCCAGATATCCACTGGCTACATCAGATCTCCCGTAATACTGGCTGTTGGCCTCCAAGGCTTATCATCATCAGGTGATAGCCAGTGGGTTGTGAGACTGTACTCCACAAACAGTTTCTATCATTTCAATAGTTCTGTTTATTTGGGATTTACTGAAATTAAAAACTACTAAGTGAGCACAAAAGAAAATAGATCACAGCTCTAGTTTTTAAAGGTGGTATATACGCAATGCTCTCTCATACCTAACCACAAAAAAAGGTAGATTCCAGCCCCAAAATGACATATATTACCGTTCTAACAGTTGCAGTTTTAAACATGTCCTTTATATCACAAAACAGTTGCAGTTCTGCTCCAAAACTACCTGGTTAGGTTAAGGCAACAAAATTACATGGTTAGGTTTAGAAAAAAATGTCATGGTTTGGCATTAAATAAGTACTTTTGTCTCTAACATAATGTCTCGGATACACATACGATATGTCACTTATGTCACTAGTGTAGCATCCCACACATGCGCGCATACTAGGTTGCGTTGTTATTAAAAGTCACCTGGTAGAGCAGACGCCCCATGTACAAAGGCTGTGTCCTTGCTGTGGCGGCTGAGGGTTTGACTCCAACCCACATCCCTTTGCTCCATGTCATTCCCCTCTCTCTCTCTCTCTCTCCCCCTTTCATGCTATAGCTGTCCTATCAAATAAAGGCAATAAAGCCCCAAAAAATATCTAAAAAAAGAAAAGTAGTCAACATGACTTCAGGCCATAAACACCGGTCTCCTAGGTGAAGGTCCTGTGTTTGTTTGACCTTTCCACCACCTCTCCTATCTAACCTGTAGGGAAGTCTCTGATGTTTGTACAACTTTATGCAGACTTTGTCGATTTATATGCTGTGTTACATCACTTCCTCTTCTGCTCCTGTGATAATAACTACGGCCATAGAGGGCGCCGCCTTACAATAAACATAAGCACAGGTTATAATAATATATATATACGTTGTAAATAAAAACTTTGAGTGAAAACCAAGATTTGAAAGCATCCAAAGTCAGAACTGTACGTGTAAAATGTGTTCTACGGGGAACTGTGTCTTGGGTTTTTAATCACAAAGTGCAGAACACAGTGGTATAAGACACATTGTGTTTCAGCTGCCATCACTCAAATAAACAAGTCATAGCAACACTACACAGATGCTATGGGAGCAGTGTTTATTTATGTATTTATTTTAATGGTTTAGTGATTATTAGAGCCTTGAATACTTTTATCATACCTTCTGTTGTTTATGTTACTTGTAAAATGTGCGTCAAGATGGAGGCCTTGTCTACTTCAAACAAAATCTGCCTGCGGGTAGAAATAAAGTAACGTGAACCTGAAACTACTTGGTGACCGATTAATTTTTATGTTCATTCATTCATTGGGGGGGGGGGTCGGAGCCTATCCCAGCTGATATCGGGCGAGAGACGGGGTACACCTTGGACAGGTCCAAGGGCTGACACATAGAGACAGGCAACCATTCACACCATTCACACCAGTCACCAGTTAACCTGCATGTCAAACTCCACACAAAGGGGGTCCCGGGAGGTTCAAACCAGGAACCCTCTTGCTGTGAGGCGACAGTGCTAACCACCACACCACCATGCTGCCAATTTTACGTTATGTTTACTAATTAATGAACTGCCATAGGTGAGTATAACACAGTTTGAACTCTGCTGGCACTAACTGAATTTAAAAGTATAAAAAGCCATTTTTCAAGTAATCTGCAGTTTCATGAAAAAAATGATTCAAACACGCATAAATGTAAAGTTTGTTGAGTATGAATTAAGTTAGCACCGCGAGCCGGCAGGTCACAAACACAAGATTCTTTTTCCCTCTACACTAAACCAAAGAAAATGAACTGGAGGTCTGATCACATGACTAAATATGTTAGTCAAAGTCATCATGCAAAAAAATTGCCATTGATGACCAACTGTACTCCCTCATTGTATCCTTTCTTGACTCCTTATATGCCATTTTTAAAATGTTTTTCTTTATAAAGTTAGTTTAATTTTTATTTTAAAAAGCATCTGTTATCAGATTTGTGTGCCTCCTTTTTTATTTTCTTTTTCAGCAACTAAACACATCACATTTCCTCCTCAGATCACTGTGATCCTGATGCATGTAGTTCATTATCTCCCACCAGTCTGACAGCTAAATCTGACACACAGCTCTGGTACACACAGCTCTGACTGCTGCCGCCAAGTTGAGAGGTTATCTCTGAGAGCAAAGCAGTGAAAGTCTTGATGTCAGTGTGGATTCTGTGCTGTGATGCAGTTGAAGTTTGGAACTGGAAAACATTTCAATATATGTTTCTCTATTGCATCATGTTAGGGCTGGTGCTTGTCATTTTGGATAATGTAGGATCTGCACAGTAAATTAGAAATGACCACACTTGGTTGCAGTATTGTGACTCATATGCACATGAGGTTCAGTTTGCTGCCAAAGAGCTTAAGTTAACTGTGACTCATAGACAGCGCCCTGCAGGTCCGGCATAATCTGGCAAGAATTTTATTATTTTATTAACACTGAGGGTATTAAGTTGAAAACTTAAAATAGACTTTTAAAACTTTACTAACTCCTTGAGCAACCACAGTTGGTTTTAACGTCAGTTAGATGATTAAGATCTGCTGGTGTAGATAGCTGTATAAAGAAGCCTGAACTGTGGTGGAAAGAAACTAAGTGCATTTACAATTTTAAGGCAATTCACTTAATTATATTGAATTTATGCTACTCTATACTTGTACTCCACTACATTTTAGAAGGAAATATTCAGTGCTGTAGTCTAGTGTATAGTAATGAGTATATTGTGACCACCAGGGGGGCGCCACATCCAACCTGATACAAAAGCTGAGCTCAGCAGGGCGGTGGCGTGGAAAGACAGTGAGGGTCTCTCTGCATGCTCTGCAGTTTGTTCAGTTTGCTGTCATCTCTTGACCCCCGTATTTACAAAAGAAAACTGCCAAAGTAATAACCGTGTCAAATATTGTTACTTACGTGCCCTTGCACATTTTTAAGTGGGTGTGTGTAAATCCTAGAGCTTTTTTAGTGGGTATACAGCATTTAACTGTGTCTCACGTAAACCACACCATTACATTCACTACATTTACTTAACTACTACAGTTATTTGTTACTTTGATTCACATACAAAACATTTGCACGACTTATTAAATATGATGTATTGTTAGAAATTAAAGGCACATCCCATTACAGGTGTTTTTAACTCAACTACACTGGCATTTATGCGAGGCCATCTTGTTCTTATAAAAATGATAAAGCTGTAAATTGCAACAGAAAAAAAACTAACAAGAGAACCCCTGAAGTCCTGTAAAAATTTACGAACTTATGAATTTGTTACAAATGATTATCTTGTATGCGTAGGAGTAAAAAAAAAAGAAATCACATTTCAGGACTTTGAAAGCACCGTCATTCAAACCCTCTAAAATGGGTGACTTTGCATAACAAGTACCTCAATGTTTGACACTTTAAGAACATTTGCAGACTTCTGCAGGACTTTCACTTGTATCAGAGTATTTGTCCACTGTGGTATTGTAATTTAGGTAAAGAATTTTCTTCCATCATGGGGCTGACAGTATATAAAGGCTGCAGTGCTGCGGCCAGTATTGTCTGTCATCACATCATCATTCCCTCCAAATCTCTTGCAGGTGTCCAGCTGCAGTTTCTGTAAAATAATCAATCAGCAGCTGCAGATTTCCGTCTAATCAGTCTTTCAACAACTTTCCAGTTATCCTTCAGAAGAACGTCATCCCTCTGTCTAAGTGTCAGAGTCTGTGGAAAAAGAGCGAGCTGTCCAAACACTCGGTTTCAGTGAGGCGTATCCACTGTGTTTTTTCAAACTTTGTAAAACAAAAGGAAATCACTCCATCTGATGTGCTATGACAATTTATGGTGGAGGGTTTTACAGAGAAAGAGAGCTCTTTGTATGGCCGTCACGTACACCATCTGTTTGTCCTAATTGTCAATTAGTAGGCCCCTGCTGCTGTGGGATCCTCTGAATGACCGCCTCTTTAGCTAACTGAATAGTCTCACTCCCTCTGTCCCTCTGTGTATCGTGTTTTAAGACTGTCACAATTTACTAAGTATAGCTCATGTGCATGCTCAAGTATTTTTATAATCCTGAGTAGAAGTGGACGTCCACTAATGAGCAGGACATGTGATGGTCACACTGGATAGGAATAACAGGCTTGTAGGGCAAATGCAAGGTGCAGTGAAAGGTGTTTTTGGTAGATATTACAGTCAGGCTTCTTATCTCTGCTCACCCACCTTGTGCAAGCGTTTCTTTCTCTCCTCTTTGTCCTCCATGTAGCGGATCCCAGGAGGGAGGTACCAGAAGCAGACATTGGTGTGTTGAGGCTGTGGGAACACAAAGAGGCGACAAGAGATGAGAGGAATAAACATCCGTACAAGGCAAAACATGCACACTTACTTCAGGGCTCGGTATATTATATATATATATATATATATAATATTGCAGAATTTCATTGTATCGTGATATGATTGTTTTTTTTTATTCTGTTGATAAAATTAAAGCCACTATGTACAGATTTTGAGCATTTCTTGTCTTTGGTGCCCCCCAGTGGTGGCATTATAATCACCAGGGTTGTCACTTCTTCTAGCAATAAAAATTTAAAGGTCCACCATGTAGGATTTTGGGGCATCTATTGGGAGAAATGGTATATAAAATTCAGAACTATGTTTTCATTAGTTAATAATCACCCAAAAATAAGAAATGTTGTGTTTTCATTACTTTAGAATGAACTGTTTATATCTACAAACGGAGCAGGTCCTTGTCTGCGGAGTCAGCTGTGTTATTCTTACAGCAGCCCAAATTGAACAAGCTGTAGACAGTGCCATTCAGTTGCTTGCAATCTGTAACTTCGCCACTAGATGCCTCTAAGTCCTACAAACTCGACCTTTAAGCTATTAGAGTAACTTGAGAAATGCTATAATATAAAAACAATAGTAGTTGTGTGTTTTTGAGCTGCTTTAATCAGTGTTTTTATCTTAGCAATGAATTTAATAACTCTGTGTAATGCAAAAAGACTTGCTCATGCTAATGAATCCATGAATAATTATTACCCGATCCCGACAAGTGGCAGCCCTCTTGGGCTACAAAATTAAGTCAACGCAGATGAGCCTAAAATGGCCACTAGAGGCTGCCTCCAAAGGCGAGTCAATCCCCATAGACCCCCATGTTAAAATCCCCAACTTGATAGCAGAAATAAACATGTTTACAGCCTGGTACAAAATGGTTTTGGTCTTTATGGCTAATTTCAACATTAGACAACTGTATGGGGGGTACATTTTTCTATAACTCACTTTTTTACATTTCATCAAGCCTTAAGTTATGCATAATTAAGTGCATGGCCACTTGGAGTGACAGGCTGCTCCTTCACAGCTCCATCCTCTCATCCAAATATGGTCACTTCTTGCTCCAAAAAATCAAGATGGCAATGACCAAAATGCCACACTCAAGGCTTTACAATGCAAGGTCACAAACCAATGGGTGACATCACGGTAGCTACAGCCATTATTTTTATGCAGTCTGTGAGTTTTAAGGAGCATTTTTGCAATTTTGATTAAGTCTTTCATCAGGGTTGTTTTAGCAGCCACAAAATCCCCAGAATAAATGTTAGCATTGTACGTTTCTGGAAACCACGGATAAATTTCATTTATACATTATTATGCAGTGGATATATTAAAACTCTACATTTCAACAATGCTGTGGTTAATATGTGGCTATGTTAAGGCACAAAACACATTTAGTTATGGAATGGAAAAGAACACATTATGACTTAAAATACTCAGTTCTGGTGGCACAATCCCAGCAGGAGACACGGCAATGTCTTAGATAAACAACAACTTTTTTTGTAGCTATAAAGCTCTTAGAAGACGCAGCAATAACTCACTAAATAACAAGAGGTTTTGAACAGTGGTCTACAGCTTGGCAGCCTCTGACAATGTCAGCTCATAAACATGTAATCAGAACTCCGTCATTATAATAACATTGATTTCATGTGTATGAAACATACAAATAAAAGTATCCATGGTTTGCAAAAATGTACAATTCCAACATTTTCTTCCAGTGACTGGGCTGCACATTGTAATTAAAGACTAACATTACTAGCGGTATACATGTAAATTAGTGTTATTTTTTACATGTGAAGAGTTTCCTGATGTAATACATAACAGTGGATGAAAGTCAATTGATATTAGCAGCAATTTGACATCTGACATGATTCTACACACATTTACCATATTGTAATGGCGAAATTGGAAAAATTTGATTATTAATATTTTAATGGCAAACATACCACCCAGCCTTATGGACAAGTAGACATAATCTGTAATTACATATATTACATATAGATGTACAAGTACACCTACAACTTCATATTCACAGATATGCAGTATATACACATATTTACCAGTCATCCTCGCCTGAAATCCTACAGATACCACAAGATAAAAGGAGTTGAAAGTAGCCCGCTGATTTCTCCGAGCCAGAGCAGATTCAATTTAAAAATGGCTCTCCAAAGCTCAAAAAGGAAATCCATTAGGTGTTGCCGGCATCAGACAGGTAGCCTGCCTCCTCCTCAGATACTCTATATGTCTGAAAACCCCACACAGCTCTATTTTTTGGCATCTGAAGCCTCGCTGGAGCAGCCTGCCTGCCAGCGAGTAAAAAAGCATTCATTACCAACAGCTGACTAGCCATGCACACCAGCCTCATTTATACAGCCGGGCTGGTTCGGCCGTAGTATATTCAACATCAGATTGATGTAATAGCTCAATGGGAGGTACAGACAAGTGAACACCTGGGCCGCTGCCTAGAGGAGTTGGCTTTTTCCCCACCACCCTCTGGGTTATGATGCTCTTAGCCTTTTGTGGCTCAGCAGGAAAACAATAAGGCTTGAAACATTAAAGAGCTTTCACTATAAATGACTCTGGGTGTCCAAGCACTCCTTTCATAAAACAGTTTTTAGCTTAATAACCCCATCTATCCCGCATATGTTTGTGCTGTTGTGGTCCTTCTCAGTGGAGGATATTTCAGACGCTGTGCTATTCATATGCATATGAGCAATTACAGGCCGTTATGCTATTCATTAAACATAATAGCAGCACATTATACTTGCAGCTAGAGGTAAAAATGGCATTCATCCAACACAAAGAAAAAGTGCACTGCGCGTCAATCAAGTCACCCATAATGACACCGAACACATGGAGGTAAAAGAAGCAGCGTGGACTAATGTTAGCTGCTTTTCTCTGATTGTGTGGCTGCGGATGAATTATTACTGTGGAGAGGGAAAGTTAAATGTGGACCTACTTTTCCATCAAAGACCATCTCGTATCCTTCTCTGTCTTTGATCTTGTTGTAGAGATACTCTGACAGCTCCAAGCACTTGTCAATCTGAGCTTCAAACCCAATGGTGCCCTGTCGAAGAGAAGATTTTACATCTGTTAGTTTTAAACATTCATTCAGATTAAATAATATTACATGGCTATTATGAAACTGAAGGTATTTGTGCAAGTGTGTAAATAAGATGCAGAAAATATATTTTTCTGCTAGAAAATTGTACAAGATTGTCCTGAAAATGCATTTAATTCAGTCTCCTGACACTCACACATCTGTCATGCACTCATAATGTCAGAAAGTAAAAAAGCAACATCAAAGAAAGTATAACACACTTAATCAGATACATCCATTAGAGTTTAAATGTCCAAAACAAATTAAAGAAAAAGGATTAGTGTCTGCAGGTAACAAACATTTAAATCTAATGCTTTTAAAGACCTTATCAGCATAATTTTTTTAAACAAATTTAAGACTGATTTCTTTCTAGCATTACAGGTGAGTATAAAGGTAAGTAACTGTTGATATGCAAGTGGTTCCTGCAGAGGTAGGTTTGATGTTGGAATATGTTTATCAGAGTGATACTGGTTAATCTACATTTTGCCGTAAGGTAAGTGCAAGTATAAAGTAAAAACACAGTATTAGGCTCAGTGATAGGTTTTAAGATTTAAAGACTCATTTTGATGAAAAAGAATTTAAAGGATGGCTAAATTAAATCAAATTTCAATCATTATATTCAATTCATTTATTCAAGACCTCAAAAATTCAAATTAAAGACTAGTGAATTAATTTTAAGTGAATATTCATATGAATATGACTTTAGGACATTTTAGGACTTTTTTAGGACCTGCAGACACTCTGTGGTTCAGGGTTTGACTCCAATTCAGTCCCACCAGGATTACACAGGCTGTTTTTGTGACTGTTGCAGCCCGAAATGCCTGATTCCACGACAGCTTTTCTAAAAAAAATTGCAGTGCATGTTGCCATGTTTATGGTTGTCTTGGAATTCCACACTTATAATTATCAGCATTCAGTGTTTCCCACAGAATTACAATCTTTCTGTGATGGTAGCCTACTGGGTGGGGAGGCATCAACAGCTGATCGTTTGAAGCAGCTCTAAAGGACCGTCCAGCTCTCTCTGCCTGGTTAGCAGGAGCTAACACAGCATAACGTGATCTCATCCCTAACTCAGCATGTTTTGCTGCTTAGGCAGTTTTAATGTATATCAGTGATGCTCAACATATGACCAGTGGCCCACATCTGGCCCGCAATTGTTGGTTGGAGCGTGGCCTGCTGACCATTTTCTAATTTATGATAGAAAGGAAAAATGGATTCACACTGGGAATTAATGTTATACTTAAAGTGTAAATAAGGTGTCTTGTCCTTTTCTGGAGTGCATAAAACCATCAAAATGCTTTTTTTTTTTTTTTTTTGAAATCAAAAGTAGAAAGTGCCAGGGTAGGACCCCCTGACACCTCGACAGAGGTCTGGCCTAAGCCCCAATTGTCCTCAAATCTTAGAAACGCCCCTGTGCACACCTGATCTGCAACTGGATTTGAGATGAGTGAGAGAAGCAAAGGTAAAATTAAAAACAGGCAATTTGCCTTGATTTTGCTGACTCATGCTGATCCTAAACCTGTTAATCTGAAAATAAAGAATTTCAAAGAAAGATGAGTTATGGGCCTTTTAATGTTGATTCATTTTATCTGATAAATATTATTAATGTTTGTTTATTCCTTTCATTTTGCAAAAGTGGCCCCCGGCCATAGCAGGTTGAGTATCCCTGACATGTGTTCACGAGAAAAAAATCCCCAAAACCACTGTGTTATTATAATTATTATTATATGTTTTATAAGTTTATCTTATATATTTATTTTATTGATTGATTGATTTAATATATAATTAAATATATGTCTAGAGGCTGACATCACACACTGACTAGGATGTCTAACACCAAAAAAAAATCAGTCTATATATCAAATAACTTCACACAAACATGAGCAAAAGCAAATATCCATGTTAGCTTGTCCTGACCTTAGCTCTCCACATGAGCCACAGCTTGAAAATGTCCACGTGGCGTCCGCACTGCAGCGCTTTGTCTCCGGTGTCGTAGGAAAGGTCATAGTGCTTGTCCTGCTGGAACAGGTAGCAGGCGTGCATCTGGTTGCAGTTCTGCATCAGACCCTGTGGAATCACATCCAGAATGTTTATTATCACCACAAGAAAACCAAAAACAAATATTCACATATATGAATGTGACGATGAGGCGCACCTCCTCTCTGACCAGCAGGGCTGAACACTGCAGAGGGACTGACATCATCTTGTGTGGGTTCCATGTTACTGAATTGGCCCTGCAGGTAACAAAAACTTTAGTTTAGCTGTTTGGTTCAAATGCTCGTTAGCTTCTTCTCAGTTTGTGTTTACCCCCCCAGAACGTTTTTACTTGCCTCTCAACCCCATCCAGCTTCCACCTGTGTCTCCGGGACATGAGCAGACTTCCTCCCCACGCACCCTGACAGGACACACACATAACAAAGAAACATGTAAGTTTGAATAATTTTCATTAAAGGGACACTCCACTGATTTTACATGAAAAATAAGTTTAAAGTCCTAAAGATATGACGTTGCATTATGGGAAAAGAAGGATCCAGGATTTTGGTAAACTAAAGTCAGGATATCTTGGCCTCAGCTGCTTTGATTTGGACCGTTCTTTTAAAGATCTGTCCGTTGAAAGTTCCCCATCCTTTACAAAACCTCAATTGCGTTTTATGTGTCTATCCAGTTGTGATTAATATATCAAATCTCTACAACCTCAGCAAAGTTGCCTCAAAGCTTTGGTTCTACTAAACTCTCATTTAAATTCATATGAATACTTCAAACTAAATGACATTAGGGGATCAAAAATCATTCGTCTCAATGCTATATGCCTTGTGTCTAAAACTGAGTTGCTTTGTGCATGGGTTGTCTTGCATAAACCCAGTGTTATCACTATATGAGACATGGCTTTGTAATAAAAATATAAAACTAAATAAAATTGAACTCAGATATTACTCTTCATAAAAAGCTGACAGATATTCCAGGGGTGGTAGTGTGGCTACACTTCCTCTAACTTGGTCTTTGAGTTCATTGCACCCAGAGTCAATACATCTTGAGTGCCTTTTTGTGAAGGTTAAGTATAATTATTTGTAAGAGTTGGACTCGATTCAAACACTTGATAGACTCTGCAGGTGCAGAGGGAAGTCTGTATATGTATAGTAGAAATGCAATGATATTAGGTGACTTCAATAAAACTGACTTAAAAATCTTCTATAAATAAATGAATATTTGAAAATTTAAATCTAGCACAATTAATTTAAGATATACCCTGCAGGATTTTCCTTAAACACAATCTATAGACTGATAGAGACAAAATCCCCCTCAGTCATCACTCATGACCCACTAGAAGTATGTGAAAGTATATTTTATTTTTTATTTTGTGCTTGGGACGTTCATTAGTGTGTACCCCGACAGCGCTCAGGTGACGTCGGGTTTTATTAAAAGGCTGCAACGAGTTACCACACACAAATATAGTGAGGCAAACAGGCCAACTGACAGAATCTTGGGTTGGGTTTTACTTATACTTCCATTAGTGAGTGTTTTTACAAACAGATAGTAAACAACAATCCTTTATAGTATACCTTTAACAAGCATAGATCTCCCTACAAGTCAGATGGCAAGACAAATGCTAAACTTTGTACAGTAATGACCAGTTTTTAAGAATTCTATTTGTCCCTAATTCTAAAAATGAGGAACTAGTCAGTACTCTTTAGTGGCTGAACAAAATGGTGATCACGTTTGCTTACACATATTTAGCTAAGGTACACTGGCTGATATATCGACCTGGCCAATTCATCGGTAGACCTCTGCTGTTAAAGGGACAGTTCACCTCAAAATCAAACACCGTTCATTCCTATGAGATTTGCTTTGTGGTGCATGAAGCCAAAAACGTCAGTCTGCAGCGTATAAAATTACCTGGATGATCGACACTGCTTAGAGCAAGCGCACTTGTGACTTACACAGGCCCAGCTGGCTACCTCTGGTTTAACAATCCGTTAACTTAAATGAGGATAAAGTGATTTATTCATGTGGCTCTTATAAACTTTTGGAATGTTATCGGACCAAATGAATCAACTTCTGATAGTGAGACGAATCGTTTTAATGGGGATTGTGATGCTCAGAAAAATGTGTCCATGGATTTACAGGCATCTCCTTTCCAATGTTAGTCTATGAGAAAAAAGGTTTTGGGGCCTAATGGCATCACATGAGCGACTCAGAAGTTGTGATTCCATTCTTTGGCCACTATGAAAATCAGTTGCTTAGTGTGCCGCACTTCTTGGGACCTGATTGACAGGTGTAGTTTGGTAGTAAGAAAATAGTTCCAACATGAAACTGCTCACAACAAGGTCTGTGGATTATCTTGAGTACTGATGAGTCATGATTTCTGGGAAGAGACGTTGCTGTTGAATTTTTCCAAATATATTTTTTGGCACTTGGAGCACCACAAGCCGAGTGCCATCTAGTTTCATTATATTGGAGAGAAGGCAGACATCTCTATGGCTGATATCTCCAACACTCTGCAACTCACACAAAAACAATCTAGACTGATAAATAGCACTACAGGTAAGAGGGAGAAATATATATTTTTGATTACGAGTTCAACTCGTAATCAAATATATATTTTTGATTACGAGTTGAACTGTCCCTTTAAGTCTTATGATGTTAGTGTTGTCCCCCTATTATATTGTGAAAGCTCTCTCAATAAATCTGCAATGAAACTGCCGCTAAACTTGCACTCGTTGCATATATATTCATTTAACTGCTTTGAAGGTTCCTCCAGCTCATTAGCTATAGCAGGTCAGAACATTCTTCACGACTTATATATTCTTCACTCCAAACATTGGTATCATTATCAGCTTCAAAAAGGTCTAAATGTGAGAAGTTCATGTGGATGTTTTTGCCAGCGTCTCTGGATATCCAGCCTCATAATGTTTCCTGCTGAGAGCTAAGAAGGCCACAGAGCACATTTATTTCACGGGGAGCTGCACCCGCAACAGCACATACTCCGACAAAAGCAGCAGGTGCCACAACAGTCCAAAGCAGGATGTTGTTTTTTCTCATCTCAGCCAGTTGAGGAATGATAGATAAGGCCATTTATGCCTCTTAATAGAGGTGTCCCCCTGTCAGGACTAAATCACCTTCATTAATAGATAGAGTTCCTTCAGTGAGAGGGCCCATGATGGCAAAGTCAGGGGAGGAGATGATTTACAGCCTCTGTTCAAGTTTTTCTAATCCCCAGTGTTAGATAGGAAATGGCTGGCTCCTATCTGGGTCAACCGCAAGCAGTTAGAGGCGAGACAGACATAATAGATTTGTCAAACTCACTGGTGAGCTCTGTGTATTCCTTCACTAAAACCCCTGCTGTGGAGAGATGTTGTGCACCGCAGACGTTTTAGGTAATAACAGAGTTTTTAACGAGGCAGTGGGAGAGTATGCAGATTCCATGAAAAGGTCAGTTTGTTTTACTCACATCCACATGCATCCAGACACTGTACTTTTTGCAGATGTCAGAAATGGCGATGAGCGGGTCAAAGGCTCCGTACACTGTTGTGCCCGCAGTTGCGCTAACAAAGAAAGGAACAAAGCCCTGCAGAGACACAAACAGGAAATGATTGTACACAAAGCAGCTGATGCAGTTATAATAATGCCAACATGTTTCATAATCAGGGTGGTTTCAGTCGACTGAGTATCAGAAAATGAGGGCTGTATGAAGTAATATCTGCAGTATTTATAGCTTGTGTTATTAATGTGTATCTCATTACCTTCTGTTTCGCCTCCAGTATTCTCCTCTCAAGGTCGGCTGGGATCATTTTACCACTGCAAAGAAAAAAATAAGCCTCAGTTGCGTCTTGAGTTGTTTGTGAATTCATTAATGGTGGAGTAAGTATTCAGATCTTTTACTTATGTGATGATACCAAGAAATCAATATCAAAATACTTCACGACAAGAAAATGTCCTGAGGAAAACTGAAACTGAAAAAAACAATAACATAAACTAACCAGCTGATCAATGCCATGGTAGACGAACAGCTCCCATGTTCAGTGAATTAAAATTACTGTTTTTCTCAATGGAGTCTGGCTTTGAGAAGTTTCACTTTCTGTTCAGTTTTAAATACTAAGGTTTTCAAAAAACACATCTGTTTTGGAAGTACTGAGCATACGACTGAGTGAATGAGACTTGGATTATTCTGCATGAGTTGTGTGAGAGTTTGAATGTTTTCATATAGTTTTGCTGTTGTAAAACGTGGACCCCTATGACTTCAATTCATCCAGAATTTTCTTTGTATTTGGATTCTTTGTTCATTTTGGAGACAGACAAGAAAAAAAAAATTCTTCACAAATTCAGTGTAACATGGGGTGAGTAACTGATATATAAATGATCATATTGGGAGTGAAGTGTTCCTTTAAGTATTATCAGCAAAATGTGCTTCATACTGATGCATCAAAGTGTAAGCAGCATTTTACTGCTGTAGCTGGTTGAGGTAAAGTTGGGTTTAACTGCTCTGTATACAGGCACTGTAGGCAGTTTTGTTCAGAGATCGCAACCTAAGGGGCTGGTCCCTAAAAAGGGTCACAAGATAAATCTGAGGGGTCAAGAGGTGATTTCTGGGAGAAGGAAAAAAGAAAAAACCTTTCTGGAATTTTCTCAAATTCTCAACATATTTGTGAAATATTTCATAATTTTACCTCTATGGGCCTCTGAACAGAAAATCCCACACGCTGCTCTTGCTCAGCTTCACAATTTATTAGTGACACTAACATCTCAGTCCTCCTGGACCTTCGTCAAGAGTGTTCAACACCATTATTTCCAGCACTGAGCTTAAACAGAAACTGCTCCACCCATTTCAAAGGTATGCACAGGTGTGGGGGAATTCATCAGCTGTGGGCGTATTTCTTAATAATTGGCAACAGCCTGTGCACCATGTGTCACATATCCCACAAACGAAAGAACAAGGGAACAAGAAGAACATGGGAAAAACCTGGTCAACTCAAGCTCCTTACACAATAAAGGCTATTTACAATATTATCTACAAAAATGTTGATCTTATGAATGATCACATCGGTCAACATTGTATACTCTTATGCTGTGTATCATAAATTGGTCTTTTGAGATCCCCAAATCCACTATAGGATGACATGCCATGGTATCTCATCATTCAATCCTTTGGGAGACAGTTTGCAGATTAAATATCCAGTATATACCTCTATAGCCTCAAAAGGACCCCAACTAGACACTTCGTTTTGTAGGGTGTCACAAACCAAAAGGTTGGTAACCAGTGGTTTGATGTCTGATATTTGACTGTATAAGCTAATCATGTGCCGTTTTCAGTAAAATCTTCATCTGCAAGGTAACCACAGCCATCTATAAATGTAGTGGAGTAAATGTACATTTTCCTCTGGACTTTTAGAAACGTTAAGTAACGGAAATACTAGTAAAACTACTACAACATGAACTACTATACAGCACTTGATTTAATGTACTTGATTACTTTCCACCACTGCAATTTATATGTGAACTTTTAATTTTATGCTTTTACACCAAGCATGGATTTTTGTCCAAAAAATTGGATGGAAATTTACAAAAACAGATTTTGAGGGTTCTTATGAATGCTTGCACATCCCAGCAGATTATTTGGAAAGACCTTGATTTTCAGCACATGTCCGCTTGTGGAAATGTAGGCTCAACCAATGAAATCCTTTGTTTTAACTGATGTCATACCTCCAGGTCATAGCTAGCTTGCTGCCAAAATTGGGTTATGGCTTAATTTAGTTTGTAATTCAGATGAGATGGATGAAGACGCAGCTGACATGCATTTGCTAATGTAAATGTTGGTCAAGGCATGGGGCTAGCTCCAACAGCTAGCGTTAGCATCAAATTTAAGATCTGATTAGTTTATATATTTTGTAGTTGACATTCCCTGAGACATTCTCTGTCTGGATAGGATTTTATTGTGTGGAGTGGACACGGACATTGTTTAGGGGGACACTCTCTTTCTCTGCACTGTTGTGCAGTTGTCATGCATGAAGCTTGCATGCAGATTTTCCATAGAGTATTCCCACACCATTTATACAGCTGAAATGAGAGGCGGACTTTACCTTTCATCTGCTTTGATGCAGATCACACTCTCTGTCCCGATGCCAAGAGCTGCCGCACCTTTTTTGATTGAAAAATGGCTCTGAAAATGAGACAAAGAAGAAATAAAATAGAAATTATGTTGAACTGTCTGCACACCAGGTTACAGGAGGGGGAAAACATCTGGAAATATAACAATGGTCAGGCAGCTCTAAAAGGTTTGTGTGTCACTAAATGGCGTCTTTGCCTCACAGCATCTTTTAAATGTCCTTTAAAGATGAAGGAGGTGACATATAATGTGGCAGACACACCAGTCACCTTGTGTCCTGCAGCGTCTCACACACATAATGTCAGCTTTATATCAGCGCTGGTGGTATGAACATGACAGAAAGGCACTTTTAAAACACACACATCAAGCACAGCCACGGTTAATGTGGAAAATAAAAAGTTATTCCTCCACTGGAGAGGATGGTCTTTGACTTTTGGTTAAAGAAAGTCAGTGTTCATTATTTGATCCATTAGGACACATATTGACAGTTTAATTAAAACATAAATGCCTACATGTTCGGATGTGAAGGCCACCAGTCGGGGAACAGATGACATTCCTTTCTCCTTCACTTCGGGGAACATCTTGAAGCGAGCCAGCAGCATGGCGTACATATTAGAAATAGCACCACCTGGAGGACAGACAGGACCCAGTGATTTACAGCCAGTCGGTGTCAGGCCCACATCACAGCCCTGACTGGCACATTCTCATGGGAGTAACGCAGGGCTTCAGAGCACAGTTGGAAAAATTCCGTGTATGTTTGTTATAATGATAGAACAACAGAAATCCTTTGTTCACAGTGTATCAGTAGCGCATCGAGCAATGACACAGCATCCAACTGTCCACAATGTCAGAGCCAATCATGGCCTTTGTCATCACATTCTCCAGTGATTGCTCCTCGCCACGTGTCAGACAGAAAAGCATGGGAGGAATTAAAGACTGGAGGGAGGGTGGTGAGGTGGGGGCTTAAGTTGGAAAAATTATTTTATGCTAATTGGCTTTGAAACGAGTTCCATTTATATCATCAAAATGCAAATTACAGCACACACACACACACACAGAGGCAGTTCCATCTCCAGTGAAACAGAGGGGTGGTGGGTTTGGCGTCGCCGTACATACCAGGAGAGAAAATGCCATCTCCTCGCCCATCCGGCCAGCCAATGATCTCCCTCATCTTCTTCAGAGTGACGTATTCCAGCAGCACAAAGACAGGAGCCACCTCATAGGTGAACCTGCGTTACACAAGGGACATCACATGCTGCTTGTTACACAAAAATGTGCATGACTCATCTCCAGGATATAGCCAGTAAACTGACTTTTTTTTCCAGTTTGGCTGTTTCAGAGTTGAAATTGATGGCAGATAAAACACTGAATAATTCAAATTCTTTGAAGATAAAGATGCAGAATTTTCGGTGGTCTTACAGGCCACACCTTCCACTCTGAGGAGGCAATAAGATTTTCATTTGCACTGATGCTTCTGAACAAAATGTACGAGCATCCGTTTCTTTTTCCACTGCGCAGGCCACATTTCAGACCAAATGTGCTTTCTGCTGTACAGAAGCCTCATATCTTCATCATCCTCGCTGCACTAAAAAAGTACATTTTCAGTCTGAGCCACCTGACATATTTTCCTACTAATACACGGCGTATCAGCAGCAGTAATTTTAACCCTCCCCCCGTGTCAACAGCAGGCTTATTTTGCAGTGCCTCACAGTTGCCAAGGCTGACTCTTGCAGAGTTTATCACCCCAAAAACACACACCCAAATTAGCTTCAGATTAGTCTGAATTTAATTTCAGGGCTAATTTTCTCCCCTTGAATCCCCATGGAGATTGGAGGTGAGGGGGAGGGATAAAAGGCAGAGGTGGGAGGGGGAATAAAGGAGGGGGTCTGCCTTTCATTTCACCTTTTTCATTTGCCATGATTGAGTGAAAAAAAAGAGAGAAGCCGCTATCAGCACGTGCAGACGGCATACGGATGGACCGGAAATGGAATTCATTGTCATTATCATTATCAGCATTTAAAATCATGATGAAGCAAGGGGGCCACATACTTACATATTGGTGTTGGCGGTGGACGTTAGCCAATCGGCTGCCAGTCCGACCATGTCTAATCCTGTAGAGAGCTGATTGAAGTACCTGGGGTGGGCTGAGGAGGAAGAAGGGGAAAGGGTGTGAGATGGCTGCAATTTGAACAGTTTTATCAGGCGTCAGGAAAATTGAAATTTCTGTGTGTTTAAGCTGAGTTTGTGAAAAAGGCAGAGACACTGTCATCTCGTCAATGCTTTAATTGCAGGTTAGAAATGCAGCTGCGGTGATGTTTAAATCATCTTGAGAAATAATGAAAGCATTCGGTGTTGTATGGGTAATGTAGGAATTTAGTGGAGGGTATAAACACCAAGATAAAGTTTCCCCACCTTTGTTTAATATTACAGGTTACATCACACACTGAGGAGCTATATAAAAAACACTAAATTAAATGTTTTTCTTTTTTTTTAAACAAGAAATTCTAAATGTCTCCTCAACAAGTCTGATCCACAATTACTGTCTCAGGAAGACACTTGAATTTTTGCCTTATTTTATTATCATTTCCTCTTAATATGTTTATTGTTTGCTGCATGTTGGCACCAAAAACCAAAGCAAATCTCTCATGAGTAAAAACCTTCTTGGCAATAAATCCTACTCTGATCCTGATTCTACTTTAACTTCCTCAATTTAGCTGTGATAATAAACATTTACAGTAATAAATGGCTTATAATACACTGTAATGTAGTTTAAGCTGTTACATTTGTAATGCATTTGACAACAACTTGTCTATAACTCACCCATGAGTGGATGCTGGTGTATAACAGATAATGAACGGCAGTAAAAGACAGTTAATAATATAGAATATGTCTTCACAGAAGGAGTTTTAATTGTTACAAATACTGTGCATTATAAAACACTTTAAAATGTCCTTATATTTGTCATATGCAATTTGTCACATGTCTATAATCTGATCAAACGGAGTTAAGGGAAAAAAAAATATAATGTATATCTGTATTTGTTTTGGGGGTTTCTGTGCTGTGCTGTAAATTTTCCCCTGCATGTGTCAGCGCCGAGAGGATAATGGACTTGGCCTATGAAGCCTGCTGGTTATTAGCCTATTATCTTCTACTTGGTGAACCAGATTTACTGCGTCACTGCATTTATCGGTCTGGTGGCCAAGAGGAGGAGGAGGAGGAGGAGGAGGAGGAGAACAACTTGCAGGTTGATTTTTATTATAGACATTATTTATTTTTATCTTTTTTAAACACAGATTGCTTTCTGTTCTGTGCTTTGTTTTATTCTGTCTTCACTGTGTAGATTTTTGCAGGATAAACCTTAATTAAAATGGAGATAGGATTCACCTAAAAATCAAGTTTGTGTTTTTTTTCTGTTATAATCTAGGACTCTATGCTATAAATAGTTCTTCCCCCTCATTGAATGAGTTATTAAATATGTCAATATATTGTGACTTAGACGTATTAAACACAAAGAATTGTAGCAGGCCGGGATTTAGGCCTGCATAAATGTGTCAGGTGCAGCTTTAAAGCGGGAATATTTCCTAACACGCCACACTGAAACTGTTTTAGCATATTTAAATAGTCAAAAATAAAGCAGCTTATTTATCAAGCGTGTATCAAACATTTGAGCCTGCAGACCTGACCTGTTTTGATGGCGTATTTGAGAGTAGCGCGACAGCTGATCAAGATATCATCCAGGGTGGCCGGCTCGCCCTGCAGCTCCCAGTTGTTCATCTGAAGAAGCTCGTTTGGATAATGAAAATCAATAACTTTGGTGTCCCGGTCGAAAGACTCCACGATGTAGGCCAGTAAAATATCCACAACTTCCTGCAGGAAGGTCATTGTTTTGGTATCGCCGTCCATGGCAGGTAACAGGTCTGTAAATAAAATATAAATAAATAAATAAACAAACGCGGGAGCAGCAGCAGCAGGGGAGACATTTTGTGATTTATATTTCTGTGCAGAGGAGTCTCATAAAATCATGTTTGCATGCATTCTTTTCGATATTGTGAAATGATCCTGCAGGCCTGTAGACGGGACAAAAAAAACCATATTTTGTTACATTTAAGGTCTGCAAATTAAAGTAAGTTTTTGGAGTTCATGCAACGTTCAACACCTCTGAGCAAGAGATTCTGCTGAAGGTGACCTCTCTGGAAAAACTGTAAAAATGTCCACTATAGTTTACTGAATATTGCGCATATTAAATCTTAATGTAAAAGAAGCACATTATGATTAATTCCATCCAAATTTGCACATGTTCTGCCATTTTTATTTTAATTTGTATGTGTATTTTACTGGCGGTGGGAACAAAGAATAAAGCGGATCAATAAAATGACATTTATATAACAGATATTGACAAATGAAATCGAATTGCAAAATGCCAATTTACACATTGCTTGCTGTTTTTCTTTTATTTAAAAAAGAAAAAAAACTACACTTATAATAAATAATGACTTTTTATGTCATTTTTACACTGACTAAATGACGGTAATCCAAAGCAAGGCCAAGCTGTGACTCAATGAGACAGATCAGGAGTCCGGCAGTGTTTAATCTCCAGGTTTGCAGCATGCTTTTGTACCTGTTGAATAGAGGTTGGAGAAGACCACAGCAGCTTTGGTGCAGTTGCAGGATTTGTTGCAGCCGCAGGTGCCTGCAGCTTCTGTCCCCGGCGGCTGATTGGCGGCCGGCTCGGCGGCTTTCTCCACTTCCCCGACATTTAGCAGCGCTTTGAAACATCACAAAACAGCATTAAGATATTTTTATTACGCTGTCGATAAGGCCAGAACGTGAATGAAACGAATGGTAAAAACTGCGCCCCCCTCACCAACCAATCCCCCACTCCCTCCGACATACCACATAATTTCGATCCAATTCCTCCGGATAATTTCTGGGCCGCCGCTTGGCACCAAGCCCTGGCTGCAAGAGAGAGGGGATAAATCAAATAAGGATGCACAGGAGTCCAACTTTACGACAGTAGCACAAAAGGCGCCATGCAAGTTAGAGGAAAAGAGCAACATTCTCGCATCTTGCAGGGTGAAACGAAAAAAAAAAATGCGTAAAGCAGACACAGCAGGCCTGTTTGGTTTTTCACTCGGCCAAACGCACTGGTTTGAGACAATGCACTGGAATTAGAGCTGCGCCCCGCTCCATCACAGCTGCTTTCAAGACAAAAAGCCACTCACGCGTACTGGGGCTCTGACTCCCGGTGTTGGCCCCCGCATTATCTCCGCCGAGAGACCAGAAACCCTGCGATGCCATTGTTGCCGGTAGTTAGGAGCTGCTGGAGACACGGAGACCGACAGAGCCCATCCACACGCGACGACCCGGCGCTGTTCAAAGCTGATGTGGTGCTGAATGTGACCAGACCTCTCCGACTGCTGCAGCCGTGCATCCGATAGACGCTTTGTGCTGCGGGAAAGACCCTCAAAATAAAACGCGTATGGTAAAGAAAAAAAGACACGCAAAAGGCGTCCACGGTGCTCTTTTTGCAGGCGTCCACAGGTGCACGGAGCGTAAAGCAGCGTCCTCCAAGAGAAATCCGGCGCACCACGCTCTCCTCACCTCATGGGAAATATAGTGCAAGAGTTCAGCTGCGTTGAGATGCCTGCTTTGGATGGAAATAAAAATAAAAACAAACTGCAGCCCAAAAAAAAGTGGTGAAAAGCAGCTATATGCCACAGCTGCTGGTAAATATGCAGCACACACAAGCCATGCCTAATTGCTTCTAACCTAAATGTCACGTCACTAAAGAAATCCCATCGTGATTCACTTCAAGTCATGACGAACTGCGTTGCGTAGCGCGTCGTGACTCCATACATCCCCAACATTTTGTGCCCGTGCGCGCACAAACTTACCCTCCATACAGACAGTGAATGCCAACTAATTCATCTGCCCGGCGACCGCAGACCTATTTTCTTGGAGACCGGCTGCTCTAATTGCCCGCCTCCGGTGGAGGAAGCAGCGGGGCGGCGAGGAGACTTGGTTCAAATGCAGTAAAGTGCGCATGGGTCCCTCCTCTCTGCTGTCAGTGCTGGGGCTCGTTACTCTAAAAGTATTCATTACCCGTTACTTGTTTATTAACTGTAGTTTATTTGTTTCAGGGTGAATAATTTCTATAGATCTCTCTTTTTATGGTTGCATATAAATATAATTATCCAGCATAAAAATGGATGGACACTGTGTTGTAGATTTTGGATGAGGCTAAAGTAACAAAAAAGAAGACAAAAAAATAGAAAATTAAAGCTAGACCATAATTCCACACATTATCTGCTACAAATCACAACACATACAATCCAACACTGTCACATGTTCTGCCTGTTTTCTTACCGTTTCAACATGACTGACAGCAAACGCAGCCTGCGGGCATCATGCCTGAGCCACATCTGTTATGATTTATGAAGGCAATCGCCAGCAACCATTTAATGCCACAAAAGACTCATTAAAATAAAGTGAACCCTGTGGCAAAGTCGTGATGATACTGTAATATTTGTGTATGAAATTACAGTAAATCTGCAGAGGCCTTATGCTGATTTTTTAAAGTTATTTTTAATTCGTTTTTCTTGTATTAATAGCTGTGTTAAATATTTAAAGTATGAAGTATTTCAAAAACAGCAATATTTGCGCCTTCTTTCACACATACTGGTCACTATTTGAAAGCCATTTTCTTGTATGTGTGCAGATTTTGATGCTATAGTTTTGTATACATCCCGAAAGTGGACCCTAGTGCGTCATGACATACACTGCCACCCACTGGCCAGTCCTTGTAAATGCAACACAAATCTCTCAAAAACAAGATGGCCGACAAGATGCAAGAAATGTTGTGCAGCTCAGGAATATCTTGCCAATCTTTCTATACCAGGTAAATAAAATTTAGTAACATCTAAAGAGTCATACACTTGTTAAAATTTCCAAGTATTGGTTTTAAATCTGGAGAAAAATCAGAGTAATAATCTGTCCTCTAAACTGGGCATTATGCATCACTGGCTATATTTCAACTACAGTTATCACAATTACAAAAAATGTGTCATCTGCAGTGCCTGTTTGGCTTCAAAGGGGAACTTCATCTGTTTTCAGAATTTGTACATTTTATTCCTACAGCTGAGGTGCCAGGAGCAAGGACCAAAATGAGGGAGGGTGGAGGAGACAGGAGTGAGGAGTAGAAACAGAGAGAGGAGAGGCTGAGGAGTACGGCTCAGTGCTTTTGCAGCACACTGGGCAGTATTAGAAAAAGTTAAAATATGTGAACACATTAGTTTAACAGCAAAACTATAAATTATAATCTGTCATTTAATTCATTGGTTTATAAACTTTAGCTGAAAACTCAAATGCATCCTGATGGGACATGTGAAAAACTCCCTGAAAAAGCCATGTTTGAAAAAATGAATTTCAATGTATTTATTTATTTTTATGTTTTGTTTTTCATGCCCAAAGAGGAATAAAAATACTAAGGGAAAAAATCTTGACTGAGGTATTCATAATTGATGCATGAAATGGCTAGAGCCAATCCCCATTGTTCCTTGCTGTCTGTGTTTTGTCTGGACATTTGTTATTGTTTTTTTTGTTTGTTTGTTTGTTTGTTTGTTTTTTTGGCTGTATGTAGTTTTTTGTGCCAGTGTGTGCAGTCAGCATGCTGTTGGGGATTCAGTAACACTCCCCATGGGGGTTCTCTCCTTTAAAATGTCACACACATAAAGGTCAGAGGTTGTATCTCAGAGAAATCCTCGGGCCAATATGGGGAAGAAAACATGAGATGGAATTTACCAGGGGGCTGGTTTGATATCAACATGACACAGCTGCTTCTGTTCACTCTCTCTGATATCCTCAACCTTTTTTTTTTTTTTTTTTACCACCAAAGACCTGAAGGAATAAAGTGTTTTCAGTTGAAATGGTGTGTTCAAATACTCCCGCTTTGTTAGTGGACCTAATTGTGAAAATATGACATGCGAGTTACCCTCTTGCGTCAGTTTTGGACATTATAGGATGGCATGTCAATTTATGCTTGTTACATGCGTTGTGTCTTTTTAAAATACACTTCCTTTGTCACAGGAAATGTACAGTTTCTGCCCATTACATGCATACAGTCTTATGGCATAATGTAAACTTACAGCAAAGGTAAAACACTTAGTTTTTATGTTTGTTTCCGTAAGTTTAGGCAACAAAAGCACGTTGTTAGATTTAAGAAAAAAATCATGGCTTGGCTTAAAATAAGTACGTTTGTTACTAACATCATGTGACATATGTCATGAGACATATGCACAGACTGTATAGAAAGATGGACAACGTGACAGCCCTCAAAAGTGAAGCCAAAACATCTGGATTGCCCCCTGGTGGCTGGCTGCAGTACTGGTCATAAAGCACATCCTCTCCATGTTAGTGGATGGGACGTGGGCCAGACTAAAAGCTCTTTCTTGCTATTTACTGGCTGCAGTCTGGTGCACAAAGGACGCCTTTGTGCGTTGGTATCTGATGCGGACATCCAAAGACAAAGCTGGGGTATTTGAAGAGGTCAGTTATTGCCCTCTGTGTCAACAACTGCAGCTGCGCGTGCCTCTGTGCGTCGGTATCTCCCGCAGAGATCACCGACAAAGCGGCGGTATTTGATGAGCTGGGAATAAGAAAATGGAGAGGGATCAAGCATACACAAAGGAGACTTCACTGCAGGTCACAAAGACAGTCTGCACACTGTAGGTTATAAATTAATTCTCTGTTCTTTTAAGGCCACATTTCGATCTACAAGAATTTACTGAGGAACATCTTGTAGATCACCACCTTCTCCTTTGTGACCTTCTTAAAATGGAGTTGTGTGAGGAAATATGTACAACAGACAATAAAAAAATGTTGGTAACGAGACATCACTTCCACATGAACTCGTGTTGCATGGGGGCAGCTATGCTAAATGTTAGATAAATCAAACATCACAAGGAATTTGATACATTTTATGTTTAAATGAACAAAACAGAGAGAAACACTGAAACACTGAAGCAGCTTTTTTTTTTTTTTTTCAGAAAATACATCCTTCAAAATGGATTGAAATGTAAAGTATTCAAGTGAAAGAGCATGGCTTTTGTATTTACACGATCTCTAGATATTTTACACAATTCTAGTTTAAATATATAACCTCAAACACAATATTTACCAAACCAGAGAGGAAATGGATACAGCACACATGAGCAAAAACGCCTAGTTTACAAATGACATAAATAAAACCTTCATTTACAGATTTAAGTATGTGACATTTTATTATTTACATTAACCTTCATCCTGTCCTGCTTTTAGATTAATAAGAACAGCGGTGACTTATAATCAATGCAGTTTTCATTTCTGTTTCATTTCAAAGGTTTATGAAGAAGCTGTGACCAATCAAATACTAACATATCATGTAGCATGACACATGATAACACACTGCCACATTCAGATCCTGACAGATTATGGGCCAAATGGCTAAAAAAGTTCAGTCGTGTGATCAGTACTGTTTGATGAGCCTTCGTCTCTGTGAAGTCTTCCTCAGTAGATGTCTGAAGTCATACGGGTTGTCGTCAGTCCGACTCTCTGTGGAGGGCATTCTGGGAACGGAGCGCCTGTCGACAGGAGAGAGCAGTAAACACATAGACGGAAAAAAAGGGAAAACAATAAAAGATGGTTTGAAAGATTTGAGCCAAAAAAAAAAACAAAAAAAAACAGGATGAGAAATGAGATCTAAAGATCCACATTCAGGGGAAAGATTTCATATTGTTTATTATCTTCAGCAACAATATATCATGTGCGCGGGCTGTCTGAGGCAGTGACCAGGCAGGACTGGGAAACAGATGAAATTAGTACATAGATTTGTCATTTTGAATGGCTGGAATGCGAAATGCAAGCGTGAAAAAAAAAATTTGTAAAGAAAGACACACTGATCCTGATGGTGCAAGTACCTAATGGTTCCATTGCAATCCAGCTAAAATTCTTAACTCTGTCCACAGCTGTTTGTAGGATGAAGGTCACTCCCTCTGTATCCATCATTAAGCAGCAGTGTTGTGTGATCTATCTGCAGTCTTTAATTTGTCAGGAATTATAATTGATATTTTCAAATTAAAACTATACAAACAGTTTTCTTTTAAAAAGACAAATAAATTATATCTCACTTTATCTCATGATTTAAATGCACTGCTTTGTGTGCAACCTTTTAATCCAATTTAGCAAACAAAATTGGATTGTACAGCGCAAGTTTTACTGAGTCCAAGCAGTTTCCCTACAGACAAACTGAAGCATCTAGTATCATATAGTCAGTGTACACAGACATTAATCTCTATCAACAGATATCTGCAGAATCTGTAGGTAAAAGGAAATTATTATCAGAAGAGTTCAGGTCTCTTATTGACCAATCACGTTTGAGTGGCAGGTAAACAGTCTGTGTGGAGTAGCACTGGCCAAAATGCAATCTGGGAACCCATCGGCAATCGTGTGCCAATGATTTAGCTTTTTATTTATTATTTACTTGCATTCATATGCAGATAGATTGGCCTAAATGAGCGAAAGAGGAAGTCTTGGCCCAGACATCTGCTGGCTACACCGGAAAACCGAGAAATATTAATAGTTGGCCCTGGAGGCTTATTGTTGCCACACTGATAGCTGATGGATTCTGAGATTGCAAAGTAGACGGCGGTGGGTGGCGCAACAGGCCAAAACACAAATTCAAAATATAAACATGATTTGCGGACTGTAAAAATGTTTAAATGCGAATATTCTGGCTGTACTATTGTTGTCGGTGAGATCAGTATGTTATATGAACATTATTCCTTAGTCTCTGTGACATATTAGGAGGATTTTACGACTCTTTAGATTTCTTACATATAGCTCCTTTAAATCAGTGAGACAGCTGGAGAAAAATCAAGGAGGTTATTCACAACCTGGACCGTGAGGTGTGGTTTAAAAAGGTCCCAGAAAGCTAGTAAGAGGACCTTTGAGTCAAAAAATGAGCCTTGTTAAAAATGGAAACCATGATAATGTGAATTTCAGTGTCTGCATGTACGTTTACATGCACAAAATATTTCAGTTTTTGCCCTTATTCTGATAAAGACAGCATTCTTGCTAAGCTGTTTACATGGCTAATGAAAAGGATAAATATTCCAGTAATATTCCTGTTTAAATGCAGCCTTGTCTTCTCAGATTATTGTGCCCTAACATCCTTTATCAAGTCAAGGTATGGAAAAGTGGAATGGCTGGCTCTTGTTCCATTTTGCTTCTTTGCGTCAAAATAGGATTTTTCTCAAAGTTTTCCCATCGGTGGCTGTTTTTATTAAAGAGGGAAGCAGTGTTTGGATAGTGAACACCACAACCGCCTCCATCTTCTATTCCTTCAACCAGCTCCTTGAAAAGGTTGGCGTTGTGATATTTTTGCATAAAACCTGCCGATATCCAAGTCTTTCATGATGTCTAAAAGTAGGTGTGTTTCTTCTTCAACCAGAAATTTGGGCTTTTCTTTTGGGCGTGCATCTTAACCCAACAGCCTTGCAAACTGTTGGCAAGTTGGCTTGTCTACAATGCACAGAACTAACTGTAAATAGGCAAGATGCAAACTGTGCAAAGTGTGAGACGCATATGAACGTGCTGTGTTCATGTCCCAAGAATGCTCCTAAAAGAGCACTGAATCTCCAAAACAGGAAGTTAACTCTCTGCTGCTTTTAAAGTATGAGACGCTGATATCATTGGTTATATTGATAATGACGGCCATTTTTCTGCAGCTTTCCAAAAAAGAGCTCTGAGTTGTTGCTCTTTTCTGGACCATTGATGGTAATTTGGTATATCAAACACATAGAGAAGGACGTACCTGTTGTCACTGACAGGTTTGGGAGGTGCTGGTTCAGTGACGGCCCTCTCTCTGGTCTGTCTGCTGGCAGCAGCTGGTTCCTGCTCTGTGGACCGCCTCGTCTCTGTAGACCCTCTCCTCTGTATCGACTGCCGTCTCTCGGGCAGGCTGCTGGGTGGCGTCTCCTCTGTGGGGATGCAGGGTTCAGACTTGCTGGTGGACAGTTCACGGTAGTAGTGGTCATCCACATCCAGCAGCTTCCCTGGACTGGAGCATGAACAGAAGGAAGAGATGGATGAGAGGAGGACAATCAGACACTTGGGCATCACTTTTTTGGTGATTGTTTATATATAGTCTGGTGACTCATACCAAATGCTAGTCTGAAGTGGTGGCGGTCATGAAAACAAAATCATCCACACCTTTATACACTCTGGCTTGCCTTCAACTTCATGTACACTGGGATTATCAGTCAGTCATCCCTGTTACGCCTGTAACTGCACCAGAACACTGCAGCTAGGCTCCTGACAGTTATCCTAAAGAGGGACCACATCCCCTCAACTCTGGCCTCCATTCACTAAGATTTTAAGGTTCTCCTGTTTGTCTAAAAATTCCTAAACGGGCTGCCCACTCCTTTATTGCAGACCTTCTAGCCACCCGTTCTACCTCCAGGTCCTTCAGGTTGGCTGCTTTTTGGCTCCTGGGTGGCTATCTGAATTTAAGCTCAGGGATGAACGCGCCTTTGCTTTTGAAGTCCCAGATTATCCAAGACCCCAGACCTATCAAATCTGCCCCCTCCATTGACTCTTTTAAGTCCAGGCTAAAAACATACTTTACTCACTAGAGTTTGAATCGTCCCAATGTGGCTGTTTTTTGACTTGTGTGTATGAGCTGTGAGCGTTCATGTCAATGTTTGTTATTTTGTTTGGTCTTATATTTCAGATTTTAGCTTCTTGTTCTGGTGTTGGTCATTGTGGGTTGTTTTCAAATGTGCTTGACTTGATAACTGTCCTGAGATACACAATGTTAAAAAGTAATGTCCAGATTAAGCAGTAAAATGTAGGTTGCATATCATAGGAAGTGGTTTTGCAGAAATAGCAACTACATGTGATTCAGAACAGCCCCCAATAGATTTCATTTCCATTTAGGAACGTTGAGGAACCAGTTCAGCCTTAACATGCACTGACAAACAAAAAAGGAAAACATAATTTGAGTTTTGGAAACAAGGGAGACCTAAAACAAAGAAAAAAACAGACTGATGCATTTCAGCCTTTGCCAACTTCTTACAGAGCAGGAAACACAGAGGCTTAATATAGACCCCTCCTAAATGACTGCAATCAAGACCTGGTAGATCACAGGTGTGTCTTCTCACAAAGAGACTATAAAATATCCTTACACACTTAAACAAAGCATTTGAATACACATGGCAGTGGATATCAGAGGTACAATTTACCATTAATCTTGAAAAATATGATTGGCTACATTACTAGACATAGATGTGCTTGGAACTCCAACTGTCTATATAACATTTTCTCTTCATACATTGTATTTAATATTTCTGACGTAGTATTTTAATGCTGGCGTTCTTCACACACGAGTTTGTGAAAATTCTGAGTGTTTCTATTATTGTACAGCTGCAGACAGGTATTTTTGTGGTGGAAAATATACATTTTTTATTATTCCAGTGAAGATTATCATGCTGTTCAAGCCAAAATCCTGCATACTCAACAGCTGAACATTCAGACTGCACAGGTTTCTAGATTTCCTGTTGTAAGTAAGGAAAATGTTTGCTTTATTCATTTTTTGTAACTATGTTTGACTTAATCCTTTCTTCTGATCTTGTTTTAAATGAAAATGGTGTTTATTTGATCTCCGATAATCATTTAGATATTATCAAGATATTTTGTTTTCATTCATGACATTTTAACTTCGCTCTCAGAGATGACACACCAGTTTGCCTCAGCGGCTGTGGTCTAACCATGTTTGCTCCCTGATCTGTAAAACACTGACAAATGACTTGGTGCTGTTTGGTTCTACTTTGACATCTGAACAAATACTTTCATTAAAACTTCAAAAACTGAGCAGATATGGTTTGACTTGGGTCTAAACTTGGGTCTAACCATATACTCAAAAAAATGAGGTTTAATCTTTCTGTTTTCAGTGTGTCCTCCCACATGTGAGCTGCTTTTTCAGATCCACATTCTCTGTCTTTGTTGGTGCCTATTGACCTACTTGTGGAATTTGTGGCACCTTAATGTTGCAACATCTTGTTGTTGCTGTTGTGTAGTCAATATGTACAATCTTATAATGGCCTTTTTGTTAATTTTCACAACAGACATGCTTTGTTTCCTGCCCAGTGGCTACAGATGTAAATAGCTTATAGCAAAGTCTGGCACAGCTAAGAAGCTGTACATTGTCCCTGTCAAATAAACACATAAATAGGTCTGTTCTGCATTAAAGTGAAGGGAAAAATCTGAAGGAAAAAGTCAATAATTTCCACAAGTGATTGTGACCTCCCAAGCTGATACGATTTTTATCAAAAATGTGTTTTGGTAGTCATTTTGAAAACATTTTTTTTCCATTTACTGAAGAAGATAAAAGAAAAAAATAGTCTATTTTATGTTTTCAAGTCAATGTCCTGACAGGATTTTGCTTTGAGACACTTATTTTGCCAGACAAATAACTGACAGATTACAGAGGAAAGGACTATAGGATGCTAATTATGAAGCCAACAGCATCTAGAGGTATAAAGCCCCACAGCCTCACCCTCAGCTCCAGGGATGCTGTCATGAAGTTAAACCTCCGCTCTGACCTCCATTTGCACAGAAGTGAGAAAAAGAGAATTCCCATGTGGAGATTTTCCAGTAAACTCTGATGATCTAACACTGCAATGAGGCCCGTTATAAAGCTGACTTTATAACTGTAATTGCAAATAACACAATCTTCCCACTGATGAAGCATGATAGACGTGCTGTTTGATGGTAATTACCTCCCTGTTTTCTGGCTGAATAAAATGATAGAAACACAGTTTTACACAAAGAACTGGATCAACACTGAAAACAATTTAACAAATAACACTGAAGTAAAGCACGTGGCATTGTGCATCTACTCATGGAGAGGCTCGTGCTTGTGACAGAGTGAGAAGTAAACATCAATGACATCTTTCTCCGCTTAGCTGTAACGTTAGATAGCTCAGTGGTGCTAAGCAAGCTAGCATTAGATGTACATTTCCTCCTACATGGTGATACAGTTGACGGGTGTAGTTTGGGAGAAAGAAAATGGGTTCTTCATGAAACTGCTCACAACAAGGTCTGTGGATTATCTTGAGTAACTGGGTCATGATTTCTGGAAAGAGACATTGCTGTTGAGTATTTCAATTGTATTTTTTGGCACTTTGAGCACCACAAGCTGAGTGCCATCTAGTTCCATTATACTGGAGAGAAGGCACATCTCTCCGGTCGATATCTCCAGCACCCTGCAACTCACACCAAAACAATTGAGATTGATAGATAGCACTGCAGGTATCCTAATGTTTTTAACTCTAGCACCATCATGAGGTTCATATTTTTGGTTTTGAGTGAAATTTCTCAATGATTATTGAAAGAATTGTTATGAAATCAATCAGGTCCAGATTACCATGTACCCCCCTGGATCGACCATAATAGCTTTGCTGACAACTTTTTGATAAAAACCTTCTCCTCTGGTGCTATGATAAGGTAAAAATTTTGACCAAATACCTGCAAAACTAATGACATTCTCATCAGCCTCAACTGTACTTTGTATTTAGTGCTAATTAGCATTAGAATAGTGTTAGAATAATAACAATGAGCTGAAATGTTGAACATGGAAAACACACCGTCCAAAAATTGGAATATTGTTAGCATGCTGATGTTAGCATTTAGCTCAAAGCAGTGCTGCGCCTGAGTACAGCCTCACAGAGCTGCTGTACTGTATAGACCGACTCACCATGACCTCATGCTAACAACAACAGTCACTTTCAGCTAGACAACTGGCATTTGACTTTAATGGTGTAGATATGTGAGGTCGGCAAACTTGTTTAAAACTGTTGTCATTTTGAGCCATAACTGTGACATTGAAAGATACATCTATAGATGCAGTTTTAAACAAGTTTGCCGACCTCACATATCTACACCATTAAAGTCAAATGCCATATATATATATATATAGCACACATTTCTGCTGTGCTTATTTGATGTATTTTGTTGCTTTGCTAGCGTCTTTGATAAACCAAATCTAAATCTAATAGCATGAAAGCTATATCTTTGGAATATTTTCATTGCTTTACCCGAAACACAAACTGATGGAGGCAATAGTAAACCAGCAACTCCTGTGTTCTGCAAAGTAAAATTACTGTTTTTGTCAATGGAATCTTGTGGCTTTGCAATAACAATTTTAGTTTCTGTCGGAAAGTGCTGTCTGACACCAAGGTTAAACGCTTGGAATATTCTAAATACTGTATACTGTACACTTAAACTAATGGTGATTTTGTTTAGGTGGACCTTTTGTAGGTAGCTTAACACTAACCAACTGAGGCACCATTTCATTTTATGTACATGATGCGGGGGTTTTCTACCTGGAAGTTATTGTAAACATGGCTGTCGGTTCTTGTTTTTGGATTTCAGTGGATAAAGCTTGAGCTTTTGTAGTTATATAATTTGTATTTACACCTGGTTCAGACACCAGGGAACCAGTTCAGCCCTGATAGCTGAACCAGGGTTGGTTCATCACTGGTTCACTGCTCACACTAAATACCTGGATTTTGCTCTGATTATTTTCATCAGACTGTTTTTTGCTGCTTTCGGAAACATAACACACCCTTTTCCCAGGTACAGAGGAATTTTCCACAGAAATGACATCAACACTGAGTGTTTAAAATAGCAAATAAGAATGGTTTATTGAGCTGGCAGTAAGGCTGAATCCCTTCTGTGTTATATCTGTAGATAGAGGGCGCAAAACAGACATGTGATAGATCATTGCTTTAATATTGTCAATAAAAGAAATCTGTGGTTTGCTATTACTGTTTCTCTCTGCCTCCCTATTTCTCCTTTTGTATGTCTTTACTCCCATTTACCATCATCACCTCTGTCTGTCTCTTCAGTTTTCACTCTTCTTACCACCCACGCTCTCCCATCTCCCATCCTCCTCTGCTGTCAGCTTCAGCCAGAGATGCAATCTTTCCTGCTGACCTTCTCATCCCTAATGATGCATGTAAACTGCTCCTGTCCATCGCTGGCTTTATTTATCTGCTTACAAATTATTACCCTTGATGTTTAACGCTGTGTCGCACTGTGTGTGTGCATCATCAAGGTGTGTGTGTGTGTGTGTGTCTCTTCAGACTGCTGTGATAAAGTACCCTGGCCCCTTCTTGTTCAGCACAGCCCTATCGGTCTATCTTCACCCCCTCACTCTGGGCGGTACGCTCACCTTGTGGCCTGTGCGACACATACATATGCATGAACACACACATCCACACACACTCTCCAGTCACCTTTTGTCACCAACCTTACATACCACCACACCAAATATGCCTGATGCCTAACATTAAATTTTCAGTATGTTTAGCTAATGTAACCAAGGTGAAAGATGAGGCTAATTAATTTCACAGAGGATGTGTGTAATCCTGCAGATCATTAAGTTTGGACCCAGACACTGTCCTTATGTTGGCGCTGGGCTACAGTCATTACTCCTGACCCGCTGTGCCAAGCAAGCAGGCAGCAGGCCAACCTCTTAAACACAGTGGTGATAGGTTGTTAAAATTCAGTTGAAGTAAGGACTTGCACACTTACTCCTCTTTCCTGGGCTTGCGTTTATCATCCTGGACAGACCGCTGGGAGGAGAGAAACAGAGGAGAGATAACTACACGTCAATCAAACACTCCCAATCTCTGTGCTCAGTTAAAGCAAAAAAGAAAGTGGTTTTAGAACAGTGGTTCCCAACCTTTGGCTTGTAACCCCCAAAGACTGAGTTTAAAAGTTGAGACCAGTTAGCCAAAGAGAAATTTTAACCACGCTAGCAGCAAATATCTCAACAACAACACAATTAGGCTCCTCAGGCACTCAGTGACCTTGTGGCTCCGCTTCGGGCTCAGTGGAGCATTCAGAGGGAATCGTAAGGTGCCCTTACATAAATCCTCATTTGGACTAACAGCTTTTTTTTTCTGGGGATCAACATGTAGAACTCCTTACTGGCAGAAAAACACTTTTTCATCCCAACTCGTCAAATACAGACACTTGGTACACGTTGAAATGTGACACCCTAGGTACCCTCCTGCGTCAGTTTTGGATGTTCAGTGATGGCCTGTCAATTTACGCTTGTTACATGCAATGTGTCTTCAAAATAAACTTAATTTTTTACAGGAAAAATACAGTTTCTGCTACTTGAATGGAGATAGTATTTAAAATAAACTTACAAAGAAGTTAAAACACTTAATTTTTAAGTTTACTTCCTTCGGTTTAGGCACCCAAAGCATTTGGTTAGGCAGAGGCAGTCCTGGCTAGTTTTACGCCCTGGGCGAACCATCCCTCGGTCCACAAACCCCCACTGCTCCTCACCCCCCACGGTACGATACCAGTGAAAGTATCACGGTTCTGAGTAGTATCACGATACCACAGCAAAAATGAGGCAGATGTGCCTTTTGTCATTTATAAAAAGATAAATCACTTTTCTATAACACATCAATGATATTTCAATGGAATAAATTACTTACTGACTTATTCATACTTCAAAAACAGCATCAATGAGTGATGAACATAGGGGGGATCAAAATAAAATAAATAAATAAAATAAAAATCAACCAGCCACCCTCCTCCCCTGACAAGTAAAGAACAGTCCCTCCATAGGTAAAGAACAGTCCCTAAAGTGCGGTGAGGTTTGTGGGACGTTACCTGCCACAAAGAGAGAAATGTGAACAGCTCGTTTCTCCTCTGACACGCCACATACCTGTGTGCCGCCACGGCTCGGTTTTCCAGGTACTACTGGGCAGTCATGACACCAATGAAAGAGGAAATTACTGGAACTGGAGTCGGACTTCTCTGTCGCCGGTAAGCCGTTATCTTGCGCCGCAGAGCACTATGAGCCTCCGCCGTATTCCCGTCTGTGACCCCCGTTCAACACACAACCGCCAGGATTCGCCTTTCCTTTCTGCTGCTGGTTGAAACGTGATAATAGGGGCGCCCCAGCGCCCACTCCACTAACTTGACGTGGAAATGAGCGGTAGTCTAGAAAACTTTTTTTTTTTTTTTTTTTGGAGGGCGCTCGTGCGCATAGATTGCCCACATTGTCCATAGCAAAAACCGTCCCTGTGGTTAGGTTTACAAAAACCCCATCATGGTTTGGCTTACAATGACCACAGTTATTACCAATGTCATGTAACGTCGCCTGACACACGTCATGCGACATATGTCACTCACATAGTATGCTGCACATATCAGTACAATACATTGTTATTAAAATAACTCCATTTACTTTTGGTTTCACACAGAAAACCAACAGCTGTCAGCTGGCTCCAGGGTGAAAGTCCAGAGTTTGTTTGACCCATTTCCCTCCCCTCCCATCTGCCCTATGTGGACTTTCTTGCTTTTGAAAATAAAGAAGTTGCCCACAGTGTCAGAAAAAGCCACTGCCCTGTGTGTATCATACCGCTGCTAAGGGTGCCTCTGTGTACAAGTGTCTCCTGCCAAGGTCCACTGTCAAAGAGTTGGGAGTGAGACGAGCTCAGCAGAACTCAAACTGGATCCTGACTGAGATCATTTTATACTCAAACTGAACAGTTTTTGAAGAGAGATCAGTCATGTTTGACAGTGCTTACTGTATTATAATTTGTGTCTTGTATTGCTCTATCCAAGTTTGTGTTTTGTTTTATCTGGTGATAATCTTTCCTCTAGCGCCACCGTCGGTCATCTTTTTATTTGCTTAATACTTTGGTTTGTGACCAAATTGTTTCCCATTAGCTTCAGCTGTACATGCTAAAGTAAGCATGATCGAAATTATACTTGTGAAACATCAGCATATTAGCGTCGCCACAGTGAGCATGCTAGCATTAGCATTAAACACATACAACTGCTGTGACTGAGAGCAACCTCACAGAGCTGCTAGCATGTCTACAAACTTATAAGGCCTTTGGTACCAAGTCTATATTTTTTGTCCAAAATAGCTGCACTTTTAAAATAAATACGACCTCATGTTGTGTCAATCACATTTACACACTGACGGACAGCTCAACTCCTTGATGTAGCCATGGTGCCAAATGCGAGAGGCGGGCAGAAAGTTGCCAAAGCCAGAGAGGTAACTCCAATGGAAGCAGGGAGCAAATTTGTCTTTCCATTCTGTCTTGTATTGCGAATATTAAAACAATTAGGGATATATTTGATTTTTTTAAAGGCCTAGGAAGGTAAACTTAGTAACTTATAGAAAAAGCAAATATTAATATAAACAAACACAAAAAAGATTTTTGTGTTGCAGATACTGTTTATATTTTTCAGCATTCCTATCCTGTTTATCCTGTCATCATGACTCCTCTGTTATTCATGTGGCCTTTTGTGGGGTTGTGACCTCATGTTGGGAACCACTGTTCTACAAGACATTTGTGACAGCTATTCACTTTTCAATCAATAGAAGCATTTCTAAAATATTAAATCGCTTTACCTTTGAGCAAATTTTGCATCATTAAATTTATCGGAGTGATCAAGTTATTATCAGGTCAATCATGTTTTTAAACTACAGTGTTTAAAGTTTCCTATTGCTAAAGTTTCTTACTCTTTATCAAAAGTTTAATCTCACGTCTCCATTATTAATTGATTAAATTATTGATGAGATGCATTATGCATTATATAACTAGGTCAATTAAACAGAACTGACAGCATTGTAAACAAACCTTAAGTGCTGCAAAAAGAGCTACTCTGCGCTCGGCTATTGTTCGCTGAAATCATGAAACATTACAAATAATTGCATGATGAGAACACTAAATAAAAAGCATTAAAAACAAACTGCTGAAAAAAATTATTTGTACTAAATGTACTAAAGAAACTCTGGACAGTACCTCTTGTAGTTAAGAGTAGCGCAGACGGGAAAAAAAATTGCCAATCAATAGTGCATTGTGGTGGCTCATAGCTGGGGAAGCAGTTAAGTTGTCACATGGCAGCTGACGGCAAAGCTTTGTTGTAGTAAATATCTGAAATCGTTCTCCGTCTCTTTTTCTGTGACTCACATGAATCAGGGTGTAATAGGTGGAGTCCTCTGGTGTGTTGAGGGTCTTTGGCTGCTGGGTCCGGCGGGGGGTCCTAGACTTTCTCTTCTCTGCTGAAAAGTGACAAAGATTGTTGAAAACATCAGGCAGGAGTTTAATGTTGTGCTGAGCAGTTAAAGTTAGACGGAAGACGCTGGGTAATGATTCCTGTAGGAAGCATTCAAATGAATGGACACTGAAAGGAAAACTGAAACTCAAACACATGTTTACACATTATTAATCTACAATATTCTTTTTAATGATGTTTTTTTGGCACCCTAAAATGCCTTTTAACAACTTTTAATAGGTGTCTATCTATATGGGGAGTTTAAAGAGTTTATGATCGTCCTGCATCTGCACTGCATCATGGTTTACTGAGGTTAATGATAAAAGGGGAAATGTCTGCTTTCCTACATTTTCTGTGGTAAATTTAATATAAGAAAAATACAGTAGCAAAAGAGAGGCAATTTTTTTTTTAAGGATTATTAATTTCACTTTAATGGCAAAGGACGTTTTTTCACTCTTTCACACACAGGAGAAAAATGAGAGGAGAGAGAGATGGGGAATGACATGAAACTGCAGTCCCTGGCTGGACTTGTTGGGATACATGGACGGCGCCTTATAACCCCTCTCCCTCTGGGCACCCGGGCATCCCAAAGGCTTTCTGTCTAAAAACACTTCATCTTAAAGAAAAGCAGCACCACATCTTCTGACTTTTCAGCTTTGAGACATAACATTACTATGTGCTAAAATTATTTTTAGTCTGTCCTACCTTACAGTTGGGGTAGGCAGTTTTGTTTTGGCTCATTTGGCAAAAATCCCATGATAAACTTTGAGCAATGTAATTAAAGTAGTCTGGGAGAAAACTAGACTTCTGCATCTCCTCTTGGCTCTGCTTTCAGGCTTTAGAAAATCTAGCCCATGATGGGAAACTTTGGCCAATCACAGGTCATGTCAGAGAGCAGGCGTTTCTATTGATTGTTCTACAAATACAGATGTGTGTACACATTCAGTAAAAGTGAGAGTGGCAAAGAAGCCTGCAGAGAAAGTTGATATTCCAGCACTGGCAACAACTGCCTACACTGCAGAGCAACCCAAACAAAGAAGAAAGACTTATCAGAAAGAGTCTGAAAGAAAGTCTAAAACCCCACAGTAAAACACGTCAATATTAACAAAACGTTTATGAGATGGAAAGTATGGGGTGCTAATAGCTGAGCCTTCTGCTAACCGGATTCAAAGGCTCATAGCTGTGGCTAATTCAAGTTGATATAGCTAGTTAGAGCCTCGAATTATACACTGACCTCTGACATATTCCCCTCTGCTACAGATCACCTTGTCTGGACGAGAGCAGGCAGCAACCCAAATCCAGCTCTGGGAGACTGGACAGCCCTGACTACCTGCCAGATCAGCAAACTTTCTGTTGCTGTTGTTACATTAGTTAGCCCTGGCACTGCTGCTGGCCACCAGCCCACTGTAACACCACTGCTGGGGGTTTTGCACCGGCCAAATTCAAGCCATTACAGCCCCGGAGCCACTGCCCGCTCTCCCCCCAGCAAAGCAGCCCATAGCTGTAGGGAGCGAGGCTTAGGGGGTGGCCATGGGAAAGCGAGAGGAAAGAGGAGCTGAGCGAATGTGCTGCATGCAAATGTTCAATGAGAAATGATTCATTTAATTCAATGTATGGGCAACACTGGGGTTACTGTATGAAATGAGTGCATTTGCCTGTGGTTGCCTGGTGGGAGGGGCTTCAGACAGAGAGGGGAAAGCTACAGGAAGATGTGATTTTCAAATTCTGCCTTTTTTGTGCCTGTTCCAGAAAACTGCATAATCCAGCTGTAAAGTTTGGTAAAGGTGGTGATACTGTCTGCAGAAACCTGCGACCTGACAACATGATACAAAGTGATCTAAAGGTTTTTTTCCACTGTGATGGGATTCAGAGGAGGTTGGGCAAATGCTACAAAAAGAGCTAAACAGTCAGGTCATCAGGGATTTGTCGATGATTGTTGTCACTTTTGTGGCTAACCATCATGATCAAACAGCTCCAGAGCCAGCGGTATCATTACACACATGGCTGGTTGGACAGAGACTATTGAGTGTGATGTGGCATCTTGCCGACCTGACTCTGTTGTACTTATTGAGCTTTCCTCCATACATACTGCAGTTTAACCCTAAGGCCTTTGGCAGTTTGAATTTTCCAACAGAGATTATGTGAACCAACCCTTGACACAATCAAAGTGTCCTATAACTTTGATTTCCTGCACCGTATTGAACATAAAGAGAGAGTCTGTGACCAGCTGAGCAGCTTTTCATGCACCACGTGCTCCACACTGTGGTGGATGTGTTGCAATCTATCATATCTGTCATTACTGTTACAAATTCCTCTTTTGGCATGTGATTGTAATTGCAATTATGAACATATTACAATGACCTTTGCTTGTTGCTCATTATTAATCACCGTTCATGCAAGAGGGGAAAACACACGGCAATCCATCATGTGCAGAAGCTCCTAGGTAAGAGAGGTGAAAACTTTGTAATATTGAACAACTGTATCTAAAGGTCATGCTGTATTGCTCAAACAACTAAATCTACCGATTTCACACACCCTCTTATTAATTCCTGCCATAATTGTTTGAAACGCTCGCTCACAAAACGTGATTAACATTTGACGACCTTTCCCATGAAGAACAAATGTCACTGGCATTCCTCTGCTTTCATTGTGTGTGTCACAAATGATTCTGATGAGGTTTATTGTGTCAATGAAATTTACAGCTTAGGACTGTCGATGGAGAAATGACCTAGTGGGGCTGAGAAGCATAATTTAATCGGGAGTTGCAGTAGCCCTTGGAAATAACACAGATAATTTATTCTGCTTTACCTCAGGCACTGTGCTGCAGAAAAGCCTGTAAAGGGCAAACATGCCCAGATTAAAGGAACACTGTACTCTAACAGTAACTGTGTGGAGTCATGTGTGTATTATGTTTCACTCTTAGCTCTACGTATATTTGACATCAAAATGAAATCAGACATTAGCAGATCTAAAAGTACAACTGCAACTGCATGTAAGTGAAGTTCACTTAATGAAACAGTTTGACATTAAAGAACATGCTTTTTTGCTTTCTTGGTAAGCATTAGTACTGTCTGTACAGTACTGAAGATAGAGCCAGCAGTCAGTTAGCTTAGCTTAGCATTAAGACTGGAAACAGGGTGAAACAGCGAGCCTGGATCTGTCCAGTTGCAACAAAATCTGCCCACCACTGCTACTGGACAATTCTGTACATTTTCAAAAATAAATTGTATTCAATGGCAACATTAACGATATCTCTTTTTGACTATATCTGTACATGGGATTTACTGTATGGATTAAGGTAAGGGAAAGATCCTGCTTGGGACAACAACTATGGATAAGGTATAAATAAAGGAACACTTCACCCTCAAATCAACAATCCAAAATTTTACTCTACGAGATCACAGGTCACCACTGAGCTAGCTAACATTACAACTTAGCCGAGGAGGACACCATTAATGTCTGCATTTTGCACTGTCACAAGCACGAGCATCTCATCCATGAGTAGATTCATGTCTTCTTTTGCGCAATGATATGGCTGGTCTAGTTCAGTAGACAGAAAATAGCTCCTTTATTTTTCTGTGAAGAGACATTAATGTTGAGTTTTTCCAACACTCGGCAACTCACACCAAAATAATCTTGACTGATAAACAGCACTACAGGTAAGAGGAAAAACAAGTATTTTTGATTTTGGGATGAACTGTCCCTTTAACAATTTTTTTTCCTACAAAATCTGTGCATGGCAACTACAGTATGGTTTAAAGTTTGGGAAAGATCACCCTTAGAACAACAACTATGGTTAAGGTGTAGTTACGGTTTGGCAATAAAACGCTTTGTTAAAGTTGGATTTTGACTATGTAATAAAATAAAATCTTCCTCCTACATATGAAAAGTTTAATTTATAAACCATAAAATGGAACCTTGCTCAGTTCAACACACTCAACCTGGAACCTTATTCGATCTGGTGTGTCTGTATGGCTCTTCCTTATTGTGCTACTCTTTCACAACATTTTACTTCAGTCAGGTTGCCTTATGTTAAAAAAGCAACTGACTTGAGAATGTTCAGAAATTCAAAGAAAATTCAATTTGTCATCTACCAGGATTGCCACTTTTGGCCTCAGTAGCCACAGTGAAGCAGCTGTGGTTAGGTTTGAGGAAACTAAATCATTAATTCAAGGTTAGGGAAAGCAGTTCATCTGTGACAGCACAATAAAGTCACCAAAGATCAACTGAATGGCAAAATAATCATGATGCTGTCTAAGGAAAGATAGTCATTGGTATTATTACATAATCATTGCATTATTTTCTCAAGACACCTGAACCCACGACAACAGTGACATTTCAGCTGCCAGCTCTGTTTTGCAAAGACGGTGAACTTTCAATTTGCTGCCTCCCCCCGCTCAGCACCCCGAAAGCAATTACACCTATCACCTGTGCAAATCAAATTTTATTTTTGATGACACATTGGGTAGAGAAGCTCTTCCTGTGTTGGCACTTGACTTTCCCCGGCTTCCTGATCTAATCGAGCGTCACGAGAGAGAAAAGAGAACGACGTACATCGATAACATCGCCTTCCTATGTGAGAAGACGGTAATAAAATCTCTGCTTCTTTCTTAACATAAAGAAAACAAGAACAGTGGGGAAAAAGCAGGCACAAGCCCACACACCTTAACTTTGAAATAATAAATACTGAGCAAGCAGCAATTCCTGTCTCAAACCCTTTATATTTACAAAGAATAATGTTTCCTTTTTTGTTCAGTGTAGCAGGAAATGAAACAGTTGCACTCTGACTTATACGGGTGAATGAACGTCATTCAGCTGTGTGTCTGTGAGGGATAACGTCAGTGCAGCAAAGACCAAAAAAAGTCTCTAGTGAGGGATGAATAGACTAAGAGAATACAAACATGTCCTCCTTAGACAGACAGCCTGTCTTCCTTAATTACCTAAGCTTCAAAAACAGAACCAAAAATGCACATTAACCTCAGGTCAATCCACGCCAACATTATGAATTACATTTATTGCTTTATAATCTGTTTTTCACAGAGCATAATCTCAATTATCTTACTTGATTGGTGAATCTGGGGAGCATAGCCATTGATTGCTTTTCCTCTCACAAACATGCCATTGCTCTCGGGGTTTGATTGATGGGCCTGGATGATCTCATTCAACTTCTGCTGCAGGGCCAGAAAGTCCTGAGAAGTCTTTGTGATCTGTTGAAGAGATTTGGAAAAATAATATATGAGTGGGGGAAAAAGGATGTGTTAAAGAGGTGATTGGGTAATTTTGCTTTCAATAGCCCGACACCATAACTAACAGGTTAATTTTTGAGGAAAAAACAAAGTAATGCAAAATTCCGTATTTGTATTGTAAATGTTTTGTGTTGTAAATGCCTTTTACTTTATTATCTGATGGCTTTGCTGACAGACAGACAGATAGTTAGCCGCATTCACATACAGAAAAACATATTGCTCACTGCCCGCCCCCTGGTCTCCACTGGTTAGCTAACGTTAGCATTGGCCAGTCTGCACTGTGCACCACCTAGCTCGGGTGGGAGCTAAGTAAGATAGCAGTGCTGCTAATTCTGGATTAACACTGCTAAAGTCGTTCTCATGGCGGGATGATGTTGCTGTGGAAACATGGTGGCCACCCTCTGGTCTCCACCAGGTAACCTCGAAGAGTTACGGCCAAACTACATTGGAAATGGACGCAGTGCACCACTGAGTGCCTCCATTTTAGTTAGCCAATGCTGCTACACAGGCGGCTCTTGCCTGCACGGCTAGTCTCTATTTTAACATGGCTGATCTATTCTTTCCCCTTTATGCGCTGCTCTGCGGCCCTCCAACTGGTAATAAATACATAAAAACCTTGCTCCGCCCTGCCTACATCTTTTGGATGTAAGTTGTTTATTTTGAGCCGCAAACCCTGTTTAGCACAGTTAACTATGTTAGCACCACTAGCCCTGCTGACACTGCTCACTGTTCTAACAGAGCTTAACTGTGATGCTATAGGGGGTTTTCAGCCCAAAAATGAGCCACTTGCTCACAGGGGTGTCCTGAGAGAGACCAAAGGGTGGGAACAGTGTTTCCACAGCAACGTTGTTGAGTCAGGATGGCATTACAAGCAGCAATCATGGAATGAGCAGTGCCGCTAGCTAGCTCTCATCTGACCCATTTGTTGGGCAGTGCAGAGAGGCCATGGCTAACGTTAGCTAATCAGTATAAACTGGAGAGTGGGCAGTGCACTTTGTTAATGTGGTTAGCTGGCTGTTTGTCTTCCACCAGATCCAGGTGGTATGCTGTGCAGTGAACTGAAGAGTTGCTAAATTAACCTATAGATTGAAATGTGTAACCAATCAAAACGGACTAATGGTTAATAGTTGTCACCCCCTGTACAACCTAAAATGATATTATTACTAGGGGTGGGGGAAATTTCCGATTCTTAGATGCATCGCGATTCAGACGTGGACGAATCTGAATCAATTCACAAACGTCCAAATTTCGATTATTTAAATCTGTTAATTAGAGTAATACAGAAGGTTCTAAATAATGCGGAACTAAGAAGCGCGGTACGTGTCATCTCCGGGACACTTTGGGATGCGCACCTGGAGCAGACACGCCGACACGCGCACAGAGGAAAACAAACATGGCTGACCGCTACCCACCTCGCCGTGAGAGCTGAACAGCTTCTTCTAATTTAAAAGCAGATGTGTGGAAATACTTCGGCTTCTACAACGTTGACGGCGGAAGCGAACTGGACAAGAGCCACGTTATATGTAAGCTGTGTCGTGCTAAAATAAAATACTTTGGCAACACAACAAACATGAGAAGCCATGTAACTCGATTCCACCTGACGGAGGAGTCAGGGAGACGGCAGGCTGTTGTTGCTGCGGCAACTAGTGGCGCTACCGACCAGAGAACAATCGAGGAAGCAATTAGAAAGCTGCCACCCTCATCGGAAAAGGCGAAGCGAATTACGAAGGCCATCGCGGCATTTATTGCCAAGGATTTGCGTCCTTATTCTGTCGTGGAAAATCAGGGATTTCGAGCACTGCTGCATACACTGGAGCCCAGATACACCATCCCATCCCGACGCTATTTCACCGACACTCTACCATCAAACCAAAACAGAAGTCATGGCCTCACTGTTGAAGGCAGGTAGGTAGGAACGCAGTTACATGTGATGCGTGGACGTCTGTTGCCACCGAATCATTTGTTACTCTAACTATGCATTTTATCTTGTGATTTAAGATACCTGTTGTTACCTTTGGTTCCGTACAACGAAGTTGTAACTTTCCAGTTTGCACGCATTTCCATTTATATGTTTAATAAAATATAATGGAAATGAATTCAACTCTCTCTTATTACAAATGCATTGTTTTTAAAAATTGCAAGTGTTGAATGCTGATTCAGTGAGACAAAAAGAAATGTGTGTTGTGAAAAAGTGCATCAATATACATAAAATAAAGATGCATCAATAATCGTTTTATAATCGAATCGTAGCCCCTGAATCGTAATCGTAATCGAATCGTGAGGTGCCCAAAGATTCCCACCCCTAATTATTACCTGTTTGGAGAAGTTCTCTAGTTGTGAAGCTTCTGTCTGAGCTGTCTGCCTGCTGGCCTTCAGGTTCTTTCTGTCCTTGTACCCTCTGAAGTTGCTCTGTATCTTCACTGCAGCCTGCTCTTCCTCCAGTCTCTCTTTTTCAGCATCTGTCTCCTCTTTACGTTCTATCATCACGTCCTCAACATCCAGGACTGCTTCCTCTGCCTCCTCTTTAGTTTCCTCTTCTACATCATTGGCAGCTTCTTCCTTTGCTTTGTTTTTCATTTCCCTCTCTGCTTTCAGTTTCTTTCGATCCCGATGGCCTCTGAAGTTACTCTGAAGGACTGTAGCAGCTTTTTCCTCGTCCAGTCCCTCTGGGCTCTCAGCAGAAGCATCCGGCTGGGATTCCGGCACTGACTCTTCTGTCTGCACTACCTGTTCCTCTTCTTCTTTTGGAGGTTCTGGTGTAACTTCCTCCTCCTTCTTTCTCTTCTTCTTCGGGATCTTTCCTTCCTCCTCGAGTCGTTTGCGCTCCTTGTGGCCGCGGAAGTTGCTCTGAAGCACCACAGCTGCTTTGGCCTCGTCTGGGTCCTCTGACTTGACATCGCTTGAAGAAACATCTGCAGCATCTTGAGCTACTGTGGATTCTTCTTCCTTTTCTGTTACTTCACTGCTGACTTCCTCTGCTGGTGCTTGAGCTGGGGGCACATCTTCCTCACCTGTAGGGCTGCTCACTGTGGGCACTTCTTCTTCAGCAGTAGGACTTTTTGGTTTCTGTTTCTTAGCTGGGATCTTGCCTTCATCCTGCAACCTCTTCCTCTCTTTGTGACCTCTAAAATTACTCTGGAGGACAGTGGCAGCCTTGGTTTCTTCTTCTACGTTAGGAGCCTCTTCCCCTGCAGCCTTTTCTTGACGATTCTCCTCCTTCTTATCCTCCTCCTGCTCTTCTTTCACAGCATCTGCTGCCGGTGCATCCTCAATAACCGCTTCATCTACCAGTTCTGTGTGTTCGTCATCCTCTGGTACCTGCGTGTGATCACTGTCATCATTCTCTTCTGCATCATAAGTACTTTCCTCCTCATCTTCATTCTCCTCTTGTATATTACCTGTCTTCTCCCCTTCCTCCTCTTTGCTGGTAGGCTCCTCTTGCTCTGTCACTACGTTTGGTGGTAACTCTAGCTCGGCCCCAGCCATCGTCTTTTTCCTCTCCTTAAACTTTTTTCTCTCTTTGTAGCCTCTGAAGTTGCTCTGGAGAACCACCGCAGCCTTAGTTTCGTCTTCCTCGTTTGTTACTTCGTTGTCAGGAGCAGCAGGTTTTTCTTCACTGGTGATCGTCTCTGGTTCAGGAGTCTCTTCCTCTTGTTCTTTAAGGGCCTTCTCTGCTTTCTCTTTCTCTTTGGCTTCCCTACAAACAAAATGGGTACATCTTTGTTATTGATATTTTTCAGTGCTATATTGTGTAAACTTCCTCCTCTCTCATACCGTTTTCTTTTGAAGCTCTTCCTCTCCTTGTGCCCTCTGTAGCGAGCCTGAATCTTGGTCGCAGCTTTGTTTTTCTCATCTACCAACTCCTTGTATTTCTTTTTTGCAAGATAGCCCCTGCAAACTGAAGAAGGCAACAAGGGAGATGTAAACCAGTGCAACTAAACCAAGCTTAGACTGTGTTGGATAACAGATTCCATCTCAGGCTACATCTACACTCATAAATTTTCATTTCAAAATGGCATCGTAAAATGAAAACAATCTGCAATAATCTCCGTCCATACTAATACACTAATACATGATCATTTAAGTACACTGGGCATGCACTAAAGAAATATTAAAGAAACTGAAAAATGTAAGACCAGAGATTTCTTTGCTTGGACCTACATAGAGGTAGAACTGTTACTGACAGTTAGATATGAGTAAGCGGCAGTGAAAAACAGATTGGGAGTTGTTGCAAAGTAAATATGAAATGAAAACGTATATGTGTAGCTTCAGATTGTTCTTACCAGCCTGAAACTGGACAATGAAGGCCTCAAACTTTGCTTTGCTTTTGTCATCAGCCACCCTCTTCCGAACTTTATGACCTCTGTAAGCTGCAGAGTGTGAATCAAAAATTGGATTTTAAAACTTAAAATTACAGTAACTGCTTCATGTTCTGGAAGATAACAGAGTGCACATTTTATTTACCTGACTGCAGCACCAGAGCACTCTGTTCTCGCTCTTTTAATATCCGCCGGTATCGTTTTGCTCCGAGCCAGCCTCTGACATAAGCCTGGAGCAGAATGATCCGCTGTGTGGCCTGCTGCACCATCAGGTTCAGATGTTCAACGTGGTAGTATTTGAGAAACACCTGAGAGAGGGGACAAACAAAACATGTTACCATGTCAAATTTATGTTACTTTTTTACTTACTAATATTGAATTGGAACAGCAAATTGCATCTTTTTCTGAGCAACCATGGCTTCAGTTACAAGTATGAATCTTATTTTAGGGATGCAAAGAAATGAAAATTTGTGGCCGAAGCTGAAGCCAAATAATATTAAACACTTGGCCGAATACCGAGTACCGAATACTGAATATCATTGTTTAGTTTTTCATTAGTTTTTGCAGATGAATCCCCTCCAGATTAGTGTTGTCATGGTACCAAAATTGAATCCCACTGTACGATACCAGTGAAAATATCAAGGTTCTGAGTAGTGTCACGATACCACAGCAAAAATGAGGCAGATGTGCCTTTTGTCATTTATAAAAAGATAAATCACTTTTCTATAATACATCAGTGATATTTCAATGGAATAAATTACTTATTGACTTATTCATACTTCAAAAACAGCATCAATAAGTGATTAACATAGGGGGGATCAAAATAAAACAAATAAATAAAATAAGAATCAACCAGCCACCCTCCTCCCCTGACAGTCCCTTCATAAATAAAGAACAGTCCCTAAAGTGCGGTGAGGTTTGTGGGCCGTGAACGGCTCGTTTCTCCTCTGACTCATCACATATCTGTATTCGGCTAGCTCCGATGTTCAGGTACTTTTAGGCAGTCACGACGCCAAGAAGAGGATATTATTGGAGCTGACTTCTCTGTTGCCGGTAAGCCGATGGCCGCCGTATTTGACAGGAATACATTACTGTCTGTGTCTGTGACCCCCGTTCAACCCACAATCGGTGAGATTCGCTGCTCGCACAGCATGCTGAATAATTTAAGCCTATTTTGCTCGCTCAAAACTATTTTTAGTCGCAAATGCGAGTGCGGTGACGGACGGATTGCCACACTGCCGTCATTTTACTTTGCGCGTCACGGCACGCTGTTTGATTGCGTTATCAAAACACGCCGCTATTATTCGGCCTTGCTTTTAACTTATTCCACCGAATACTGAATGTGTTTTTTTGAAATATTCAGCCGAATATATTCGGTTACCGAATATTCGGTGCATCCCTATCTTATTTATAATAAATCATGCTAGAGAGCACTTGTAAAGTACAACTCCTTCCACTGAGGTGGCACGTGTTTTCAAACAAATATGTTCTCATGCAAACATGTTTTACAAGAAGCTGGTAGAGTTGTGGAGTGTTAATGAATAAGGTTCAGTCTTGATTTACATGGCCTTGCCTTCATGGATATTTTATGTGGTCATAATGATGAGACAGTGTAAAAAAGGCAAGCTCATATGGGCTTTATTTCGTTGTCAGAGCTATTGCACAGAGTTATTGCACGCAGTGACTCAATGGGGTTCTGTTTAAGCCTTTTTTAGTGAAACCGTTTCCTGCACTTAGCTTTGATTAAACTTGGCCTCAATGTCTTGCTCAGTCACTCTTGAAGTAAGAATGGTGGAGCTTGAACTTACATTCAATGACATGCTCCCACCCACTATTGCCAGCCTGCCCAACATAAAAATCCATGGGCCCTATTTTACACCCGGTGCAAAGTGGCACACAGTGCAGTGCTACTGTCATGGCTAGTTTTATACCGATGCAGATGTCATTTTCACATTCAACACCCACATTGTGTCAGTAGCAAATGAACTTGCAGCATCCGTGTACCAATGGACATTACAACTACATTACTTAAGAAGCTAAATTGCAGTATATAGTTTTGATACTAAAACGTCCCACGATATTTGCTGCAGTGACATTACTGCTCTTTCGGCATTACTCTCAGCTGAAAACAGCTCGCTTTCTTGCTCCCGGGAGATGTCATTCTGATTGGTTGAATTTATGTTGAGACCAAAACACACTTATGATTAATTAAGGGAGGTAATACAACCCCTTTGCACAAGGGAAAAGCAAAAGTGGACTTGGACACACCTTAAATGCACTTTGGACCATGCACTATATCGTTAAAATAGGGCCCCATAGGTTGCAAATGGGAATCTGTATTGTTAGTAGCCCATACTACTCCTCCATAGACCCAAATTATTTGGATGTATTGGTGCAAATGACTGAGTTCTGAGATACTCATTAGCAAAACTACAAAACAAGACTGTACAAAAAATTCAGAGAGCAGCTTCTCATTTTTAGCCGGCGCTAATTTCCACTTTCATTGGTTAAAATGAAAATGGACAGGTCATAACTAACTTGATTACAGGCCAAAATAAAAGCTTGCTGTTGACAAGTTAGTATGCTCTCTGCAAACAAATCATTCAGTGCATACAGTACCTTAGTCTTCCCCATTGCCCAGTTCTCCAGCTTGGCCTTCTCTAGTATTGCGGCGCATGCTTCTTGAGTTGCAGCTGGCTCTTCATGAGCATGGAAAGCCAAGATGTAGTACCTGTAACAGTCAGTGTAATCAGTTGGACTGTAATACATCACACACTGATCCATTTGATCATCTCTGGTGTGAAGTGAGAACCCGCTGACCTCTTTATGAAGTTAGCAAACAGGATGCGATGAGAGTAGCCCTGTCGTCTGATCTTTGCGGTCTCCAGGACTCCGGTGTATCGCAGCTGAACCAGCACCTTCTCCCGGTCAAACTTATTGGCATGGCGATCGTTGTTTGGTTTGATACAGCGAACAAAGTGAGGCTGCCCTGCCACCATCTTAGACAGCAGGTCCATCAGAGAGTACTAGAAAGAGTAAAGAGTGCAGTGGTGAAATGTAGCTCAGTACAAATTTGAGATACTTGTACTTTACTTGAGTATTTCCATGTTGTGCAGGTTTAAACTACTCCACTACATATCAGAGACATACTGTATACTGCAATTTTTACTGCACTACATTTTTCTGACATAAATACAAATTTTCATCCCCTTCCTGTACCATGTATACCAGATGAATTTTGAACCTAAATTTGAATGAAGATATACACCAAGATATCAAACTTACTCTGAAGTAGGAGGCCACTGTCTGTGTTCTCATATTGGTGGTTTCTCTCGGGTGGTAAGGCTGGTCTGTGGGTTCACCCAGCTGAACATACAAACACACAGCTGGTCAAAAATCACAATAACTCATGGTGTAGTGTTTGTGTCTCTACAGACTAATGTTTTTACATTCAACTTCATGAGATACAAGGGAATATTTTGGTACAAAGCCAAGCAGGGAGTTGAGCACAGGAGGACGAGATGAGGATACTGACCTACAGTTACCTGTAGGTGATTCACATCTTTAAAAGAATACTTCAACCCCTGAATGACCATTTTTGTATCAATTACTTACCCTGTGTTAAAGTGAATTCATGAAGGAAACTTGGCTTTTCTCAAATGCAAAAAAATCCAAAAATGTAAAAAAAAAACTTGTTGGATTGAAGTAATAGGGGGCAACAACAAAACTATCAATACATCTGCTTACACACAACTCGTGCAGTATAATCCAAGTCTTATTTATCCAGTCGTATGCTCAGCACTTCCCAAACAGACAGCCCTTTCGGCCTGCTTACTGAACTGAAAGTTAAACTTATCTATGCTCTCTTCAAAGCCAGACTCCATTGATAATAAGAGTAATTTTACCTCACTGAACACAGGAGCTGCTGGTCTACCTCTACCTCAATCAGTTAGTTGGTTTGTGTTATTGTGTGACTTTGGTGAAGCTGGGCTACGTTTCTAAAACACCAAAGTCACACAATAACACAAACAGACTACCTGATCAAGGCTGCAATAGACCAGCAGCTCCTGTGTTCAGTGAGGTAAAATTACTCTTATTGTCAATGGAGTCTGGCTTTGAAGAGAGGATAGATAAGTTTCGCTGTCAGTTCAGCACCCTGTCAGACAGAGCTGTGTGTTTGGGAAGTAGTGAGCATATGACAGGATAAATGAGACTTGGATTAAACTGCACAGGTTGTGTGAGAGTTTGCAAACAGATGTTTTCAGTTCATCAAGAATTATTTCCATTTTTGGATTATTTTTTTCCCTGGAGGCATGCAAGACAAATAATGTTTTCTTCACAAAATAAATGTAACACAGGGTGAGTAACTGATATATACACACATCAATGGTCAGTTGGTGTGTGAAGTATTCCTTTAAAATTGTAATGTAGGTCATATTTTCATTACAATTTTTTCTGTATACTAAGTTTTTAATCAAAGCTTTTTTATCTTCTTTTGAAAAATCACCAATCACCGTTTGCATTTGAACTGTGTCATCGAGAGGCACAGGAAGCAAGCATTTTTTTGAGGGGGTGAGCTTTAATTCCCGAGAAGGCTGCAAAAGAGACGCATAAAAGGGACAAACAAAAAACAGGTGCCAAATCAAGTGTACTGTCTGCATAGTTACTTGTCGGCTGAAGCTATTATTGTAAGTGTTATTCTCAGTTAAAAATTCAGAATCCACTTCATGCTTCACAACTGCTCTAATTAAATGCATTAAAAAAACACACAGTAATTGCTCTCATAAAGACAACACAGATAGCTTCATGAATATGACTCTAAATACTGCACACAAATGTATTATTATGCACATATTTCGTTACATTTTCACCAGCTCCACATCTAATTCTCAGCACTACTCTCCTGGAAGAAACCAGTTTATAGCAAGCCATCAGGCTAATACTGTTGATAGCATTTTGAATGCTCATTGTTGCTCTTAAGAGCGAAGCCTTTGATGAGCTTTTTGTCTAACATATGCAGATGAATGGAAATAGATTCAAGAACTCATCAAACACAGTTCATTTAAATGTAGCTACTGTCAATTGCTTTTAGGTGAGCAAACGGCCTCAGGCCTGCAGGCGCTGCAATTGTGTCCTGCCGCAGTTTACAAACAAATTCACTAAAGGACGTTTTTATTTGCTCATTGGAGACAGACTCAGGCTGATTACTGCATGCTCTGATTGCAAGATTTAAAGTTTTAATACTGTCTTCAGTGATTTTTAAAAACTTTGATTCAGTGTGCAAGTTATTTTACTCAAATTAGTCATCAGCATGAGGCATGGTGCTATAAACAGACAGTCCTCTACAGCAGTGGATATGAAAGAAGGCCTAACACAGCATATACTTCTACACTCAGATGATTAAATGAAGATGGGGACGTGCTGATGCGTTCAGCTCTCAGCATTGTACAGGTTGCACACATGCATGAGCACATCGACATGCACACAGACTGTATGCATACAGTGAAAATAGCTTTCACTGCATAAACTGTAAACAATTCAACCCAGCTGCCAGAGGAAAATGTTGGCATTGAATGTTTCTGCAAAGCACAAATACATGACAACGAAAGTGATTATTTTTTTTACTGCTGCATCACCTGCTGGGATGGTAGGGCTGCACGTTACGCAAAAAAATCATATTGTGATTAATTTGATAGATATTGCAACTATATTATGAGCTGTGATTTTAGTTGGCATGGTAATTTTTGCGTTTCATTTTCACTAAAAAATATAAGAATGATGATGATATTCTTTTTGATGGGGTGTGTACTAGAGCTGCCCCATAGTAGTCATCCAACCCTTAGTTGACCAGAAAGGTCATTAAAAATGCAGAACAAAATAAAAAATAAAACAAAAGTGAAACTCTATCAGGAGCTGTGCCTTGTCCAAATAAATTAAAACCTATATGACTGGGCCATGTGGGAATTTAATTTCAAAGGACAGACACAGGAAGAGGCCATGCCCAGCAAGGCTGGTACCTGTGGTTATTACACAGGCTAGTTAATAACATGTCGGGCAAGAAATCCAAAGCGTGAGATCATTTTGAGAAGTTGGAGGACGAACCCAAGGTGATATCTTAACTCTGCGGGCAAACATTTGCCCATCATTCGTCGACTACAAACATGACATATCATCTGAAACATGCAAGTAGCTACATGCCCATTAGCCACTTAGCACAATCATTACTGCTTTGCTGACAGCGTCATTAACAGGCGGCTCGCTCAGTGTGTGACGTGCACTTTTCTCAGACCTTGAATCAATCCATTGTGTTGCCCCGCCCAAAATATATAATTCAATAATCAAATTGTTATCATACACATGCGGGCGACTAGGTGACTAATGGCCCTAAATGACGACTTTTGGTCAACTAGGAAAATTCTTAGTCTGGCATAGCCCTAGTCTGTACTAAACAAGCATGTTTTCTTACATCTGGAATATGATTTGTAGGCTTGGGCATCTCTGTAGCATCTCAGTGCTTTATTCATAAAGGTTTGTTGAAACACATTTTATCTCTATGAAAAAAAAGCAACTTCTGCGATTCTGGATGTTGCATTCAGCCATATTGAAATTTAGGTAATATTTTGATTAGTTGTGCAGCCCTAGTGCCATGAAAAGTGGGTATTTTAGGCCAAAACATTATCTTTTCCTAACTACAACAAAGTGTTTTCTATGCTGAAACCGAACCACTTCCTAACCACAGCATTGTTGAAACATAAAGAAATGTAAAGTTTTAACATATCCACTATAAAATAATATAAAATCATATCATATCACATCCGTGGTTTTCTGGCAATTAGGTTGAACATGTTATGTAACATCTACACAGGACTGAGCTGCCACTGACACTACATTTTACTACATTTGCATCTATTTGTACATCTTAGGAGATCTAAAGTGAGTAAGGATGTCTACATGGGTAAAAATAATACATACACTCAAACACAAACTATATGGAAGTATGTTGATTACCTCACTGAAAGAAAAAGAACTGTATAAGGTTAGCACTCCCATCTTTTACGATAGAAATGTAGAGACAGAGATGTGGGGAAAAAACAAGAGAAAGCAGGTTAGAACAGAAGAAGCTCTAATTACAGTTGCTAATAACAGAAATGCAGAGACAAGAGAGGCTGAATTGTAATTCCAGAGTGTTTTTTGGCTCTGGTGGTCAGTGTAGAAAAAGAGATTAAATAACTTTTCAGGGGAAGTTCTTGATGAAGAGGATAATACAGTGATGATGCAGACAGTGCTGTAAGTACCTTGGCAAAGGTGATGGTGCGTGTTGGGGTCCGTGGGCTGCGCATTGTGTTTATGCCTTTACCCTTGGTGTGGGCAAGGTTGCCTGTGAAATAAACAAAGAAAGGATGAGAGTCAGTTAACACAAACTGCCCTTACCCACTAGGGGAGAGTTAAAGGTATACAATACAGGATTTTCCTAAAAAAACAATATATCGACTCATACAGGAGTAATCCCTCTCAATCTTAACTTATGACCCAGCAAAAGTGTGCGGCGGTGTGCTTATCTGCAGAGACTCTGCCCTCTGCCTATATGTTTTGGATTTTCTTCTTATTTTGTTCTGGACCTTTATGGGCACACAGCCCCCAGCCAATGACAGCGTTAAGTTGAGGTTGGGACCTTATAAAAGGTGGTGACCAGGTAGTAGCAGCATGCATCCAAGAAGCAGAGAAAATAATTCAAGTACAGTGAGGCAAAAAGCAAAGCGGACAAAGCATGTTCCAAAATCTGGTGTTGACTTTCACTTTGATGGAGTGGGGCTGGTCAGTTTTCTGTTGGACAGGTAGGTGATGGCTCGACTGAGTTCGCTTGCTGAAGTATCTGCTTTTCCTTTACAACAAATGTAAAATTCCAAAGTAGCTTGCGGTGAACGTCAGAGGTAGGACCAAGTGATTGTTCTGCAAATCACATGCAAGTCCCAAGTCCCAAATACTGAATTTTGAGTGCTAAGCAAGTCACAATACACTCTTCATCAAATGTAATGCCATTTTAACAACAGGTTAAAATTATACTCCCTTTACAAAAATCATAAATACTTTTTAAAATTTGTATTTATTTTGTTAAATATTTGTTAAATTTTGTTTTTTAAAACATGTCCAACTGAGCTTAATGATTAAATAAAACAAAAAAATACACAAAAGTAATGCTGGCATGCATTTTCATAGCTTTTAGCACTATACACCACACCAGAATTCATTTGTATGTCTCTGTCCTGTCATGTTGTATTGACTCATCTCATGCGTGAAAGATGTCTAGTCTCTCTTCCCTTTGGCTTGGGGGGGAAGGTATCAAGCAGGGCTGACCCAAATGTTTCCAAGCTTTAATTGTTGCCATACTAATCACTGTCGAAATCACTATACAGATGCTTCTTTTTTGTTTTTGTTTTGTTTTTGAAAGGAAGTGGCAAGTGTTGAACCCCAACTAGGCCAGTGTCCTCAGGATAGTCACTGACCCCCATTTCAAGCTATATACTGACGAGGAAAAGGAACAGGTGAGATGAAATGCGGACGGTTATCTGCAGCTGGCAGTGCTTGCTTTGCATCTAGTGATCGACCTGACCTGCGGTGTTTTGAGTTATAAGAAATATTTGTGTGCATTAGTCCATCTTCCACCTTCTCTTTCCTCTCGCTGTCACTCTCTTTCTCTCGCACATGCAGCAGCGTCAAATCCTACTAAACTAGGGCCGGATTCAAGTGGTCTCATCACATCCTGTCAAAGGCTTTGAATATTCTTGGGCAATTATCAGTGAAGCTTCTATGCCCCCAAAAATGGTATTCAGGACAGCCCTAGAATCAAACATTTTCAATAGGGATGCACCGAATATTCGGTAACCGAATATATTCGGCCGAATATTGCAAAAAAACACACATTCGGTATTCGGTGGAATAAGTTAAAAGCAAGGCCGAATAATAGCGGTGTGTTTTGATGACGCAATCAAACAGCGTGACGCGCGAAGTAAAATGTCAGCAGTGTGGCGATCCGTCCGTCACTGCACTCGCATTTGCAACTAAAAATAGTTTTGAGCGAGCAAAATAGGCTTAAATCATTCAGCACGCTGTGCGAGCAGCGAATCTCACCGATTGTGGGTTGAACGGGGGTCACAGACACAGACAGTAATGTATTCCTGTCAAATACTGCGGCCATCGGCTTACCGGCGATGGAGAAGTCGGCTCCAATAATATCCTCTTCTTGGTGTCATGACTGCCCAGAAGTACCTGAACAGCCGAGCCAGCCGAACACAGGTATGTGACGTGTCAGAGGACAAACGAGCCGTTCACGGCCCACAAACTTCACCGCACTTTAGGGACTGTTCTTTATTTATGAAGGGACTGTCAGGGGAGGAGGGTGGATGGTTGATTCTTATTTTATTTATTTGTTTTATTTTGATCCCCCCTATGTTAATCACTTATTGATGCTGTTTTTGAAGTATGAATAAGTCAGTAAGTAATTTATTCCATTGAAATATCACTGATGTATTATAGAAAAGTGATTTATCTTTTTATAAATGACAAAAGGCACAACTGCCTCATTTTCGCTGTGGTATCGTGATACTACTCAGAACCATGATATTTTCACTGGTATCGTACAGTGGGATCCAATTTTGGTACCGTGACAACACTAATCTGGAGGGGGTTCATCTGCAAAAACTAATGAAAAACTAAACAACGACATTCGGTATTCGGTACTCGGTATTCGGCCAAGCGTTTAATATTATTCGGCTTCGGCCACAAATTTTCATTTCGGTGCATCCCTAATTTTCAAGTCAAGTTGCATGTCTTTTTGATTTTGTCAAGTCGGGTCAAATGTCATCAAATTTGTGACCCGAGTCTGACTCAAGTCCAAGTCATGTGACCTGAGTCCACAGCTCTGGTGTACGTACAAGCAGAGCAAGGTAGCCTGAGTGTCAGACTGAAGCTCCCAGAACATTCAGTCTGACATGGCTTCCATTGAAGGCGATTTACAAGGGGAAGGGAATTTGATTTTTCCCTAACCAATCAGTAGAGATCAACGACTCACCCAGAATCTGACGTCATTAGTATCCATGCCTCAGGGGTGCCGAAAACAAGCGAGCATTGCCCGTTTAAAATGTCTCCGTCGTCGTGCACGCCCAGCTGCATCGCCGTTAAATCCAGTTTAGCAGCTTCCTTAATTTGGTCCTCCATTAACGCGAGTACTGGCGAAATATCTCGATAGCATCGTTAATGTGGTCTGTAGGATCTGTAGCAGTCGCCATTGTTGCTATCCTCACCAGTTACCCACCGGCGTACAGCTTGACATCAGCGTGGCGCTGATTGGCTAGACCCCCCCGCGTTCATTGGTCCGTCCATCGTTTGGACGAGATAAATCACAAATTCATTGAAGTTTGCCAGACCAGTAATGCAAGCCTACTCAGTTGAGTGGGCGGGGTCTATGGTCTGGAACCAGGCTAAGAGCAAGGACGAGCGGCCAAGCTTGTATGTTGTGTTACCAAACAGTAAGTGACTTTTCCTGCACAGTATTTCTTCCATCATACAAGTAGGAATGATCCACAGAAACATGGCTGCATATTTTTATCAGCTGGGATAAATTAATGAGGCTATTTTTTGCAGAATACAGTCTAGAAGTCCTGTCATACTTATAACTGTAGAAAATAATAATAAAACTGTTGATGATGCAACACTTAAATTAAGAAAAACAATGGAGCAGACACCAGAGGACTCCAGCAGTCTTTCCTTCAATGTGAGTTACTGTTGATTAGGAATGAAACAGCAACGCTTGATACGACAGCTTTAAGGCTACTTTAAAAGAGTGATTATGTGATTATTGGCTTTGTGATTCAATTCTGACAGAGCTGGCAGCCTGCTCTGCCAACAAAGGATCGTCTCGCTGCCAAGCTTATTACAACAAAAGTCTGGCAGAAAAGAGAGGAAAGCCGGACTGAAACAGGTAAGAATAGCCTGTTGTTTTACATTTACTGCTGCTTCTAAACTGTTTCATTAAGAGAGTGTACCAAACAAACTTCCCTCTTATTTCTGTTCCTAGTCTCCAAGGAGAAACTTCAGTCCTTTTTACCTGTTTTGGTGAGGGGATGGGTGACAAGTTTGCGAGTGAGCTCGTTTTCTGACGACCTCAGCAGCAGGACGATGTCAGCTGGTAGCGTGTCCCTGTTTTTGGCCAAGAAGCCTGCAGCATTGTAAATCACCTTAGAGTGTTGTAGAGAGGGAGAATACTTATGTGAAGGCCAACGCACAACATGTAGCTTCAGCTGAAAATAAAACTTGTGTTATGTTATTAGAGTCAAATATCATTTACCTTCCCAGCGTAGTGGTGAATACCAAAGCCGAGGTCGACCCTCTTTGGTCTCCAGAAGCTTTTCGTCTTCAGGTTATCTTCAAATTTCTCTAAAATGTCCAGTGATACATCAATTAATCATCCCCACAGCCACTACCAATATGTACCCTGTAGCTTATAAGTAGATTATACCTCATATTAACTTATCTAAAAGTAATTATACCTCTCAATATCAAAGACACCTTGTTCCATTTGGCACTTAATATTCCCTTCTGTTTTTGATTGCCACAATAAAGGGATTAGACTTTGTTCCATCCTTTGAGGCAGTGAAACACTTTTAGTTTCAGATCTGTTGATTTAGATATAAAAAAAACTGAGTTCACAAAATTAGCCTCAAGTCTCTCCTTGCTCCACAAGTTTCTTGTTCTCACATGCTGCATAGTCAACATTTCCTGGCTGAATAAAACAGTTTTTCTTTATCCGATGCGAGGGTCCTAAGGACAGAGGGATGTCGTATGCTGTAAAGCCCTCTGAGGCAAACTGTGATTTGTGATATTGGGCTTTATAAATAAAATTGATTGATTGAGTAAACAATAAATCCACCCAAAAAAAGACGTCCTGCAATCGTGAGCTGAAGACCACTGACCTACGAGGGTCTGGTCGGTGGCCTGCGGAAAGCGACTCTCCTCATCCAGAAGTGAGAGCATCCCCATGGGCTTCTGCAGGAACAGGTCCAGGAGGGGCCGGTTGTCTTCATACTCAATCATCCGAGCGTCCACCTCCTCATTCAGGTACTCATCCTGGACAGAAATGGCGGACACAGTGATACAGAGAGTTAAATTCCTTTCTCTTTGCAAGCCGATCACCTGGATTTTCTGTTATATTGGGCGTACAATGATCTCATTGAATCTAAATACAGGACAAAGTTTGGTGAAAACATGACTTCCTAATCCGATCATACCCATCTCTATAGGAGACAAATAAATGGTCCTTATGGGCTCAATGAGCCCCAGACAGGAAGAGCAGCTGGTTGTTCAGCCAAAAGAGAGAAACGTCGGGAGTAAAAATGAACACTGGTATCACTTTTACAACAATGAAGTCCACACAGGGGTGTCCCTGACTAAGAATTTACATCGTTTGATTTGTCAAGTCTAGCTTAAAGTTGACTGTTTTTTTGTTTTTGTTTTTTCCTTACTGCTCCATATTACCATTTGCGACATCAGTTTTTATTTTTTAAACACCATACGAAAGAGTTGAAACACCCATTTAAACAATTTATTGTCTTGACTTGACTTGAGAACTGATTTTATAACAGGAAGTGTCCCATCTAGCACAATTTGTTGTGAGTCAGGGGTGTGTAAGTGTGTAGGTGCTGGAGCAGTGCCATCCACAGTACTGAAAGGGAGGAGAGGAGATCAACAGAAAGACAGACAGGCAGACAGACATGGCTTGATTTGGTTACTGCATGCTTTCCGTAGTTGTAAGCAGAACTTTTGAAAGCTGTATGCCACAGACAGCTGTTTCTACGAACCCACCCTGATGATTTTGACAGAGAACCCTTAATAAGTTCAAAACTGATTAGTACGTTTATACAGAAAGTAGGTTATATATTGTGATTTATTGTGAGAAGTCAAGCAATTCTATGTAAAATCAGACACTCAGCACCCCCATATAATGGAATGATCCTTTGTTTTATAATAACTTTTTACTGCGACAATTCAGCTGTGAGACTGGCACTTAAAAGTGGCTCCTTAGATTGAATCGTCTAACAGTGGACTATTCTGGTTCACCCCGAGCCTCAATATAGACCTAATACAAAAATAAAAATGACTTTTTAATCAATCTAACATTTGTTGCCTGGATCACTGTTACCTGGAAAATAATCAAGCCTAAAATTGGAGTACCGTGTAGGATTGATTGTGCAGGAGTTAACATAATAGAGAAAAAGCCTTCCTGCTGTACAGTATAATGGCCGGCATTGTGAAGTCAGAAGCTGTCTGTCTGGCCTATGATTTCCCTTTGTTGGCTGCTATGTTGACAAGTAATGAGAATGTTTCGAGTTTAGTTTTGACTTGGTGCTCTTATATCAGATGCAGGAATACCAAGTGTACCTTTAAATACATTTTCTGTCCTTTATTATCTAACATCATGCTTGAAGTTTCAAAAAGCCTAAACTTCTGTGTAAGAGTGACATGTCTGACATCATAAACTGGCTATCAGCCAAAAAAAGACAAGCCAAACTGAGTGCCATCATTTAGAGAGTGTTGCCTCTCGTTGTACTGCATGACTTGGTGACGCACTCCCCTCCCCCGTAAACTGAGCGAAGGCCTCCACTTTATATTAAGCTAACCTGATCACGTCAGGGTGACTGACTCTCAGAGCTCCTCCTATGACTCAGCAACATTACTGGAGACTTCTATTCCAGGAAGAAAAGGACAAAGTGGGAACAACACAAATTAGCGTGCTTATTCCAGCATGACGTTCACACTGTGAGGTAAATAAACCACATCAGGAAATCTGCAGGGGGTGCAGATGCACGGGACAATAACCACGTGTTGACATATATGGAAACATATCTGTTTTATTTTACTGTAGATGTGACAAGTTATGAAATATCACAGCCCACTACATTTCCCCTATGCTCTATATATATGGTGGCAGTATAGAACAAATGTATTTCTGGGCCTGGTGCCAACAATACCCAAGAGTGAGATTAAGTCAAACGCTAACTGTCTTCAACTCCTAATTGACCCTCGTTGGGGATGATTTATAGCTCCTCTCCATGGGTGAGACCAAATCATTTAACATTAGCAAACCATTCTCTGCCCCCTCAAGGCAAAACACACCCATGAGACTGCATAAAGGGACAATCGCCAACCTCATTCTCCCATAAATAAAGACAGCAGCATATTTTACCCTTGCCATCTCTCTTAAAATGCAGAGTGACAAATGAGGGCATGTTATCACTATTTGGATGGAAATGAGTTAGTACCTAGGTGAAAAATGCATACTAAGTGTTTTCCAGGAGGGACTCAAGCACTCACAAAGCGTTTCTGTTTTCAGTGATAGTTTAGGCTGGATGTTGGTCTAAGCCTTTACCTGTTCCCAAGCGAATATGTGCTGGTTGAAGTAAAACTGGATCTGCTCGTTGGCGATGTTGATGCAGAGCTGCTCGAAAGAGTTCTTCTTGAAGTTCTCGAAACCGAAGATGTCCAGGATGCCAATGTTCAAGCCCTTGTCATTCTCTCTGGAGGTCAGAAGAATGAAAAAATCATTTAAATGCATTTCTAATTTAAAAAGTTTACTGGTTTTGTCGTTTGTGCCAAATGTCCACTACAGTTGACAGTATCCAAAAGAATAGAAATATTATAAATTATATCATAAATTATATTATAAAAATCACAATAGTCTACACTGGTGGTTTACATCTTCCAAAAATTAAGCAATCTCTAGTAAAGGCCTCTTTTCAAATTGTGTCAAATTGATTTCTTTGAAGATGTTTTAGAAGTCATAAACAAAACAAAAAAACATAATTTCAGGTTGTAGCAGTCTTTTTTTTACTTTGAGCCAAATGTCAGTTTGCTCACATGCTAACATGAAAATGCTAACATGCTAATATGTAGCAACTGTAATATTTAACATGTTTTGACTTTAGTGCATTGGCATCATGTTTAAAAGGAGTAGATGTAGCCACCGTGATGTCACCCACTGGTTTGTGGACTCCTGTTGTAAAGACTCAAGTTTGGCCGCCACCAACTTGTTTTGAGACAGGAGTGACCATGTTTAGACGAAAGGGTGGGGTAGCAATTTGTCAATCACAAGGTAGCCACACCCTAAAGCATACCCTGCTTTATAATCTATTCTAATTTGATTGGGACCATCATTTACAAAATGAACATCGTGCTGTAAAGTAGAAGACCTGATACTAGCTATTGAGACCCAGGGCCATCGCAACCGAACAGGCAAACTAGGCAATTGCCTAGGGCCTCGAGCTGGAAGGGGGCCCCCAGAGATGGCTGACATTTAAGCAATATCACACGAGAGGGAGTGATGTTGTACTGTGATATCGTCAAGATCGCCGAAGACAATCACAGCCGTGACGATATCACAGTACAACATCACGAGCTCGAGTGTGATATTGCTTTTATACAACAGTTCAACAGTTAAATAAGCAAGGCTGATTAAGAAATGTTGAAAAATGAGGACAAAATAGATAATTTAAGCATTTTATTTGTCTTCTGCCAACAAAAATAGTTCCCTCAGGACTCCGCTGTCACCGTTGCTATGTAACGCAGACATGGTGCGCCAGGCACTTACTCTTTATACACATTTATCTCCATTAATTGTGCAGCCGGTGAAATAAGTATCTGGTGACTGCATGGTGGACTGTCGCTTCACAGGCACAGCCGACTCTGCCTTCTGATCTGACAGTATGTTGCTTTTCTCCAAGTAATTGAGCTCCGCTGATGAAACACTGACAAACCTGGATGTGTGCTCAGATGGATTCAGCTTCTCCTCTCCCTCATCTTCCTCTGATGACCATTCATAGTTCAATTCAAAACTTATTTTAGGAAATAAATCCATATTTTTGGCTGTTTGAAAGTGGATGAATTAATTAGCCTACAACGCAACTGCTGACCTAACTGACACTAACCGTCAGTTTTGATTTGATTGTTGATTGCAATCAGCTGTGAGGCGGAGTGATACATACACAGTGAAATAACTGTGATGTTGTACTCCAATATCATCATGGTTTTACTGTCTCTCGACCAATCAGATTGCAGGGCCGGAACTAATTGTTGTATAATGGTCCATTTCAATGACAATATGATGGAACCCCTATAGACACTGCAACAACAACAACACGTTGGAATCCCCCCTAATGGGGCCGCCTACTAACTGCTGCTTGCGAGCATAGACATATATACATAGACGCTGCATTGACTGCCGCTGCCTATCAGAGCCGACGTCCTCGCCGGCCGCCATCTTGGATGGGTCTCGCTTCGCCTCCACAGTGCATTCACTTCTATTGAGGAAGGAGCTGTATGCACAAGTAAAATAGAATAACTCACTGAATTTTCAACTGATTTTCACGCGGTTTGGTTTGTTACAAACGGCACACGTGTAGTTATGATACAGGATGCTTTCGTACATTAAAAATGCGGGATTTCATGCTTTAATACTTTCTGCAGATAGCAACAGCATGTTATTTAGGTCACAACACAGTTCTTTATTCACTTCAACCCCAAAATGTATGGGCATTTTCTCAATGACTCCCTTTGCAACCAGTGGAATTGCCCTCTGTGGCAATTAGAAAGAACAATTGTGCATTAGCTTCACTTTTCGGACCAGCAGATAACCCCTAGGTTAACATGTTAACATTTACTAATTAGAGCTCAGCACACTACAGATGTGGCTAATGGAAATATGATTAGTTTGGAAGCTATTTGGTGGTAAAACAAAGCACTGAATGAATTGTAATCCATGAGAGGACGAATGTGTAACATATTTCCGAGTGAAGCAGGACAGGCAGGTAGGATATGTTGGGAGGAATTTGATTTGGTAGTTGAAAAGTGGCCATGTTATCACATTGACAGTGTAACGCTGATGGGATAGCAGTATCCTTCAGAGAGAGAGAGACACAAATTCATTGTGTGCTCCATGTAACAGTAGTTGCTGAGGCAGTCCACTGTAAAATGCCTTTCCTTAAAGTGAATAAATTCTTGCCAGAGGAACAGTAACCATTGTAGTTTGGGGAAACAAAGACACACAGGCATAGCATTCTGTTGCTAGCTAGCTAGCTTAATTTTAGCTCTGTTGGCTAAAAGTCGCACATTGACTAATGGATGGATGTCGTGGTATTATTGTTTAAAACTGCTTGGTACTAACTTACGTAAGCACAATTTTTTTTTTTTTTTTTTTTTTTACAGGAAGAAAACATGATTGGATTGGATTTTTTTTGCCATTTATTGTTAAATACATGCACAAAATGGCCGGGGATGTGATCTAAAAGGGCTAACGAGGCATTTTTAATTTAATCTCAACTTTAAAATATTTCAGTCAGGACCAAAGTGGTGGATCGACTGACACTGCCATCCCCAAAGCTACTAGCATGGCCAGAAAAGTTTTCGGTGCTTTTCTGGATTTTTCAGCAAACCCCAAAGCTTTGAGGAGCTGGTATTGATCAGATTTATTGTGTACACTTTATCACCTGTAAAAACTTTCTGAGATGACCTCATCCTGCATTCATGACAGCCAAACACACCACATCACAGTTTCTGCTCCTGTTCTCACCCTAGGTTGCTGTCGGGCCGCAGCAGGGCGTTGATGCGGTTGACGATCCAGCTGAAGAGACGGCCGTAGAGAGCCTTGCTCATGGCGTCCCTCACCTCCGCAGCTTTTTCCACCGTGTTTGGCCTGACGATCGTCTCTCCCCGGGCCACAACACAGTGGGAGGTCAGGGCTTCCTGGAGCTCATCTGAGCGGATACACAGCAGTGATGCCACTGAGGGGACATTAGATGAGAAATGGGATGAAAGTTAACATTTCGGCAGTAGAGTGAGTTCAAGCAATACATGCAGGGCATGCAAATGTCCAACCTTGTGCGAGTGACGAAGAACACTCATGTTCCCTTGCTCGATTATAAATCTTATCTGACAACTTTGTAAATTACCAGTCATTTCTAAATTTAGAGAGTATATTACCAGAGGGAAACAATGTCCGGTAAAATCTAACCATTGCAGATGTATGCTTGGTAATGATGCGTCTGTAATACTGCAGTGGCCTGTCTGCACTGATGGGTAATTTAAGTAGGAGCAATAGTTTAATGGGGAGGAGCAGAACAGAAGTGTAGCAGAGGAAATTTAGACTCATGTTTGGTTTCACACCATCATACAACATGTCTCACTCTCTCCTCTCACCGTTCTCCAGGACAGAAATGTTGGAGATGTCACTCTTGTCAGTTTGGTGCTCCGAGGCAACCGGAGAAAACTCGATATCGCCGGAGTTGAGGACGGCAGCCAGAGTGCTGTAAACACTGCCCAGCTCCTGTAGAAGTGATAGACAGTGAGTTACTGTAGAAACGCCCCCAAGGCTGGGAGACAGTATGATGTTACTGTGATATCAAATAGCATCAGATAAATGTTACAACCAATTTAAAGATATTGTAATGTCTACTTTATTACTTAACTCCATTATCAACTATAACATAGTGGTACCTGGTTTGGACAGGTCACGGTTACACAGCGAATTCATGGTTAATTATTACTCAGTTCTGCCATTTTCTAATGAATGTAGACAGTCAGTTATTGTGGGTGTCAGCAAGCCCATTTCTCAAATTCAGCTTGCTTAAATTTTTTGCTACCTCCAAATTCATCTGTCCATAAACTGGCAAGTATTAGGGGTACATTTTTTGATAATATAGCAGCAAACCTTTATCTGCTATGTAAATCTATAGTAGAGTGATGGTGTCCTGAGCAGAGAATAAAGTCACACTCCCTCTCTGCGTTGTAATCTGAGCTTCTCTGTGGATAATGGTGGTAGACTGTCCAGCTGCGCTTACACATTGGTGCCTGTGAATCCCTGTGTGTGTATCCCACTGGCTCGCTAATCGCCACCACTCTGCACTGAACTCATACGGCGGTTACCACTGACATCAGGATACCGTTGTCACAGAAGAGTAACACCCTCCCACTGATTTCCCTCTGGTTAGCACTGTAAGATCTGTCAGCACTATTGCCTTGTTAGCGCTGTTAATTAAGTTAGCACCATTAGCTGCCAGCCACTTCCATGTTGAGAGCCATGTGCTGACAATCTGAATCAGACTCTGAATCTCTGAATATCGAAAAGAGCTCCTTTAATCCTGAATTAGCCATTTGAATTAGTAATTTATACCCTCAAATTGGAAACGATTGTCCACAAATTGCTGCATGCGAGTGCTATAAAAGCAAAGGGTTTAGAGGACTTTCACATATTTTTATTTCTATACTTTCGGGCACAGTCAGGCATTAGGGAAATAAAAACTGGCAAACATCTGCCTTCTGTTCACTTTCATTCTATACGAGCAAAGGGGCGAATAAACCTTGTTTTCTAGTGGCAAAGCAAATTTGCATCACCTGGAGTTTAACTTTGGTGAACTTTGATTGGTGAAGTAACAGCCTCAACCAGATGCAGTGTCTAACCAGGCAATATTGTATAATATTGGCATGAAAAACACACACTGACCCACATCAGAGATGCTGCCCAACTGTCTCTGAGTTGGGAAACAGGCATGGAACATAAGATGTGTCAAATGTGCCAATAATATCATATTTCATTGTATCTACTGGCAAACTAGCTTTCCATGTCTGTCACACCTGTCACTACCAACATCCAGTGCGAATATTGCTTCACCAGGTGATGGTCACTCGCCTGCATTTGTTCATGTGTGACGACAACCATATAGTGTTAACTTTTGCACATTCCTTGGACAATATTTTGCATATTCCTGCACAAAACTGTACAGCTCTACATCTTGTACAGATTTTTTACATTGTATTTCCTGTCAGTTTTTCTATTTTTTTTTTCTTGAGTCTTGCAATATGTGCTTTTATCTTTTCTTTTCTCTTACTATGTTTGTTGTTATTGCACCAGACACCGAAGCGAATTCCCTGTAGTCGAAAACGTGATTCTGATTTAAACTCAAGGACTATAGCATGTAGTCCATTAGCTAGCATGGGCAGGTTAGCTAGCATGAGCTGTGTTAGCATCTATGCTTAACAGAGATAGAAAAGAGCGCCTTTTAACAAACCTGACACAGAAGAGGTTTGAGATGTCAAAATGTGACTGCTGAGCACCAAAGACATAAACAAAAGTAAGTATTAAAAGAACAAAATCAATTAAAATTTCAATCTGTCTACTACTCTATTAATCTGAAGTTCCTGACACAAAGGGGAAAGGAACTCTCCTAATGGCCAGTTACTGTCTCAAAAAGATGTTTTAAAGTAGATAACCTTGCCTCAAAGATCATCTTCATGCACACTCTGTGATTTCATGCAAGACAAGGCGTACTGTAGGAGAGAAGGTTGTTCTTGCAGCGCTGCCAAGTGATTACAGGATAAGTACTATTGACGTGCAGATCCCAGAGGCAATCAGTTCTTTGGGCCTCATTAGCTCTCACAATGCCAACAGCTGACTGCCTACATGTGCCTGTAGCTTCATGCTCCATCACATGCTATATAGTGGACCTGAGGAACTACTAATACCCTAGTTTTAAAGCTTATATACATTTTTGAGAGCTCACTGGTTAGTATACTTCTTGTCTTTCACAATACATGCACTTTCATGACATATATAATACAAAAGTGTGAGAGCAGATCTGTATGAATGTTAGGATCAAGGTTATGTTGTTAAACCTTGTGGGCCACTTCCAGCTTTTCGGGCAGTAATTAATGCCATAGTTTATACCTCCAGGGTGAATCCAATGACTTTGAAACACTGCTCCACCGCATCAAACTGCTCCTTGTAGAAGGTGTTGCTCACTATGTCAGGCCCTAATTTAATGTGCTCATTACACAGATACCTGCAGATCAAAAAGAAACACACAAAAATCAGGATCAGGGTCTCAGACAGTAAGGAGTTTTTGGTGTGAGAAGGAAATAACAGTGTTTAAGGGAAGGGCTCAGGGATGTCAAACCTACTTAGGTGTTTTGTTGTCAGAGAGCTTGTAGTGGGCGAGTTTCTTCCTGTCAGCCAGGCCGGCGTAAATGTAGTAGAAGATGTGGAAGTTCTTCTCTCCTCTGTGAAAACACGCAAAGACGTAGCTCAGAAATTCAGGTTTTACCTCATGTGAATATTTCAAAGCAGAAAAAAACATGGTGAAAGATTAAGAAAGCACCCAGACAGTGCATACCTGAATGACAAGGCTGAATAGTTCTACTAATTTGTCTTTCAAGGGGACCTATTTTGCTCATCTATAGGTTAATACTTCTATTTTGGGTGTTCACTCAAATGTCCTTACATGCTATACATACTGTCTGTGCTGGAACACCTGTGTTTACCCTCTGTCTGAAATGTTTTGTTTTGGCACCTGTCTCTTTAAGCCCCCCTCCTGAAAAAGCTCAGTCTGCTGTGATTGGTTAGCTTTTCTGTGTCTTACACATCTTAGCTTCTATGCACCGTAGCTGTAGGCAGGTAATGACTCTAAAAACCAAACTCTTCACAAGCAGTTATGTTCCAGTTGGAATATGATTCAAAATCAAGGAGAATCAACAATAACGCCAACCAAGATTACATGTTTCCCTGATGTTAGCATGAAGCTACATGTAGCAGTGTATGTAATGGAAACAGTAGCGTGCCTGGAGCAGATGACCATATATGGAAATCCATCATGAGCTGATGTCATCTTATATCGAAAGTAGAAAAAACATGGGAAACAGAGTATTCAGAGAGGTCTGAAACCTGAAGTTTTGTTCACAGGGATTACTCTTACATATGTGTACCTCATTATTTGAAAATTTGGCCAGGTTTAATATGAACATGCAACACTGAAACATTCTGTATACAGTATATATGTATATATGAAAATAAGAAAAGAGTAATACGCCCGATTTAATTACGTATTCCACTAATTTTACCCATAAAGATCAGTTGACACTCTATGGAGTCCCAAAACAGACACACACACAAAAAAAAAAACAGTCAAAAATATGACTCAATAAATCATCAATAAATAGATCGTTACTTAAATATTTATGCTGGCTATCTCAATTTACTGGCGTTAGCTTGCCAGCTAAAATACTTTTAAAGAGAGTTTTTACAGTAATACTATAGCAGTATATAAATTATTACCTTTGCATGCACTGTCTGGTTAAGTTTTATGTTGAAAGTTGGCCTCAGCAAGGTAGGTTATTTAAGTTTTAATTCATATTATCAACTTATTAGTTGTATAGGACAAAAACAAGAAGCTCTTTAGTTTCATTTTTTAATTTCTTTACCAAATGAAGTATATATTTCTCCTCACATTTTATTTCATTTATACATTTATTAAGCAATATTATTAGTTTTTTGACCTGTCTTATAATCTTGTTCAACAAGGTGTTCAATTTAGGGGCTCCACAGTATTCAGCCAGTGAAAACAGTTGTACAATGTCTCCTGTAGCGCTGGAGGAGCTTTGTTGAACCCTTTATTCACCAAAATTTGCATGTACACATTTTTTTTTAACATGGAAAACCCGATAAAAATAGGCAGTAGACTCTTTTCCCATTGCCAGTAGAAAAGTATGATTTTCTGTTTTTTTTCTGGTATATCATGTTCAAAATCATAAATGCTCTTGAACACAGGGTTAGTTAACAGCAGAGGCATGGAGGCCAGTTAAAATGTCATGCTGGCTTCTTTTTTATATCTGTTACTTATTTAGTCTCTCTTTCAAACTCAGTGCCAACTAATTTGGAACAATGTTTGAGCGCTGCTTGGACAGAGACAAACAGGTCGCACCGGAAAAGGGGCGATAATTAGCGTGTCCGCCCAGGTATCATCACTTCCAAACAGAGCTGGAGCCGATAAGCACTTGTGACTACTGCAGAGTCATCTGTCCCAGAAATTAACGTAGATTGTTACCTTTCCCACTAAAGACAAAAGCCAGACATTAGTGGGTTTTAGTGTTATTTTAGTCGGAGAAAATCACCCTGATGATGTCAACACAACTCGACTAGGCTGAATTTATAGAAGAAAGCTATTGGCCTGACTTTTCACCAAATGCCATTAAAATGTGTTAACAAACATTTCAGATATTCTGCTTAAGATGAACGCATCTTTGTAAAAAAACAACTTTTCTTTATCCTCCCCAAAATAGTATCCAATAACAGGCTAAAGAAAAGTGCAGCTCCACACAATGCTTGCAGCCCAATCAAACCCTCTGAACTGTGTGTCTGTTTTCTAATGAAATACTCGAGTCTGCCTTTGAAGCTCCACTAAGGACACTTGCAAGACCACAATCTTTGATCAAACAGGAAATAAGCTAGCCCCTCCACTTGACCTGGTCCACTCCCCAGACACATGATAAGAGGGAAAGATGGATTGACTGAAGTGCAGGTTGAAGGCAAATGCCACCGGTTTCAGATGGAGAGGTAGAGGAGAAAGACAGTCTATTACGCACTGATCCCTGGCCAGCACGCAGAAAAATAACCTTCTTGGCAATGTTCTTTCAGAAAACATATGGAGACATGATTTAAATTTCTATTAATGTCATTGTCAAATGAAGGTTGGAACAGTTATTGACATGAGGTTGTGTACAACTGACAAAAAGAGAGAAAGAAAATTACAAAGACAGAAACAGGGAAGTGATATTTACACTGCCTGGTGGATGACTCTCGACTTCTCCAGCAAGTACTCAGATATCTGTGCTCCAACCACTGTTCCTCCGCAGGTGAACCTCATCTCCAGGTACTTGCCAAAGCGGCTGGAGTTGTCATTGATGACGGTGCAGGCGTTTCCAAATGCCTCCACCAGGCTATTGACCAGCAGGATCTTCTCCTGGAGAGTCCGATTATTAGCCTGAATAAAACATTATTCCAGCTGAGTAACTGGGAAATCAATATAGCGGAGGTAATGAGCATATTGTTAAGAAATGATGCATTCATGTCTGCCATGTGTCTTTCCATTCATGTTATTTCCATCAAAAGTGACACTACCACTGCCAATTTCATTCCCCCGCTATGAAAAGAGTGAATTGAAACGGAACTTTCTTTTCAGTGCGGTTGCAAACCATGACTGGCATCAGCTGGAAGCTCAAATCAACTGATCATAGGATGTTTAAATTGCTTTGAGAGTGCGCTTTTCTTCTCACACTTGTATTGACAGTGGGTTGGGAGTGTGCAGGTTCACAATTCAGGACACACAGTTGTTGCGCAAATCAAAACTGTCAAACTATTTAAGAGACTCAAGACTTATTCGTAGAAATTATTTATAATTGAAAGCAGTTTCTAATTTATTGTATCCCCTTTTCGATACCACATGGAAAGGACATTAATGTTGCATTTCACTAATGCCATGTTAATGAAACATTGTATTTATGGACTCTTATGACTCACCTTTCCGAGAACTGTCAGCTGCTGTACCAACAGATGAGCACCCTCTGTTTTTCCTGCTCCACTTTCCCCACTGATCACCACACACTGTACACAGGAAGTCACAAAGATTATTGAAATATTTATGACCTCTAACTGACATTAAAAATAAAAGATGTAATAACTAGAAGGCAGTATTAGGGCTGTAATTCGAAAGCATAGCTTTGCAAGCTACCAATGACTTCAAACTGGAAGAAGTTGCACTACAGCAAAGCTACCTGAGAGAGAAATTTAGTTTAGATAACTAAAGCTACTTAGAGAAAGTAGTCCAAACTAATGACTTTAGAATCTGAGATAAAAGAACAACTAAAGCCATTATTAGAAACTAAAGACATAATGAACACCAATGAACTAGTAGTTCAAACTACTTTTTGGAAAAAAAGACAATGTATATGTGATAAAAAAAAATTGATAAATATAATACATAAAAAGTCACATGCCAGCAGAAAATGCCACTCAACTGATTTTATCACAAAAAAGTGTCTACTTGTTCATAGGTCATAAACCAAAAATAAACAAATAAATACCCCACAATTCATGAGGAAAGTGCAAGAAATGTCATCTTTGGTTTTGTACACAACGTCCATCAGTCAGAACTCTGCCTTCCAGAAACTAGAATCCATGTGAGGGGATTGTACCAAGCAGGATTACTCAGTTAGCATTCAGCAACTTCTCTAATTATTTGTTATTAAATAGCAATAATTCATAATTATGATTAACTATCGTCATAGGGGGTTCAATTATGGAAGAAACATGATGGTAAAACACTGCTAGAAGGACTCTCGGAGAGCGCAGACTTCCTCTAAGATCAATAATAAGATCAAGGATCTTCTATGATATGCAAATCTGCAAGCACAACTGCTATATATGTTTGACCTGAAGTGAACACGAGCCAGGGGCGTTAAGTGCGGCACCAATGGCCCCAAAAACAGCTTCTGTGGTAGTTCCTGCTTCAATAGATGTGTCCAGGACCAAGTTTTGCCATCATGACACACACACACACACACACACACACACACACACACACACAAACACACACAGACTCACATGGTCAAAACAATACCAGCTTTGGTGTTCCTGCTGGTAATGACCACAACTACACAATGTCTTCACACCCACGCCATGTAAATTCTGACTATTTTTCCAGTTCACTCTCTTTACTGACTAACTGCAAAAAGAAAATGTCCGTTAAAAAAGCTACAAGTGTCCTTTTCATTTTCCTCACTAAAACAGCTTTGTCACAGAGAAAGGAGCAGAGTCTGACTAACAAAACACTCTGCTCTAAACATAGTCACTGTACTTTGTGGTGTTTCAGGAGGAAAACTGCCTCAGTTAAACTCTCAGATTACTTTCAAATGCTCTACACCAGTTTTGGATGATACCCTGAAATGAAGACAAGAAGAAAGACTTCGCTCATGTTTGTTTATTCATCATGTAAACACTCAGTTAGTTCACACATCCCATCAGTAAAGTCTAGTAAATGATTCTTCTTTGGTGATTTATGTTCAGTTTCATTTCATCCACACAATCAGTTTGTTTGACCAGAATCTCAATGATGTATAAAAAAATAATCTGCTTATTGATCGTGATCATAATAATTACTGTTTTATAATAATAATAATAATAATAATAACAACAACATTTGGTCTGCCAGGCAAATAAATGTAAATGTGATTATAGATTTCTTTAAAAATGTACAAAAAGAGAACAAAATATCGACAATAATGGAGGGTCTGGTGCTTTTTGTCTTCAGACTGATGCAGTGGAAAAGAAACAACATACAAATACAATAACACAAATATTCAACAAACATTTAGAGTACAGGTAAACAAACATCATCATGAGCAGTGATAGCCTCCATTGCCAAACAGACATAGAAAGCAGCGCCACTTAAAGAAACTCAAACATTAAGAGCCCAGACACATTAAGCCGACTGTCAGCTGTCAATGTCAGGCCGTCGTGAGCATCTGTCACCCTAGTTTTTGCAGTGTGTCCCCCACTAGTTGGCACTAGTTGGGCCTTATTGGCTTTTCCGGTATGATTCAGCATATAAAATCTGGGTCGGAGGTGTAAAAGCCCTTCAGTGAATAAAATCGCTCGGTTTGGTTTTCAGCTCAGGAAGTGAGGAAAGCAAACAAACAACTAGACTCAAGAGGGAGTGAGATCGAAACTTACTTGTAATATCAGTAAGATCTTTTTTAGCCATTGAGCTCTGTAGCAGAATTTGTTCGTGATTGTGTGATGGTTGATTGACAGCTGATCTCTGTGCAGTGAAAAAATGCCATAGCAATCAACTCCAAGCTATAAACAGGGTAATACAGTGACATCTACCTATTTGAGTTTACAGAACTCAGCAGTGGTTTCGTAGGAGTAAGGCCGAAGTCCAGCATAGAGAGGCTGAGTGAATGTGGTCTGGACTCTGTGGAGGAGAGTCATGGTGTCAGAGATACTGTAGAAGGACAGAATACCTGCACTGTGATCCAGGTACACTCCTACTCTAGAGGACTGAGGAGCTGAGATGGGAGTTTTGACACCATCGTAAATAAAAGTGAAATCGTTTTTGTCACAACGTAATGCCCAAGATTTGTTATTGAATCCAAATCCACCTTCACCCCCTGTTCTGCTGATGTTCTTGTAGGCAACTGCTACAAAAACGTCTTCACCTCTCCACTCCACCTCCCAGTAACAACGTCCAGTCAGACTCTCTCTGCTGAGGACCTGCCACAAACTAATGAATCTGTCTGGGTGAGAAGAATAAGGCTGTTTTTTGCTTATTAATGTTGCTTTTCTGTTCCCCTCAGATAATAACAACTTTGGGTTTGCTGTGTTTGGATCCAGTGTGATTTCATGTGAATATTTTAAGAACCCAACTCTGGTCTTTGGCTCTGATTGAGAATTCGACAGTAAAACATCCACTTCAGTCACTGTCTGTAAAATGTCTGTCCACTTCTCTCTCAGAACGTCCTGTATTTTATCTGTGACCTCTGACACAGCCGCTGTCACATCCCCAAAGTACCACAGAGGACGGATATTGATGCTGGATGAGTCTGTAGACTCAACGAGTTGTGACTGTGAGAGGTAGCTGTGTAGAAACTGTTTGTGATCCTCTGTGTGTGAGAGCTCCTTCAGCTCAGCATCTTTCCTCTTCAGCTCAGTGATTTCCTGCGCCACCTTCTCCTGAAGCTCTTTGACTCGACTCACTTCAGATTCCTCCTGAGATCTGACCTGCTGCTTCACATCTGAGATTCTTTTCTTGATGAGTTGGATCAGCTCAGTGAACATCCTCTCACTGTCCTCCACTGCTTTATCAGCAGAGCGATTGATAGCCTCCACCTCCTGTTGAAGCACCTTCACTTCTTTCTCTCTGTCCTGGATTCTCTGCTGGATGTTTTGTCGACTCACCTCCAGCTCTCTCTGCCTCTCAGTCCTTTCTGCTGCAGCTGAGACTATGTCGTGGCCTTTATGTTCATCCACAGAGCAGAGATAACAAATACACTGCTGATCAGTACGGCAGAACATCTTCATCACCTCATCATGACGAGTGCAGATGTTCTCCCAGAGCTTCCTGGAGGGCTCCACCAGCTTGTGTTTTTCAAAGGCAGAGGATTCATGATGAGGCTGGAGATGTTTCTCACAGTAAGAGATCAGACACACCAGACAGGACTTGAGGGCTTTCAGTTTTCTCCCAGTACAGACATCACAGGCCACATCTTCAGGTCCAGCGTAGCGGTGATAAACAGGAGCAGCCTGGAGTCCAGTCTTCTTCAGTTCCTCCACTAAAAATGCTAACATTGTGTTTTTCACCAGTACAGGCCTCGGGCTGAAAGTCTGTCGGCACTGAGGGCAGCTGTGGATTTTCTTCTCATCCTCTTCATCCCAGAAACATTTAATACAGTTCATGCAGTAGCTGTGTCCACAGGGAATAGCCACAGGATCCTTCAGCAGATCCAGACAGATCGAACAAGAGAAAGCTTCCCGGTCCAGCTGCACTCCTTTCTGCGCCATTTCACCTCTCAGTGTCAACAACTGTCTGAGTTTCACTTTCGCAGAAATGAAACTAGTTTGAGCTCCGATCTAAACAACATGTGTGACTGCAGCTCCTTCTCTACACAGCATGTTGGTTACACCCATCTTCAAACTGTAGATCTAATGGGGAGGGAACCAGGAAATGTATGAGCAGAGTGAAGCTCGCTCTGTTTGAGAGCAGGAAGGAGGAGGAGGGGTTTTCAAGCTTTGACTCGCTCCAGGAAGAGGAACGGTTTGAGAGATACTGGGTGTTTGACACTTGTTTACAATAGAGCTCATGTCTCATTCAAAAACACTGGTTACTTCAGCTCTCAGGAGGTAAACCCCTTTTACAGTCAGAGGGCTTGGAGATTACTCCAGGGGTTTAAAAATTTCCGAGTTGTCTTGTAACTAAGTTTAATCAAACATTTTCTTGTTTAGAATAACTCAAATACATTACATAAAAGACACATAAATTTACCACTGCTACAAAAGGTATTGAAACTCCAATATTGTAGCAAAATATAGTGAAAATATATTATTTGATAAAACTTCTAGTCTTTAAAAAAAGTCAAAATCAGAATATTATTTTGAGCAAAAGGTGCATTTGATGTTACATACAAACTACAAGTACCGACTTGTGGTTGTATTCCTCTGCCAACTAGTCAAGTTGCAGTTTACATCCATGCCTGTCCAGTCCTGACCCTAACCCTCATATAACATAATACATGTGGTGACGGAATTTAACAAAAGGTTTTAAGTCTTTTTTTTTAAAATGGAAGTTGCCACTATATTGACATGCGAGGTTCCAGTGAATAATTTCCAGAGAGAAACAGGCATGTACAGAGGACTGATAGAGAGTTTCCCCATAAGGTGCAATGACAATCACCTGAAGCTCAACATCATCACAACCAGTGAGCTTGTGGTAGACCAATCTCAGAACTCATCAGCAGACGATAAGCCCTCGGGGGCATCGGACAGTATTTTGGGGGTTCCAGTGCAGCCGGCAGATATCCAGATAACAGAGAAATCCAGATCCCTGGGCCAAAGACAGTATGTTGCATTTCAATATTGGGGGAGACACATATGAAACAGGGCTTCTGAGGTCTTTTGCCATTTTTGAATTTTGATTTTTGCTGGTTGACCTTTTTATGTACCTTTTTCATCTTAAATTTAAAGGGATAGTGTGTAAACTGTTCAGTTGTTTATTGACAAAAATTGATATCTGCATTCATAAATATGTCATCATTGGTGTACTATCACCTCCACCAATAATCTGACTTATTCTCGTAAAAGGAGAAATTCGGATTTGTTTGTGCATTGTGCGGTTAAGTCGTCTGCCAGCAAGGGACATACAGCCCCGCCTTCGGCGTTTTCGTTGAGAGCCAGGCCAGCGCTGCGTGAAGGAGAGGAGCAAGAGGCGCTTTGCTACAACCCTGGTACTACTGCAGCCTAACAAAGTCCCACTCTTTGAGCATAATGCAGGATCATGCATATGCAGCATCAAGGGAGATGGAATCCTTGTCGCCAAGAAGGCGCAAAAGGGAATCTAAAAGGCAACGTGACCGGCGAATTAAAAAAATTAGGGTCAACTTTGGGGTTGCCTTTCCCAGGTGGAAAGAGCTGCTGAAGGAGAAAGTTAATGCAATCACAGGCCAGCGCCACTGTTAGCTGTTAGCCGCTGTTAACGCTAACAGCTAACAGCGGCGCAGTGATACAAGGAGAGGGATGAGGTGTGTGAGGTTGAGCCACTTGTCAGTTGTCAAAAGACAAGACGTGAGATGGGAGAAATTCCTACACACTGTAGCTTTATGGTGTATGTAAGATACATATAAGTCCTCTGCTACTTTAATGTTGAACTGGGGTGGAGGGGTCAAATGCATATGTTTTAAATATTAAAGGGTGTGTGTCCCCTGCATCCCCCCTGAAATCTAAGCCCATGTCTGGGCCAAGACTTCCTCTTCTGTGTACCAGTCACTGTTTACTAATCTCTATAAATAGATATCTGCATATGAATGCAGATACATTAGTCTCACACCAACACTGAAACTGCTTTTTTCTTTTATTTTCTCTTATATACTTTATTAATCCCTGAGGGGAAATTCATTCTTTTTCACTCTGTTGTCATACACACACAGGCCTGAAATACTCACACATGCATTAAATGGACAAAACGAGGGGGCTGCCTTGGACAGGCAGGGTTCAGTGCCTTGCTAGAGGAGAACTGGCACCTCTCCAGCTACCAGTGTACACTTCAAACTTGGTCCGTACAGGGACTTGCGCCAGCAACTCTCCGGTTGTGATGATTAAACAAAATGGCAATTGCAAGGTTGCACAGAATTCATGAGGACTGGCTGAATTTGCATTAATTGTTGCGATTGCAACATCGCAACATCCTGGAGGGACTGAAGAACGTCAAAGTATGTTTTCTTCATGAGGTTTAAGCAACTACAGGTTGAGGCTACCTCAGAGAGTTACTGGAACCCATGAATGTGGATTGTGAAATGGAGTTGTCGTGTTTCTACAGTTGGCTGTGTTTTGGCACTATTAAACTTTACTACCAGTAACTGGATTTGTGTGGCATTTATCCCACCAATGCCAAATGCGCTTTCTTGCAATGTTAATGAAAGTGAAAAATAATTTATGCATCTGCTCCATAATTTGGAATTTGCTCCAAAATTCAATGGGTTCTCCCTTGACCCATGCTACACCCTTCCACCAAGTTTCATGAAAATCTGGAGAATAATGCTACTCATAATTCAACCTACACCTCCTTATACAAATACTATCATTATTACTTTATCACCATTACCAATTAAACTCTTTTTTATGTAAAAGTGACATGATTCACCCAAACAAGCTGAGTTAAAAGCAACTTTCAGCACTCAGGATGCTAAAAAATAATAACCGGAGTACAGCTGCATTACCTGGTCTGCATTATATGACACCATGGACTGGTAGGCAATGTCAGCCACAGCGAAGATGTGTGGTGGATTAGCTGTACGCTTCGCTCCTATGTACATCTTGGTGTACTATAAAGAGAAAAGGGGTTGACAATGAAAAGAAAAGGCAAATTTAAAACATGCATATGAATGTATTGGTGGATACCATGATGTAGATGTTATGTGGAAGAAAAATAAACTTGCTATTTTGCACAACAAGTGAAATTTCATTTTTTTAAAAACTGTCCATACTGTAAATGATATTTTTGTTCTTGGAGGAGAGAAATGAAAAGTAGCAACAAACTTGAGGCAAAGAAAAACATGATGACTGGGAGGAAAATAGAGTCAGTGAGGTATGGCAGAGGCAGGGAATGTGTGTGTGTGTGTGATGTGTGTGCAGGTGAGGCTAAATGGGATGCAGCCAACTGAAGAACTGTAGAGGCACTAATGAGATATCCTTGGCTACATTCAGTGCGTTATTGACCAAATGTATGAGCACAGGTGCATAAAAGAAACACACAAAGGCCTATATGTGCACAGACCTCAGGGGTGTATATCTCCATCTTATGGAAAGGATTGACTGCGATGAGGATGTCTCCCACATACGTGTAGATTTGATCTCGTCCATAGCGGCTCTGGAGCTGCTCTGTGACTGTGTTCTGAAAAAGATTCACACAACAGGTAGAATATACAGTATTTTCTAAACATACTGCCAAAGCATATTATGAGCGATAACAAGCAGTGCTTTAGCTTGTGTCCTGACTCAAGTCAAAACATGTGACGCCAGTTATGTCAATGCACTATCTGCGTGTCATACAGTGATTAATTCTCCTGTCTTCACACTGCCAGGACAGGTACATCAACAACAGCAGCGCAGGACTGCCTCCCTCATACCAGAAGAGCTGCTCATATTGAAAGATGGGTGGAAATATCCGCTGGCAACTGAGACTGATTGTATCATTCAATACATCAATGCAGCGCTCAGATATGATAAATTGTTCCAAATGTTATTTGTGAGATGCTGCCGTGCATTTCTCACTCACAGCACAAATGATTGGGGAAAAATTATGCTTAATGTTTTGGTTAAAGACTAAAAGCATTCATTAACAAAGTTACATCGCTGATACTTGAAATGTTTGAATCTTTATTTTAGTGTATAGTATTTTTAGTGTTTTATTTTTACAGTCTATGGTTTGAGGTGCTGTAGCCACCATGCCATTCAGCGTTCAGTTTACAGGGTTCCACTCTCATTACACTACACACTGTGTACTTCTGGCATAGTAACGCTCTACTATAAATACATCCTGTAGAGCTCAAGAGCCTGCACCCGACACTGCACTTCCACAGGTCCTTGGCAATACACCCGCTAAGTGTGAAGTTGATCGGATGAGAGGTTGTCGAGAATATCAAAGGAGACAGAAATTCCTTCCATTTTAGTTAGACGCTAAAGATCTTTTTTAGACATAAATATAATCATTGAGGACAATTTAAAAGGAAATTTAAAAAGAAATAACTAGTTGTCAAAACAGTGTGACTAAAAGGTCCATTTAGTAGCTGTTCTGAAGATTTTCACTGCATCACACTGTCTTCCTCAGCAGATGGAGATTGCTCAGTTGTCATGAAATGTTATTTTCTATTTTTTTTTTATTTTGCTGAGCTGAGGTTAAAAGTTCAGTGGAAGATTTTGTTATTACATTTAAAAGATCCAGAAAGCCACAAAATGGATCTTGTGGTGAGATTATATAAATAAAGTGTAGCCTAAAAAAGTCATGTTTCGCCACAATAGAGAATGAAATGATGCCCTTTGTCATGAGTTGTGCTGTTTCTGACAGTATTATTGGTATTATTTACACTATTTTGGCTTTTTGGTTCAGTGTCTGCTGTCAGAATGACACCACTCATGACCATAGCCAAGTATTGTTGTTTTGTTATTGAAATATATCTAGTTATATCATTGAACAGACGGTCAACTCTCTTACCTCATCTAGAACTTCGAGGGTGGCGAGGTCGTCCACCTCATCTGGGTCAGTCTGTGTCTTCATATGGCCTCCTCTTTTAGTATGAATGCGTTCATGCCTATAACTCACAGAATCCGCAACCAGCTTTCACTGAGCAATGTATGTGATGTTTACATGACAGGATAAGTAATCTAAATTCAATGCATTATGGGCACATACTGTAGCAGCGCACATTGCTGGTGTTTGCTAAGGCAAAATGGTACATCTCTTCACTTAAAGCAAACCCTATACAATATAAATATAATCAAAGCTTTGGCTAGATAAAGATCTAAATGTAAGAACAATTCTCTATAGCATTAATGCTGAACCATCAGTATGCAGTTCCCTTCCTCCTGCCAGACTCCTGAGACTAAGTGGTGGTTTCTCTACATGTAGGAGGTAAGAAGCGAACTGAAATAAACTACAACCACATATTTATAAATGTTTAATCTGCCTCTTCAGCCCCATTTTAATTGACCACCTCACACCCTTTCTGCTCAGTAAAACCAGATCGTTTATGAAAGCAACTTGGTGATGTATGTTCTCTTTCACAATTTCTACATTGAAGGGAACCAGGAGTGTACCAGGAGGATTCCATTACTTTAAACACGTAAATATTTAAAGGGACAGTTCACCCCAAAATCAAAAATACATATTTTTCCTCTTAGTGCTGTTTATCACTCTAGATTATTTTGGTGTGAGTTGCTGAGTGTTGGATATATTGGCTACAGGGATGTCTGCCTTCTCTCAAATATAATGAATTAAGATGGCACTCGGCTTGCGGTGCTTAAAGCACCAAAATAAAAAATAAAAACACATATGAAAAACTCATGCCTTCCATGTGGTGATACAGTTGGCAGGTGTAGTTTAGTATAAAGAAAATAGTTCCTTTATGAAACTACTCACAACAAGGTCTGTGGATTATCCAGTCCCGGAAGTCGTCGCGCATGTGACGTCATTTGAAATGTCATCAGACGCGTCATCAAATCACGCTAATGGCATTGCAGTATGGAGAAACACTCTGTATTGACGTAAGAATTTGCACTGTTTAAATGCATACAATATGTGTTGAATGTATTAACATGTTATGTTTACAGAAGATGTAGCTTACATGTTGTTTTACAGTCACATTGTCTGGTTTGAGAGCTACAATATTCACTCAGGATTTTTTGCAACATTACTGGAGTCCATGTTTTGAAACTAATTAATTAAAATTAAAGAAGAAAACTATAAAAAAAAACAAAAAAACATTTGCAGCTATTTTTGTAATATTCAGTGTGATTATTATAGCATGATTACATGACTTATTTTTTTTGGAGGTGGTAGTTAAAAAAAAAAAATAAATAAATCACACTTTTTTCCTGTTTTTGTCACTTGCCGCAATTTCCTGCAAAAAAATCACATAAGAATGCTGCAACTTTTATTGCAATTTTTGACAAAATTGGCCACAAATTCAAGTTTTTTTTGCCGCTAGATCTTGGAAGGACTGATGATCTCGAGTCACCATATCATGATTTCTGGAAAGAGACATTGCTGTTGAGTTTTGCAAATGTATCTTTTTAGGCGCTTTCAGCATCAAAAGCCAAGTGCCGTTTAGTTCCTTAATAGGGGAGAGAATGTAGACATCTCTACGGCCGATATCACCAACACTCGGCAACTCACGCCAAGACAGTCTAGATTTATAAATGGCAATACAGGAAAAGGGAAAAATATTTTGATTTTAAGGTGGAACTGTCACTTTATAGGTTCTAGTGAAAAATCTTTTTAAAGACTAGCAAAAAGAAATGTGGAGTAATTAAAAATGTATCAAAAGAGCAGTGAAGCGCAAACTTAGTGCTGTATTTAAAATCACTGCACTAGGTTTTTGCTTTACTGGATAAGCAGCACCTTGCTATCAGCCACATCCAATAAAATGTATCATTATTTAGTTGATAATGGTGGTAATTCTCCATCATGATTGCTAAAACTCCATTTATCTGAAGTTAATGATGAACACTGAGAAGGTTTGGAGCTCATCAACTGCTGTAGCCTGTTCACAGCAAAGGTTACAACCTCAGTTACACTACAGCATCAAATAACAGGATGGTACAAAAAGACTCATAAGACAAACAACAATATTTATGATGGCAGGGTGAAAGCAGGTAACCAATCTAAAATCAGCCCATGTAGTTGACTGCAAATACATGTGTGATCACAACTACAACAACAGCTCTGATTGAACAATAAGAAAAAGCCAATTATCATCTACTCCTACTGTGGCAAAAAGGTCATATAGGCATTTGTTACCTGTCATTACTGTCTGTGCTTCTTTCTGTCTTTCCATGATGGCTTAAATGACAGAAATAAGATTAACATGTCATGACTGTATGGGCAATACACACTTTCTGGGCCAACATTTTTTGACTCATGCTGTGTAGCCTGCACCTCGAGTGAAGCTGGAGCAGGATTGAGCTGTTGTTTATGTGAGAGTGACAGGGCTTGTAAAACATCCAGCAAGGAGGGTAATTTGGATTATACTGTCTGCAAAAGCTAAGCTGCAGCCTACCATATAAAACCCACTGACAGGGAGGCTTGCAGGCTTTAAGTTTTTCTTGGGGTTTTATAACAAAATCTATCAAACACTTTATGGTGTGTGAGTGTTCTGCTCATACTGTGAGACAAACAGGAGTGCTTCGAACATGTCACGAATACACATGGAAATGTGAGATTGTGGAAAGGAAACATGCAAACAGTTTGGACAATACCTTGTTTTTTCGATGACTCCTATTTGTTGGTTGAGATCAATGAGTTCAATCAATTGTTTCTGCAGTATTTTCTCTCTGCCAACAATCCGTTTGATGAACACATGCTGGAGCAGGTCTAGCACATTTGGTCTCAGCTCAAAGTCCTTAATCAGACATCTGAAGGGAGAAAAAGTAGAGGAGGAGGTGTGCAATGAATATCTTGGATTTATATTCAAAGTGGTTATGCATGAGTGTAAATATTTGTTATTCACAGAGGCATAACAAACACACTAGCATCCGCACTCACTTGCAGATGAAGTCATTAAAGTCATCTGACCAGAGCTCCGGCTGGTGGAGAGTAGGTGGAGGATTTCTGTTAAAGGAGGGAATGGAAAAGATAAATAGAAAGATAAGATGAGATGGGATTTACGAAGGCGGGCCGGAGAACAAAAGGCCGAGGCACAGAGTGGAGCAAAAGCATAACTATTTGTCATCGAGGACATCCAGAGGCGTTTCTGCGGTGGCACTAACAAATGACGCTCCACCTGTGCAGCTGGGAGGTATTGATAGGGCTGATTTTATGACATAAAAGCAATAGTCAGTAACACTTGCAATCAAATATATAGCCAGATCTTAAAACTTAAAGCTTCTCCTGTAAAAATCCCATTCAAAACAGACTCAGGTTGTTAAAGGGTCAAGTGTAACAAGGCCTCACATCCGGCAAACAAATGAGCTAATTTGCTGTAATTCCTCGCTCTGCTTTAAGTACCTTTTATAAGAGGGTTCCTGGCAAGTGTTGGGGAAGTCAATGCTGCCTGCTAATGTACCAAGGCCCTTTTCACGTTGGCTCTGACAGCGATAAATTGGTCTAATGAGAGGACATGCATCTCCTGTTTATCACACAACACACCCAATATAGACAGCAAATGTATGAGACATTTATTTGGAGTCTGTTCTGCTAATGCTGCGACTATTAAGGTGTTTTTCTTATCCTGAAGACAAACTGGGTCTTGCAGAGGCAGTCATATTTAAGTTATAACTATTAAGGGTTTTTAATGGCCTGGATACAAATATGAGGATGTATTTTAATTCCAGTACCTTGTTTATACCCATCCTAAAACAGTAAACTTCATATTTACTCACTGCGTGCTGTAATAAATTCACTCTGTACAGTATGTGAGGCAAATTTAAATCTTCTCTTTTCAAGATAATGATGGATTAGAGCTTAAATCTTTACACGTGTGCATAATTAGAAAAGCACTTTAATCTTTAACCTGAGTGTGATGCTTTGAGCAGGGATTTGACTTCTGCACATACAGCGTCCTCCAAATCCTTGTCTTTCTCACAAGACAGTGTTACCTGTGCTTGTGTGTGTTTTTTTACTCTTTTAACTTGCAATATCAGTTTCCTAATGAGGCTAGGTATGTGTGGTGTATGTCCACAAGAAAACATAGGCTTTTTGCTGTTTGTATATCATAATATGTGGACAAAGTATTGTATATACAGTAAATAAGCGACCAGAGATTCCAAAATGGCAGAAGTCATTCATTTTCAATGAGAGTCTGGCAACTTGGGCGACCTGGTCGTCAGCCGCGTGTCTTGGGCAACCAAAGCGACCGGAGCGGTCCGGAGGGAAGTTAAAACTCATTTAACTTTATGGTAATGAGCTCTGGCGCGGTTCAGCAACATCAAATTGGAATGCTGATGTGCTTTGATGAAGTGGGTCCCAGAGAACAAGCCATGTAACTTTGGTTCCTACAGCACACTTGTTCCGATATTGAGAAGTTTATTACTTGCGTTGGCGCCCACTCAGTCCTTTATAATGTGTCGCTGTACGGTTACAGAGACCAAAATAAAAAGAATGAGGCTTGGGACCGCGTCGCGGAGGTAGTTGTTTGGTCTGGTGAGATTTAAAGTGTGTAATGTTAGTAATAAAGGAGAGAATTGCAGGCTAATGTTGCGACGTAGCATGCAAGTCTTTCTTGCTTGGTTTGAATGGGATGACATACGTTTTCTGTTTTCATTGACCAAACATAACTTTCTATGGGCCAACTATGAGCTTTTTTGACTGGACAACAGCAAGCAGCAACTACGCTGCTTTAAAGCCAGTAGTCCACTTTGTGGCTCTTTTAAATTGACAAGCACGGTTGAATGTTCAATGATTCACGTGATGAGCGACTAGAGCAACCAAAGCTGCCACAAATATTTTTGACAATCGTGCTTCTTGGGCGTCCACGAGAGACTTTGCCTCTTTGGAAGCTTCTGGTTTTCTGGTTTGAATGTACAGTAAAACTTTTTTAGTGCCACTCAGAATGAAATTTTTGACCAGGAAAAAAAAATGAACTGACATCAGCTACTTTGGGTTAAGGGCCAGTTTTGCTCAGATGTTTATTGTAACCTTTTGGTTTTTGTTTGTGGGTTTTCTTGACGATTCAGTGTTTCTCACCCTGTATGTGGGATTCCACTGCCTTGATTCCAGTTGTGTCGAGTTTGGAACAACATTTTCCATAAAATACACCAAATTTCAGATGCATTGTCGTGTACCAGTTTTAGCCATGCCGCAAAATATTGGTTAAATAGCCAGCTTTCGTTGAATTTGCGCCTTCCTATGTTGTCCACTGCACAGCGACAGCTAGCTAGTGGATCCTCTGCTCTGAGTTGCTAGTTCCACTATCCTGATCTGTGTGAAGTTAATGTGAGAGGTTTTCACTAAATCATTCCAAAAATAAATAAATGTTATCAATTATTTGGAGATTTTTCAATGCATTCAGAAAGACGATTCATAAAATTCTACTTCCCATGCCTGAGCATTTTTAAGACTTTTGAAAGACTGATTTAAGACATTTTAATAACATTTAAGGCCTTGTTTGTAGATTAATGAATTCAATAGCTGTGTCTCAATTCAGGGCCTGCAGCCTTCAAAGGGCTGCATTTGAAGACCGATTCGTCACATCAGCGTGACCAGGGCTGTCCCATTTTGAAGGCTCCTTCAAATGCAGCCTTCTCTCCCAGAACTTGGAGGATGCAATGGATAAATTCTTCGTGGCCCAGCCTATCCCATGATGCATTGCTCGCTGGTGACGATTATATAATAAGTTAAGTTCACTTACGGTTGTTAACTAGCTAATTATCAGTGATGTTTTAATTTTGGATTGCATTATATTATAATTAGAAAGAGTGGGCAAGGTGGTGGACAAAATACCATGAACACTGTGCGATACAATATGATGCAAACCAACACAAAAACACCACAAACTACAGGTTCTAACTTTACCAGGACAAAGAGCTAGTTAACCATCCCAAACAGTTTTATTTAAACCCATAAGAACACAATGAAGGCAAAGCACAGACTTGGCCTTCCACAGGTAAAAACAACTACTTTTTAAAAAGGGATTTAATGGTGAGAAGTGTCTTTTTCAACCTAACAATTTGCCCCGCATACTGTAAATACAGCAGGGGGGAAGGGGAATGAGAAGCTACACATTTGGTGCCTACTACTACAGTTACCACCAAAGAAATCATTTTATCAACCATCAGAAAGGTAAACACTGTGTGGAATTGCATTTTACTGTACTGATGCATATGTTGTGTTGTATTCAGGCATTATATTAAAAACAGTGAAATGAGGGTCGTCCTTGATGATCTGCTGTGTCTGTGTGGTACTGTTTAAGCTAAATTAAATAAAACAGGGTGTGTATAAATCAGTGCCCTCAGCGTGGCTTTTTCCAAGACTGCTTGACGAATGAACCCAGAGTAGTGAGCGGAGGGAAGTGAGAAGTGTGAACAGACAGCCTGAAGCTCTGGCTGCAGCAGTCACATAGATTCTGAGGAAGCTGTGTAATGTCTCCTGTGGAGCACGACCCCCAGAGCAAACACACAGGACAGCTATGTCACAGGAGCTGTCTGTGTATGCATTTGTGTGTGTGTGTGTGTGTGTGTAGGACCACACTGTTTCAGGGCAGTGATGGACAAAGTGTGGTGCCGTCAAGACGACAGTGACGGTAAGTGCTTATGCAGCTCTCACACTGGAATCAGGAGACGATAAACAATTACTTTTCACCTTCAGCCCACAAAACACACACAGATGAGAAAGAGGGTGGCTGTGCTCTCAGCCTCCACCCACAGGATGAATGGGATCAGTGCCAGGAGGGGAGGGGTTTATGGATAAGCCCCTGCGAGCAGAAAAAAGCCATTTAAAATGAAAAGACTGTACTTTGTCTGGTGACAATCTGTACCGAGAAGCAAATCACTGTGTTAGGGAGCAGGAGGTGGCTTTTCTGGTTTGCAGTACTGCAGCAATACCCAGTCTTTATATTCCGACAGTCTGCATCAGTGAAATGGATAAAAAAATCAACTTGTTTTAGCTCAGCTGTTGAAAACACATATGTTTAAAGCATTGTCTTTTTTCAGACCTCACAAAACAGCAGCTGTGGAATGTAACTCAGTACATTTATACAAGTAATGTACTTGATTACAATTTCGAGGTACTTGTACTTTACCTGAGCGTGTATTGTTATAGATTAGGCTATCCATATATAAATTATTAAGTATATAAAGTAACTGACATAAGCTGCAACATTATAATCAAGTAATTTAATATATATTTATCTGAAATGAGTCATTTTGCATAATGATTAGTTTTAAGGCCTTTACACATCAGGGGCATGATGAATAATCAACATGAAAATGTGAAACACTCACCTGAGAATATTTCACTTCAAAACTATTCATACTGGCAGTGATGTGAATTTGAGACAGTTGCAACACTTCAATAAAATGTTTGATGTGAATATATTTAATACAAATTTGCATTGCTACCAGGATCATATTGACCCAGAGCAGCATCTGGCAGGGAAGTGAAATGGTCTGAGTGGATTTAAGTTCCCTCTGGTAAACAGTTACACAGTGTACATGTCTGTATAGTATAGTATAGTATATGAAGTAGTGTAGTGGAGCTTATATGCAGGTTTACCCAACTATTAGCCAAATAGCCATTGGAATATATAGTATAGCTTACCCACTTCCTCCTCAGTGACCTACCCATCTACCTAGCAGTACACCCACCTCATCAACTACCAGTATGCCACTGAGTGCATAACAGAGTATTTCAAAGCTAAGAACAGAGGGAGTGGATCTGGAGTCTCATTTATAAACACTGCGTATGCCCAAAAAAGACCTAAAAGAGGCATACGCCACTTCACACAGTCTCAGTGTTTTTGTTGTATAATCCTCATTTATATAGGCTCAGAGTATATTGATTGATGCTTTTATTTGCGGTACAAAAGCTCAAAAAAGCTACGATACTTTTTGTATGAAAATGATGGGTTTTGTTTTATAGTTCCATACATTTTCCAGCCATTGCATAAATACACTGCATGTAAAAAATTACAGTAAATTATATACACTCATGGTAACACTTACCTGGTCTGCTTTGACCAGTTGCTGCTAGAATACTGTATAATGGATGACTGCCTTCACATTCACAAAAAGAGCACTGATTTCTCAGTTCGTAAGCTGTAATTAGGAAGTCACTACATTCATGAGCATCCAAATGAGAAACATGCAGGATGTCAAGAGGATAAAGACACTGTTGTTTCTTTACTTTGACACCATCATTAATCATTTCTATTAAAATAAGGGAGATAAGAAACACATGTAGCGAGTGATAAATACAAATAAGGCTGCTGGTGTCTCCAGACATCCAAAGTAATGTTTTTTGTCACACAAACTTACTTCCAAAACATATTTTCAACTTTTCAGTTTATGTAAAATCCAAGTTCAAAAGTTTATTAAGGCAGAATATGAGCAACTATTGACTTTTAATTTCAATTAACACATTTACAGCAGCGCAGAAGCTAACTGCTTAGCAGTGTCACCTTAAAGCCAGAACCAGGTCAGCACCAGGGTTTAGAGTATTAATTCAGAACAGAAGAACAGGCCTAAGCTGACTGTGGCAGGGTCAAAGTCACAGCCTCCTGATAATGATGATAGATTGTTGTGTAGGTGTGATGGGGGCTCACCTGGGTATCTTGAAAAGGGCTCTCATTGGGTGAAGTTCAGAGAGGGGTGGGTCTCCATCTCCCAGCTCTATGGCGGTGATGCCGAGTGACCAGACGTCACAGCGAGCGTCGTAGGTTGAGTCCAGCTGCTGCTCACATGCTATCACCTACAGCAGCAGGGCAAAGTAATAAAAAAATATAAATATAGATATTGTTAAAAACTTACCAAAATAGCTACATAGGGTATATCAGTCATGTTAAGTCTGCTAATTTGACTTTTATCAATGATAACATTAAAGCTAACAGCATTGAGAAAATCTCCCCTATCATCCCTTAAACAACAGAAGATCAGCACCTTAGATGAAAAGTCTGCTATCTTCATCAGTGTAAGAAGTATTCAGACCTTTTACTTGAGTAAAAGTAGCAATAACACAGTGTAAAAATACTCTTTTACAAATAAAAGTGACTTACTTAAGTAAATTTACAAAAGTATTAGCATTCAAATATACTTCACGTATCACAAGTAGTCATTTTGCAAACTGATGTTTGTCTGTCAAGGCTCTCAGCTTCACAAGCATCAAAAGAGGACTGCAGCGCCATTAGCAAAGAAGAATGTACAATCAAATAATGTACAACAACTCAAAATTGTGTAAGAGGGTGCCAAGCATAACAGTGTGAAATACAGCCAATAGTATAAAGCTGCACAAGTTGTGTGCATTTGTTTTGCTGACAGAAGAGGAGGCGGGGATATGAATTACAGGAATGCATAGGGATTGGGATCCCGTGCGTCCAACACAAATCTGTCGCCAACTAGTGGTTGGCGCAAGAAAAAGTGAAGCACGCTGAACATTTAGAGGAATTTCTCAGGAATATTACAGATGATAATAATAACACTGAATCCCAGAGACACCAGAATTACTGTAAATATATCTTTCTTCCTACCACAGTAAAATAAAGCATTTTCCCTGCACAACAGGAGTAGACTAAATCAATTGATAATCAATGTATTGTGTTGGTATGTATGGTTCGAATGTTTGCTGATACGGGCTGGAGCTGACACACACCCTACAGGAATTGGCGGGAATAGATAACACACTCTGTGGGGGCGGGCAGTAATAGTTAGAAATTGAGAAAAACAGTCCCGCACAGGGATCTAATGATTTCTGTCTAAGGACAGTTCAACTGAATGGAAAAAGCACTTACAGCATTGTTACAGCACATTTCACAACACAAACACAGCATAAAACACTACACTGAGTAAGAATTTATGAAAAGGTCATTCAGTGTGTGACCCGCCATGTTGCTGCGATGTCAGGTGCATTTATGTTGGCTAACTCAGCGTAGATGGATCAGTTTCCAACCTCGAATTCTGACTTGAATGATCATTCCATTGCAATTGTACATGTCGGAGGTTGTTTTTTTTCCAAGATCCAAGAACAATGGATTGCTGCAAATTGATCCAAATTTGCAAATTAACAGGTAACTTACATTGTCAGATAAATGCAAAGAAGTAAAAAGTACAATATTTGCCTCTTAAATGTAGAGGAGTAGAAGTATTAAGCAGCACAAAATGAAAACACTCAATTAAAGTACAGGTACTACAAAACTACTTATATACAGTGCTTGAAGTGCTTGAATCTACTTACACCACTGGATATCCTGTTATACAGTGCATACCTCTGTACTAAAGTTGTAAAGTTTGGGCCTACTTTCTTTTTAGGGAGTCAGTATTCAAGTTTATTTTAACAGCCCGTGTACACAGACCATACTCTAAACAAACATGTAAGAGCAAAATGTGTATGAAAATATCAAGGAACCTGATGAAGAGTGTAACAGAGCTCAACCAAAGCTGCAGCATCATCATCATCATCTGCTGTGGGCAATAAAGTACACACACATACATGCACACACAAAGTACGCCAGCTCACAGTCTATCATCAGTGTCTTTAGGGCAACATGGTACCCAATCAACAGTATGAATCATCTCTGAGTGGAAGGCATGCGTACACATCACACACACACACAAACACACACACACACACACACACACACACACATTTATCATTATTGTCAAAGGTCTGAAATCAATATAATTTGTATTCTAAATTCCCAATAGGCATGTTCTTGTGTACACAGACAAGAGAAGCAGATGAATCATTACCAGATCACCAATAAAACGTCCTGAAGCACAAGTGTACAAACACACGCTTTACGGAGAACAAAACACAAAGTCCCTCACTATTCTGTCATACCTCTACATAGCAAACACAAAAAATCAATGTTTAACCTCACCTCATGAAGACTATTTGGCAAATTTAAATGATCAAAGTGTAACATCATAAAAGCAAAACATATACTCCTAGCACATTATAAATCATCATTCAGTAGAGTCAATAGAAATACAGCTCATCCAAAATATAAAACATTGTGCAGATGTGACACAACTTACCCCAGAATTCGAAGTTACATATGGTAACCAGTTCTTCTCCTAGTTCTCTTTCCTAATAATAATAATAATAATAATAATAATATAAATCCTTGTTTACAGTCTTACTCCTGACATGTATAAACCTTTCAACCAAAGACTTTCTAGTCTACAAAGTCCATCTGAGCAACTTTGGTGACGAACATTTTACACAAATGAGATTAAAATCCTTGAGTCCTGACCGAATGTCACGTATATTCTAATGAACAATTTGCACAGCATGCAAACCTCATGTAAAAATGTCCATTTTGATTTGACCAGTGAATATGCAAGGTTTGTCTATGAAGGGCAAATCAGGGGACAGCAACCACACTGGGAGGAAATGCATTTAAAAGTAGCATGGGTGCAGTGGTTGGAGAAGAGTTTACCCATCTTATCCCTACAGAGGTTGCTAATGGTTCATCAGATCTAATCATGATCAGTGTTGAGGCTAAAGTGTGCAGATTAAGTGATGCCACTACATGCTGAGGTTTTCCTGAAGTGTTGTGGGTTCAGCTTATCAAATATAGATGAAAGGTGTGTGTTTGATTACCCCAGACATGCCTCTGCTCTCACTGAACACTTTGCCCTTACATGCTATAAATGCATTAACAACTTGATGCTGGACCTTCCTCACATTTAATCTTTTCACTGCACAATCAAGATGTCAGCTCGAGTTCAGTTGAATTCCCAAAGCTAGATAATCTGATTTTTCTGTTAAATGTGTTCATGTTTTTTCACCGGTGTGTCACCTTTTTGAATTTTAGCATCTATTAAACTTCTTTACCACTACTTTATACAATAAAGAGATGCTTATGATAAAAAAGAAGCTAATTATAATACAAAAAGTGTTAATTTAGTATGAGGCAAGTAGCTTAATTCTAGTAAGCTACCTTCATTCATTGAGAATCGATAACCGTTTTTTTTTTTTTTACATTGTTTTACCAAGCCAATGAAAAAATGTTGATGGTAGATAATTTTGCTAAACTCTGCATTAATGTTCAGTGTTTTCTAAATTCTCCAGTTTTACAGTGTTTGTGCATTGCAACTGCAGTATGGTTAGGGTTAAGCACTTAAAATAAATGCTTGAGGTTCAGGAAAGGTTGTGCAAAAGGCTACAAAAAGAATAAGTCAAAAAAATTATGCCCTGTGTCTTACTAAACACTATTTCTTGACCTGGATGGATAACGGCATGAGTTTCAGGAAAAGTAAAGAGTATTTCATAAGGACTTAGGGAAAGATGGCCGCAGTGCTAAAAGAATCTGACTGCACTTACATCAGGCTACGTAATAATGTGACGTTGGAAGTTATTGACTGGGGGCTGTTTTGGTGAAACTACAATGTGACGAAGATGGCCTACTAAAAGCGCATCTGAGATACTTCGCCCCATGTGTTCTTGCGTGCTATATAAACGTGGACAACCCGAGGAAAAGTCTTACTTCATTACCAATGTTGGAACTGAAATAAAGAAAGGAATGTAGGCTACCAGTCAAAAAATAGTAATAAATAGTAACATCGTGCCCCACGATCTGCAAAAATGACACTTAAACTTCAGTCTTCAGCAAAAAAGTCAAATGTCCTACCCACCACCATGACCTCTAAACTCTCACTGTCCAACTTGCTGTATAAAGGGCAATGACCAGTGGCACTGGATGTAAATCTGTGCATCAGAATCTTCAGCTATGTAATTCCTAGTACTGTGAATTGAAACACAGACTGTAGCTGCTTCCCTATTGTATGATTGAAGTAAGATAACATTCCCAAAAGGAAACAGACTGAAGAGAGAAGACATAGATCAGTGTCACAAAATAAACTCCAGCCAGGTTAATCAATAGCAAGAACCTCAAACTGTGGGACCACCTTGCTGTATAATGTCCCTTATACCACATCGGAGAAAGTTAAGGACAAAGGCATGTGACTATGTACTGGTATAAAGTGATCATTTCTTGGCCATATAGTGGGTATATGAACTGCTAGTGCACTGAGCTATGATTATACAGAGGCTGAATGATGGAGGATGGAGGCCATCCATTCCTTTTTTTATGCACATTGTATTTGACAGCATTATCTCTTTGATGATTATTAACTGTGGCCCACTGGGATCTGCTCCAGGCTAATGTAGTGGAAAGAGAGGAGGCTGCGGGAGCATTTATGGGCCAGTTTTTACCGTACCTCAGGAGCCATCCAGAAGGGAGTTCCCACAGAGGTGTTCCTCCTCAGACGGGTATTTGTCAGCTGGGCTGAAACACCTGCAGGGCAGAGAATACACACTTAAGACACTTTTCCTCGCTCTCAGGACGTGCACGCATTGGAGACAATTTGCACTATCTCAGTAACTTCCTTGACATTTGTTTTTTTTTTTGTAGCTGGTAAAAGTGATGATCTGTGAACACAGTGAACAGTAAACAGCGGGGTGCCGCTCGACAGATATAGGGCTGAATGGATCTCAGTGCTTTCTCGTATCCCACTGATAGAGCTGTCACTACAGTGACAAGGAGGAAACGCAAAACACAGGCATGCACACACAGCCATCAAGCTGCAATGTTTTTCCCTTCGAATGATAGATTGCTTTGAATTTCAAATTCTTATGTGACTGCAGGTGATTTTGCCGGGCATTTCAAGAACAACATTTGAATACAATTCAGCTGTAAACAGGCTTTGGCAGCTGGAATCGTTTCACTTTCTCTCAGAGCAAAACATTATGTATCTAAGTGAGTTATTCACTTATATTAGCTTATTCTACACGCATAAAAATAGGACGAGGTCATGTTGCAACAAACGAGTAAGACGTGGCTAAATTCAGAAAATATGAGCCTGCAGAGAAACACAGAGGGTATGTGTATTAATGTGCGGTACAAAGCCTGACAAGGAACATGCTGACCCACAATCGTGACTTCAGTCCAGTCCAGACAAATCAGTGTTATGCCACACTGTAATGTATCCCAGGGCTGGCTCAGCTGAAGCAGCAAACAGGACAAAAGCAGAGCCTCGAGACAATAGCGGCTACCGACAAACAAAAGGTGATCTACTGATGCACGACATGCTGTTGCAAAACATCGTTGTTGTCGTTTTACACAGCGTCTCGTGCATTATTTTGATCTGAATCACACAGCATCTGCAAAATTTGATTCTCTGCAGAACATGTTTTAGCAGTCAGGCTCGCAGCATCAAAGCTTTGAGGACATGAAGGGGTAATTTCTGAAAATGTACCGACAAAATACCCATGATGTCGAAATGTGTCTGTTCAGAAGATGACATTACACAACATAAATGTATTTGTAACAGCATCAGCAATTGTTTCCTGTAAAAGCTCATTCTGTGCACCCGTTATCTGACGACTTCATTACTGTCAGTACAGTAGAGTAATATGCTGCTGTTCTGTTGCTGCTGGTGGGTTAAAGCCAGGGGAACGGGATGAGCAATGCAGAGGAAAGCGATTCTGTGGCAAACATCGAAAAGGATTAGAAACATGTGCAAGAGGGGATATATGCCAAAAAGCTGACACACATCACACACAGGGATACGCTCACGCTCGCACCAAACCACTACACTGCAGCACTTCAGCCCACATTATTGCGAACAAACCATCGTCCGATCAGACACACACGCCTGCTACAATATACATAAGCTATATGAGTGTATGAGGATACAAAAACACAAAGAGCCCCCTATTAAAGTCCTCACAGCCCCTCTCTTTCCACTACATTAGCCCAGAGTGGAGCCTGGTGGGCCACACTTAATAATCATCACAGAGATAACGCTGTCAATTAGAATATTCATGAGAGGCCCATGAACGAACAGCTCCTCTCATTCTTCCGCTGCTTTTTTTTGGGTCCATCTCTTTGCTATTTTGTTTCTCTGCTGGTGATGAGTCACTGCGGGGGCTTTATCTCTTCAGCTGCTTAGTGTAGCGTGCACCCCTCCACATGAAAAACCATTAATCCCAGCGTGACGCAGTGCCTGCGTGTAGCTCCGCCGAGGCAAGCACGAGTCGGCTTCTTTTTTTTCTTCTCCATTTTCGTCACTCTGCAAGTTTTTACACACGCGGGGCTATTTCAAAACTGCTGCTCCAGTTGTTTTTTTTTCCCTTTTCCCGATGGCGTCATAACCTACCAATATCTGATAGAAATTTAAACTGTCAGCGATGTTAAAGGCTTGCAAACAAGCTCAAACAAAAGATGTTACAGTTATTTTTGGGCCTGCCCTGTACACGGCCTGGGAGAGATCCCACTATCTGTCACTGTCTTTGGATGCTGCCAAATTCTTCAGTTGGCAAAGACTTAATTGAGAATTGATAACAGGACATGGCTCCATATCTTATCTGTTCGCTGCCACTTAAGTCTCAGGTGGATGACATAACATTCACTTACTGTTAGAGAAAGAGTAAGTCACATACTGTGTGTTGCATGCCTGATTTCTCAAACTTTCAACCCAAAGTCCAGCCCTTATCTTACTTATTTTTGAGCTAAATGCTAATGTCCACATGCTCACAATGACAGTACTAACCTGCTGATAATCTCTATAAAAAGTTATCTCTCTATATGTCTGCAGAATCTACAGGAAACTGGACAAGACATTGGTGTCAGAGGCATTCTGGTTTCTGTTTGTAGTCCTCGTAATATTGACTAGTCATGTTTGAACGGATTTTGGATGCCTGCAGGTAAACAGTGTGAAGAGCAAAAAAGCACTGGCTAAAATAAAATCTCTGAACAACTGGCTACTGTCTGATGGCGATTTAGCTTTTTATTAGCTTTTTTCAAATGCGTCTGCATTCATATGCAGATATCTACTTGATCGAGATTTGCCGAAATGTTCTCTGGACTCGTCTCAAGTTGCTAATTGGACTGTGAACAATGAGCGTGGTTTTCTTGGCTACAGACAGATCTCTCAAAATATTAGCCATTGCACCAGAGGTTTTATCATCCTCGGACCAATGGCCAGATGGTTTTGAAATTGGCATGGTGATGTTCAGCAGGTATGATACTTATCTTGTTCATCATTTTAGTTTAGCTTGTTAGCATGCTAACATTTGTTAATTAGCAATAAACACTAAGCACAGCTGAGGCTGAATGTCGCAGATATTTGGTGATAAACCACAGTATTGGACAAATTCAAGTTTTGACCTGTTGATAGCATTTAAAGGAAAACTATAACGTCACTTAAATTATTACAATTAATCCTGTGGGGAACACAAATGTCTGTACCAAATGTCATGATCGATCCAGTAGTTGCAGGGCCATTTTACTCAATGGCACGAACGTCATCGTCACCGTCACCGTCACCCATTTCAAATGTTACCACTCTATTGGTTAGAAGGCTCCTGCTACACTGATTAGCATGTTCACAATGCCATTATCGGCTTACTTAACAGCCACTGGCAAAACTTTACTTTTCAACAACGCTGCGGTTAACATGTTAGGCATGTAACAGGTTTAGGCACGATGACCACTTGGTTTTGATCTTGTTTTGGTTTAAAACACCCACCTTCAGTAGCACAAAAGCCACTGGAAACACCTCTATGTCTCACTAAAGTACAACCAGTGTTGTCTGTTGGTCTCAAACAGTGGTCTGCAGCTTGGCAGCTGTTTCGCCTATGTCACCATATCCACCATTCCCTAAACCTCCTGAAGACAAAGTCAGCTCATATACATGTCGCCACACAACAACAAACACTGCCGTTTAACAGTCGATAACAGCATTCTAAACATGCTATTCAGTTTAGCAGGGACCTTTTACCATATATCTATAATGCTGTTAATCACTACTAATGTCTGTTTAATAGAGTGATAACGGTCAAACTGGGTGTCAGGGTGGTGCCAGATAAAGTCAGGGGATTCCTACAGTCCACAGAATTTGTCCTCTGGGGTACATGGATGTCTGTACCAAATTTTGCTGTGCTGCTTTGGCCGTCTATTTCTCCACTCCAAAATGAGCCTCTATTCCTACCTCTGCCTTATCTTTAATGGTGCTAAGTCCACAGTTTAGCATTCAGCTTTATGTTCATATTTCATGATAAACCCAGCTGTTTCCTTCCACAAAGATAATGTTTCCTTTTTCACACCCTCTCCTAACATGCATTTGTTATGATAAAGAAAGGAGCAGATAACAGTGATTATGCTAATATTTAAGATGAAACTTGGTTGTGGTGGATGGTCTGATTGCTTTACAGCAATGACTCTTAGGGCACAAAATAAATGCAGCAATTGTTTATTAGTGATAATGTTACAACTTTAAATGTAATCGCTTCCTATCTGGCTTTCAGGAGTGTCTCCCCAAACAACTGAGAGTTTAAACTTGGCAATGTTTTTATGTTATATATTTCTTCTCAGGCACACTTCCTCAGATACTGTACCCTTCCTATCTTGGAGATTCATTACAAGTTTAGCCAGAGGAACAAACACTGGATAAGATGTTCTACAGCAAACAAAATCTCTTTATCACAACAAAATGGGTAGTTGTTTGGGACGCCTTGATTGTAATAACTTTAAATAAATCTTCTCATATATGCAATATCTTCTGTTAGACATTAATGATGTACTGTAACTGCAACTGTAATAACAGTGAAAGATTTTACTTGTTCTACAACATAATTCCTTTTAACATGATTTTCTTTTATTTGTAACAAAACTAGTAACATTAAGAGGTAGGCAGGTCCTGTTTCAGGCATATTTATATATGTATATCTATAGATATATGACTTACATATATACACATTCATACTCATAATCATTTGCATTGCTGAATATTGTTTAAGGTTGGAAATTTGAATTTGCTGACAAACTAACAAGCTAACCTTGGAGCTATATTAGATGTGTGTGGGTCCATTCTTTCTCCACATCACTGCTGCGTTAGCTTTCCACTGGTTCATTGAGTGTTAGTTACATCAATTATTCAGATTTGTATGATGTGTTTGTGCACAATTGTGTGTGTAACTGTATGTTAACATACTTGACCTAAAAGCTATACACTGTGTTAGCTCAGAAACTATATGTAACTCAGGAACACAAGACAATTATACATATCTTTATATATATATAGATATACAGTACAGGCCAAAAGTTTGGACACACCTTCTCATTCAATGCGTTTTCTTTATTTTCATGACTATTTACATTGTAGATTCTCACTGAAGGCATCAAAACTATGAATGAACACATGTGGAGTTATGTACTTAACAAAAAAAGGTGAAATAACTGAAAACATGTTTTATATTCTAGTTTCTTCAAAATAGCCACCCTTTGCTCTGATT